ATCAAGGCCGTCTCCTTTGTTGGCTCCGACACGGCCGGCAAGTACATTTACGAGCGCGCCGGCAAGAACGGCAAGCGCGTCCAGAGCAATATGGGCGCCAAGAACCATGGTGTGGTGCTCAGCGATGCGAATAAGGAGAACACGCTCAATCAGCTGGCGGGCGCCGCCTTTGGCGCTGCCGGACAGCGCTGCATGGCCCTGTCGACGGCCGTGTTTGTGGGCGGAGCACAGCAATGGATACCCGATCTGGTGGAGCGTGCCAAGAAGCTAAACGTGAATGCGGGTCATGTGCCCGGCACGGATGTGGGACCCGTCATCAGCGCCGCCTCGCGCCAACGCATCAACGAGCTGATCGAGTCCGGCGTCAAGGAGGGCGCCAAGCTCATACTGGACGGACGCAAGATCACGGTGCCCGGCTTTGAGGATGGCTATTTTGTGGGCCCAACCATTTTGACCGATGTCAAGCCGCACATGAAATGCTACACGGAGGAGATCTTCGGACCAGTGCTGGTCATCCTCAATGCGGACACCTTGGACGAGGCCATCTCGATTGTGAATGCCAATCCGTATGGTAACGGCACCGCCGTCTTTACCACCAACGGCGCCGCCGCCCGCAAGTTTGTCAACGAGATCGACGCCGGCCAGGTGGGCGTTAATGTGCCCATTCCGGTGCCGTTGCCCATGTTCTCGTTTACGGGCACACGCGGCTCCTTCCGCGGCGATCATCATTTCTATGGCAAGCAGGGTGTCAAGTTCTATACACAGACCAAGACCGTCACCCAGCTCTGGCGCGAAACCGATGTCACACACACTCAGGCGGCCGTGGCCATGCCCACCATGAAGTAAACACACCCGTACATACACACACACACACACAGCCGTTGCACAGTTGTGCATAAGTTGGTAATTGCTGCATTTATTTTCTGTGCCTATTAGAATTAAGCTATATGTAAAACTGATTAAAAAAAAACGTGTTATAAAAGAAAAAAAACAACGGTAAATTGCGTCGCAATTTCCAGTTTATCGATAACTATCGAGCGGCGGGCGAAGATCGTTTTCACGAGTGCGCACGAAAGTGGCAACGCCTGCTTGCTTGATTATGTCCCAGGCAAGGACTTTGAAATTTGCCCAATATGAAAAATATATAACAATTATGTAATGTGTGTGCTTATGCATATTTTCAGCTGATTACAGTTGTATAACTTGACAGATCTATCTATATATATATATATGTTAATATATCTATAATAATAATATAGCATGGGGATCAACAGGGGCAACCACGTTTGCTTTTGCTGCCGCTTGCAATCAATTGTCCAGGGACTTTTAAATTTCCCTAATGCTAATATTTGCATGTGTGCCTACACACACACACACACATGTCTGAATGTATGTATATAGCATGCCAGTGTTCGTTATCGTTAAAACGAAAGTGTGGCAACGCTTGCACATAGGAATTTTGATTGTTTGCTTTTTTAACCGTTTTTTAGATTTGAATTATGCGTGTATTTAATAAACTTCCGCATTGATGCATGTTAAACATGGGTGTAAAAAAAAAAACTAGTCTATTTATTTGCTAACAAAAGCGCTAACTTTAACAATAACAATTTGGTTTATTGCCTTGCTTAAAAAAAAAATTAAGAAAATGTTTTGTTGTTGCATTAAACATAGTTAACCCTAACACCTGCCCCCAAAAGAGACCTGCAATCGGTTGCCTTGGCCAACCGATAACGCAATCAGTATTGGGGCCTAGATAATAATAATCATAAGATTGTGAACACAATCGGCATGCATTCGGGCCGGCTTATAAGCTAATCCTAGCTGCCCCAGTGGTCCTTGGACGAGCGACTGCCGCCGAATGCCTGCTTGGAGACCAGCTCACGGAAGGCGCCATCCTGTCGGCGCATCAAATCATCATAGTTGCCCTCCTCGACAATTCGGCCGCCATCGAGCACGGCGATCTTGTGCGCCTTGTGTATCGTGCTCAGACGATGGGCAATTGTCATCACGGTGCGTCCCTCGATGAGCTTGTCCAGCGCCGTCTGCACCAGCTGCTCCGAGACGGAGTCCAGTGCACTTGTCGCCTCGTCCAGCACGAGTATGGTGGGATTCTGTGGGCACATGTCAATGATTGAGTTTAGAATATGAATATTTGGGTTTGAGAATAATTTGGTGGCACCTTGATGAGCGCCCGGGCAATGGCCACGCGCTGCTTTTGGCCACCGCTTAGGAGCATGCCCCGTTGTCCGACGATCGTTTCGAGACCTTGGGGCAGCTGATTGGCAAACTCGATGACATGCGAATCGTGTACGACCTGCTGCAGCAGATCCTCGTTGGGCTCCTCGCCCGGATGCAGGCCGTATAGAATGTTTGAGCGTATCGAGCCGGAGAAGAGCACCGGCTCCTGGCTAACGGCGCCGACATTGTGTCGCAGCCACTGCGGATTCAGCGTACGCAAATCAACGCCATCCAAATAGACGCCGCCCTGTTGTGGATCGTACAGACGCATCAGCAGCAGGGCCATGGTTGACTTGCCGGAACCGGAGCGACCCACCACCGCCGTCGTCTGATTGGGCAGCAGGGTCAGCGAGAAATCGGACAGCACTTTGCTATCCGAACGCGATGGATAGCTAAAGTCCACATTGCGGAACGTGATCTCGCCAATGGGCTTCGCGGTCGGCACATCGCCCTTGTCCAGCGGTATCGCAAACTCTCTGTCCAAAATCTCCCAGATGCGTTCCGAGGCGCCGATGCCCTTGTTCAGATGGCTATAGAAATTGGAGAGGCCGTTCATGGCGACGGCCACGTAGCCGGCGTACAGCATAAATGCGGTCATCGCGCCAATGGTCAGCTCATCGTTGAGAACCAGCGTGCCGCCATAGTACAGCACCGAGATGATTACAAAGTTGCCCGAGAAGCCGGTCTAACGGGAAAGACAGAGAGAGCGAGAGAGAGAGAGAGGAAACACATTAGCTAGCTTAAATGAAATGGACGGATCGGAAGAGCCCTCACCAGGCCAAAGAACATGGAACGTGCTTTGGTCTCCTTGTAGCCAATTTGCAGCGCCTCGTTTAGCTTGGCATCGTAATCCTCGCACTCCTTCTGCTCGCGGCAAAAGACCTTGACTGTGCGCACATTGCCGAAACGTTCCTCGGCATGCTTCATTATCTCCGCATATTTGTCCAGCTCCGAGCGGGTTATGCGACGCACATAACGCCCATAGACGATGGCAATGCCCGCCAGAGCGGGCACCACCAGGGCACTGACCAGCGCCAGCTTGGCCGAGGTGAAGATCTGAGCAAAATACATAATATTATAATAATATTTATGGAAATCCTGGTGCCCTATACGCACCATCATGCAGGAGCCAACGCTTATCATGGCCAGCGAGCGCAGGCCGTCGGATATGTTCTGGCTGAGCGAGATGCCCACGAAGTAGGTGTCGTTGCTCAGGCGATTGATAAGCTCGCCGGTGCCGCGCGTATCGAACCAGCCCACCTCCTGCATCAGCATGGCGCGATACAGATCGGAGCGCAGCTTCCGGACAATGCGCAGAGCTGCAAAGGGAAATACGCAACGAATTACCCAAATGGTTTGGCATGGGAAATTTAATTGTCGCTCACCTGCCGAGCCGAACATATAGACGCGGGCAAAGTTAGCAAAGCCGCCAATGACAAAGATCCAGAATAGCGTCATAATGTAGTCGCGCAAATCCTGCAGTGCCGGCGCATCCAGACCCTCCTTGTTGAACACAATGTCTATGACCTTGCCCAGAAAGAAGGGTATGCTCATGGTAATGCCCGACGAGATGATCAGACAGGACAGGCCGACTGCAACAGAGGAGAAACATGAGAGCTGCAGTTTCAGAATCAGTTTGCGCTTGGCCCATACATAAGATCGACCATTTCTCGTTCTTGACCAAATGGAGCAGATGCCTGTACTCGGATTTGGCCAGCTTGATGAGCGACTGCTGCGCCTCCGTATTGGTCACGAGCGCCTTGCCCTTCGCCCTGCCGCTCAGGCAGCGTCTGATTGTGACCAAACGGCCCGCCCATCTGGAGCCGAGCAGCTGACGCTTTGCCGCCAACGTCGCCGGCGGTCGAATGTTAAATAGATGATGATGGGGACGCCGCAGCAGCAATAGCGGTTGCCTCAATAGACTGTTATAGATGCTATATGGGCTGGTTGTCAATCTCGGGCCAGCGCAGGGCAACCGGGAGACTCGTAATGTTGTGCACATGTGCCTCAGTCGGGTGCAGTTCAACAGCATTGCGAGTTCTATTCAAATTCGTGACTATTTTAACACAAGAAATACGTCCAGAACAACTTTGATGTAACGCAACAATATCCACATACATATGTGTGTGTATATATGTATATGTCTTAAAAGAAATAAAGAACAAAAAATAAACTCGTGAATTTTGACCCCCGCACAAGCAGCCCGCAATAACCAACCAAATCAGCTGCTCGGCTGCCATGCATCATACAACTTTCGAAGGTTGCACATAGCTAGCAATGAGATATTAATCAGTGTTGAAAGTTTGTTTAAAGTTTGTGACGTCAGCGCACACTAGATGTGCAAAATTTACATCATGAAACTTTCGAAGGTTGCACACAACTAGCAATGCGATATTAACCAGTGTTGAAAGTTTGTTTATAGTTTGTGACGTCAGCGCACACACTAGATGTGTGAAATTGGCATCATGAAAGTTTCGAAGGTTGCGCACAACTAGCAATGCAAAGTTTGTGACGTCAGCACGTAGTAAATGTGTGCAATTTGGATCGTTAATAAATGGACAAATTTATTAATATATTCAAATATCAATGTTAAGAAAAAGAAGTAATTGTAGCTTAATACTCCTTAGCAGGAAGACATGTAATAATTGTTACTCAAATACTCAACCATCTTTTTATAGTGTTACCTGCACATCAAATAATATGCCCTAGTGTTGCCACTATATCGATTAATCGATAACAGCCGATAGCTCAACACGTGCGCAACCGCAATCGTAAATGAAATTTGTATTTGGATTTATTTATTTGAAGCCGCAACATGGAAATAGGCGAAGGTAAGCTGCACGCCAAGCGCACAAATAAATAACTAAATATACAATACTTATCAAAATTGCAGAACTGCGAACATGGCTGCAGGACAAGAGCAAAGCGTACACGGCACGCCTGGAATTCTCAATTAAAGTCTGGCAATCGCTCGACTTCGTTTACATCAACAAGCACGAAGTCATTTGCCAATGGCTCGCCGAGACGCTGGAGGAACAGCAGGAGCAGACGGAGTCTGAGCTGCCCGTGGCACAGCTGCAGCAGCTGTTCAGCCTGCGCGCCCAGCCAGGCCTGGTAAGCGTGGCCACAAAATCGTCGCTAATTCAGGCGCTGCTCAAACGCATACGGAAAGCTGCACCCGCCGTTGCACAGACGCATCCCGAACTGCTGCAGCGCCTGATTAACTTTGAGCTGGTGCAGGATGCACTGCGCGCCGACTACGAGCTGCTCATGTCCTGCTACGGCACGCTCTTCACCTGCTACGAGCGACAGCTGCTACGTTCCGATGCTCCTGATCAGCAGCAGCGGCATGCGGACTTTGTGCTGCCCCTGCTGCAGCAGCTGCGCGACTATGTGCAGCGCGCCCAGAATCACGAGCGCCTGCTCCAGGCCTACACGACCTCGGCGCTGCAGCCGCTCTGCCAGCTGTTGCTGCAGCTGCGCGAGCACGGACTCTGCTGCTTCGAGCAGCTGGCGGCATTGGAAGCACAGCTCACCGAGCAGCTAAAGACGTCCGGCGCCACCAAGCGCATGTCCGAGCAGCCACTGCATGTGCATCTGCTGCTGTTGGAGTGCGCGCTGCTCAACCATCGCTACGATCCGTCCAAGCAGCACAAGCTGATGCAATACGCGCTCGAATGGAAGCAGGCGCAGATCGAGCAGGAGCAGCAAACTGAGCCGGAGACGCATCCCTTGGCGCTGCTGCTGACCACCCACGCGCTGGAATCGCTGCGCAAGCACAACATACAGCTACAGTTTCCCGAGCAGCTGAAGCAAACGGCACTCAGCTTTGTCGGCGACCAATTGTTCCTATTGCTGCGCCAGCATCGGGCGGAGCATTTGCGCGAGGTGCTGCAGCTGCTGTGCGCGGCGCTGCGTCTCAATCCGCTGCTAATCCAGCCGCATGTCTATCAGTTCACGGTCTGGATGATGTGCGCGCCGAAGCGCAACGCGCTCGAGCTGCGCCTCTACTCCGAGTATCTTGTACTCCTGCTGGACATGTGCCGGCGTCTCAGCCACACCGAGCGCTTTGTGATGCAGCTGCTCAAGTCGCTGCGCGAGTGGCTGCACAAATTCGAGCTGCCTGCGCTGCCCGCCGGCGGAGAGTCCAAGCGCAGTCGCCAGAGTCTGGAAGCGGCGCAGCAGCAGCTGGACAACTGCAGCTATGTCCAGCTACTACTCAAATACGCCACGAATAGCTCCTGCGCCAGCTCCAACTGCAGCGCCAGCTCGAGCCATAGCTCGGAGCGTCTGGCACAGACCTGGCCCAGTCACTCGGCGGGCGCCGCCTTCATCCGGCTTGTCAGCCAGCTGATGTTCAAGCCCTCGCTGGCCATTTGGAAGATGCTGCTCTTTAGCTTTGCCGAGCTGCTCGAGCCCGAGTCGAACGCCGTTCTCGCACCGAATCTGAGCTTTGCCATCGAGCTGCAGGCCACGCTGCTCTCGCAGTATCTGCTGGGCACGCGCATGGCGGAGCAGGTGCAGCATCATCAGCCGGAGCTGGAACAGCAGCGCCAGCATACGATCCAGGTGCTCCAGCAATTCGGACGCTATCTGCTCGCACGTGAGCACAATCGACGCACCATGAACGTCTTCCTCGAGTGCGTGGAGCGCGCCAACAGCTTTGAGCTGCTGCTCGCCTACTACTGGCCGGACGGATTGGCGCGGCCGCAGCCTGTGGAGCAGCTGCCGCAGCTGCATCGCTTTCTATCCGCCGACGAGTGGGAGCTGATCCAGCAGCGTGTCCACAATTTTGGCAAGTCCCTTTGCCGGCAGCGACTGCAGCGCCTGGAGCTGCAGCTGGCCGAGAGTGGCTGGCTGCTGTTGCCCAATCAGCGGGCGGAGCCCTGCCCGGATGCACTTGTCCAGCTGCTGCCGTGGCAGCTCTCCATGCATCTGACGCGCGACCAGAAACAGCTGCGTCTCCAGCAGCAGCAGCAGCTGGCCGCCCATCTGCCCGAGAATGCGGAGTGCGTGGAGCTGTTGGCGCTGCAGCTGCTCGAGGAGTACGCCGCCAGCCTGAAGCTGGCCAAGATCAAGGGCGCACTGCTGCCCAAACAGCTGCCCCAGGCCGAGCACGAGTCGGCCCTGGCCCAGACGCTGAGGCAGCACTGCGCCAGCAGCAAGCGGCCAGCCCTGCCGGAGGAGTCCACGCGACACCTGGTCGAGGCACTGCAGCAGCTGCCGCTCGCCCAGCTCCAGAGCGGCATCAAGCTGCGACTCTTTTTGCTCATCTTCACACTTTACCAGGATGTGCGGCGCGATCAGCTGACGCAGTTGGCCAACCAGCTGCTCGAGCAACTTATTGGTGAGTCTTGATTTGGGGCATATCCGACTGGTGTATACCCTAACTGATTGACTATCAAGCCACAGCTTCATAGCATGGTATACGACTGGCATATACCCTGTAATATGCAAATTAGTTAACATTACTCCCGATTGAATTAATTTAGGGGGAATATCCGACTAGCATATACCCTGTAGACCGCCCATCTGTTTGACGAGCAAGGCACAGCTGCATTTTGCACAATAGCTAGTGGGAAATCTGACGGGCATATACCCTGTAAACTGAATATTAATCTATTTCTCCTGATTGACTAACTGTGGTTGATTTGATTGATTGATTGATGCTTCTTTCGCACAGGAGTTAGTGAGAAATCCGATTGACTGATGCCCAGCAGCATGTATATTATTGTTTCTGTTTCTTTGATTGACCAAACGTGATTGATTGATTGATTGATGTGTACAGTAATTCATAGTCGCAATCGTTCGAACTGGATAGCTTGCATATACCCTGTACCTTGCATCTTAATCTATTTCTCATGATTGATGAACTGTGATTGACAGATTGATTGATGTGCATTTCATAGTCCCAACCGTTAGAACTGGGCAGCTGCATCTGCGATAATGTCCGACTAGCTTATATCCTGTAAACTGAATATCAACTGATTGACTTACTGACTGATTAAGTGATTGACTGATTGATGATCAATGCTCGGTAGTATATCCAACGGACTGACTGATACCCTGTAATAGGCAAATTAATATGTGTGTGCTGATTGACTGACTGTGATTGACCGCTTTGATTGATGGATAGCCCAGCGCTATCGAGCTAGGTAGCTGTATTTTAACTTGAAGCTAAGAATATACGAGTGGCATATATCCTATAACATGTATATTAGGCAAGTTGTTCTTCTCGGCCAACTGATTGATTGATTGATTGACTGATTGAGCATGAATACCCTCCCCTTCTTTGCAGATCTGCTGCACTTTGGCCAGCCTTTGCCGCTGTGCAGCCACCTGCCGCAGCTGGAGGAGCTGCTGCAGCTGGTGCCCCTGGAGGGCAGCGATGACTCCACCGCCTGGCGCTTCTATGAGACGCTTTTCGGGCGCTGCATACGCCGTCTGGCGCCGGGCAGCGATGCCTTTCTGGTCAGCTGTGCTGCGCTCTTCCGCGAGCAGTCGCAGCTGTCGCCGGCGCATTGCCGGCTGCTGCTGCTGGCCATCGAGACGCTGGCGAGCGCGACGGGCGTGCTGAACCGACGGATGCAACGGCATCTGCAGCCGCTGCTCGAGATCTATGGCAAGTTTGTGGCGCACAAGTTCCGCTCGCACAAGAAGCCGCCGGCTGTCTACAAGGACTTTGTGCAGCAGACCCTCAGCGGCTATGCCATCTATCTGAGCAGCTGCATCAATCGCGCTGCCAAGCAGCAGCGGGACGAGGAGGCGCCGGAGAAAACACAAACGAGCGGCGAGTCTTCCGTACAGCCCATCGATGAGAACTTTCGGCGCATCTGCAAGATTTACATTGGACACTCGGTAAGCCTAATAACATTAGCTCGATTACATATGTATGTTAAGGAGATGTTACAGAGACCTAACATGTGGCTGTTAACATGCGACTGTTAACTATATTTCGATAACATTTTTATGCTTAGCTCTGGCACGGTTCTTGATCTACAACAGTTAACTATTATAGAGGCTAAACATTTTTGGTCACACTTGAGTTATCTGATCCGATCTGGTCACACTTGTAAATTAAGCATTTACCGTTAGTAAAGCCAGCCAGAGTTAGGTTAGATTTGATTTATAACCTCAACTTGTATCTAACTTTTCTTCCCTTCCCTTCGCTTCTTTTGTGGCAGCTCAATTATCGCAATGCGCATGCGATACGCCTACTAAATGTGGCTCTAACGCATCGCCAGCTGCTGCATCTGGACCAGGACGAGATTGAGTTTGTGCTGGACAGCTATTGGCGGCAGCTGAACGCGGACATTGCGTCCGAATCGGCGCTGGACATGGGCAGCATTGAGCCTGCCGTCAAGCTAATAATTGGTTACAAGACCAACGAGGATTTTCTGCTGCTGCTGCGACGCCTCAGCCAACAGCTGGACGGCATGCGTCGGCCGGAGACAAATGCCGAGCACACCAGCCTCCAGAACGTGCTCGTGCTGGTCACGCTGATCGCCAAATGCTCGCTGAGCAGCATCAAGGGAGCGGTTAGTTAATGGATACTCCAATTAAGTTCTTACACTGATATTCGCCCTCTTCTTTGCAGATGCTCAACGAGCACTTCGAGCTGATCAGCGGCAATGTGTCGCTGCGTCTGCCGCCGGCAAGCGATGCCGCCTACTGCGGCCATGTGCTGCGCCTGCTGGAGGCACAGCGCGCTCTGGCTGGCAACCGAACCGTGCCGCTGACCGGCGAGACGCTCGACTCGCTGCTGGCCAGCATGCTGGACGTGAATATCAAACGCTTCATTGTGGCCGGCGGCAGCTGGTCGGACTTTCGGCAGCTGCATTCGGCGCTCGCCGAGAATTGTCTGCTGCTGTTGCGTCAGCAGGCGGCGCTCATGTCGGATCGTGCGCCACAGCTGGCGGCGCTCTGCCAGGACCTGGTGCAGTCGATTGTCTGCTATCGCAGCGAACGCAAGCAGGCCCAGAGTCTGACCGATGAGGAGCTGGATGGTTTGTCGGAGCTGGCGCTCAAATTGGTCACGCTCATGGCTGGCATTGCTGCCGGGCCGCAGGCGCTGGCCATGAAGCGTGTGGCGCCCTTTTTGCTCATCTTTACCATCAAGCAAATGATTGCCACCGAGCGGCCCACCACGCTCTTCGAGAAGGTAAGCGCACGCGCGACAGAGAGAGAGAAAGAGAGAGAGACTGAGTTTGTTTCTTCTCGTTTCAGGTCAAGCTGCATTTGGATCGCTTCTGTCATGAGCTGATCGGGATTTGTGATCATCGCGCCGGACACTTTATATTGCGCGCCAGCAGCGAGGCGGGCGCCCGCATGTACCAGAGCCTGGTCAAGGAGCACGACAAGTATCACAAGTTCCGTGGCAAGGTCTAGGCAGCAGCAACTCCCTTTCTTTTCTACTCTAAAGTTGGTTTAATTAATAAATGTGATTTACATCAAATAATTGCAACTTAACAGTGCGACCCATTTGTTGCAATCAAGCGTTTCGCAGTGCGGCCCATTTGCATTTAAGAGCTTGACAAGGCAAGGTCTAGGAAGAGAGAGAGAGAGAGAGAGAGAGTACGCCTTTGTTTCTACTCTAAAGTTAGTTGGTTTTTTTTTATTATTAAATATTAATAAATGTGATTTACATCAAATAATTGCAACACCTTTTTTGTATTTGTTGTGTTCGTACATTTTTGATTTTGTTGTTGTTTTCCGTTTGTTTTTGTCGTGTGTAAGGGTCTCTCTTTTTGAGCTGTGCCCATGATTTAAGCTTGCGAGCGGGCAACACAGCCTAAGGCAGTCGGCGAGAGCTTTACAGTGTGTGTGGGTGTGTGTTGCAGTGCGCCCCATGTTTGTTTGTTTTTTTTTTTTGTTGGCAATCAAGAGTTGTGCAGTGCGGCCCCATTTGCATTTAAGAGCTTGACACAGTGCGCCCCATTAGCATGCAATTAGATGAATTCACAAATTTCGATGTGTTACTTTATCGTTTGATTCGATTTGATATTGATTTTGTTTTGATATGATTTGAATTATGATTTGTTTTGAATTTGAATTGAAATTTGTTGCTGTGTTTCATGTTGCGTGTTGTGTTTGTGTGCGTGAAAAGTGTTCTTAGCTCGAACTGTGCCTGGGAAGTGAATTTGGCTTCAAGGCAGCTGCACAGCTTTTATGATGGTTGCGACATATTGGCAGAAGATGTTGTTCATATAAATATATATATATATAAATTATTTGATGATAATGAGTCCTATTTTTTTTGTCTCCTGGTTACCACGTTTTGTACTTGTACTTCCATTCCATATATCTCTGGCTCAATATTTGATAATTCATGTATCAGGTAGCGTTCGTTCGTTCGTTTGTGTGCGTCTTGTTGTGTGTGCGTGTGTGTGTGCGTGTGTGTGTGTGTGTGTGTGTGTGTGTGATGAGCCCTTTTAGGCGACAAACATTTGGCAGACCTCGCACAATGGATGTTCAGCTTCCTCCGGACGATTGCCGCTGCAAGGGAATGCAAAAAGAAGCAGTAAGTATATGTGTCTGGCGAAACAAATGGGCAGCACTTACAACAGGGTCACACAGGTGCGGCAAATAAATTGGCTGCACTCGACGCACGAATAGCCGCACTCCTCACACAAATCGAACGTACAATTAACACAAGTGCCGCGTATAAGAGTCGGCCGCTGGCAACAATTGGATAGCCGGCGCTCCAGGCCCGGATTGGCGACATCCGGATTCATGTCGCGCAATATGATGTTACCGTCGCCAATCAGCTGATATTGTTCGCACAGATTGTGCGAACTGGCGGCAGATGGCGCCAGCTGCTGCTGTTGCTGCGGCTGTTGTTGTTGCTGTTGTTGTTGTTGCTGTTGTTGTTGCTGCTGACTGCTCGCCTCTTCCTTGGCGCTGGCGGTCTCCTTGTTGTTGGCATCCAAATTGGCGGCGGCCTTGAACAGCATCTTGGTCGTTTTGTCTGCAATAACAATTCTCAAATAATTATATATATATATATATATATATTGTCTTTACGCACCGTGCACCGCTTTCATTTTCTCTGGATCGCGCGAATCGTTGATTTTCTCGTTAACCCAAACCTTGCTCTGGGTCGTATTATTGTTACTCTCATCGTCATCGGAGCGCATGCGTTTCAATGGTTTGCCTTCCATGTTTTGTACAAAACAAAAAAAAAAAAAAAAACAAATACAAAAAGCAAAAAACACAAAATCCCTCTTTTTTTTTTGGTGTTTTTTCTTTTCTCTTCTTTTTTTTTTTTTTTTTTGTTGATTGAAAAAAATAGAATATTCTTTGAACAGCCGGCTGCTTGTTAATGTCACTGCTGCTGCAACTGGAAAGACTGAATTTATTGATGACAATGCGGCCGGCGGCTGCCAGTTTGTTGGCCAGTGCTGCATTTCGCAGCTGAGCGACAAGTGTTGGCTAATGCCAGCGCGCCGATACAATCGATAAACGGCTATCGTATGAGCGCGCGCATTTGCAACACTTTTTCGTTACGTTTTGAAATGTTCGTTTTGGCACTCACTTTGGCAATTCCGCAGTTGGGAAAGTTTCAGGTATTCATTTGTTTAATGCATCCACCGAAACGCAGCTTGAACTGTTTGTATTATTGTGTGTGTGTCTGTGTGTCTGTGTGGATTGAGATACAAAAGAATTTTGCTTAAGTTTTTATTTGTTTTATTATTCGTGTAGGTAACTCAAAATTTACAAATCGAAATGAACTTGAAATGAAATCGAAATGACTGAAGGCTGGATTATATACATATATTCTACATATATATATGTATATATATATATACATATATATACATATTATATACATAATATATGGGCGCCAACAATATCGAGCAGGCCTACTTTGATTTCAAATTAATTTCGCCCTTTCTCATTTTTCTCAATTGTTCATGCCTGCATGCTCACATTTCGTTTATTTCCATTGCGACCCTTTACAAATTTACTGAGATTCTCGTTGTCGGCATTGGACTTCTTCAGAAAATCTGTGGTGCCCGTTCCTCCCGATTTGTGTTTGTTCGTCTTCTTCTTAACGGATATATCCGACTTGGATGTGGATGGCGTCGCCTCCTGATAGCTGCTGTTCTGCTTTTTGGCAGCCAGACGCTGCTCGGCGGCGGCTTCCCGCTTTTTACGCACCAACGCCAAACGGGCGAGATCCGCGTTCGCCTCGCTTGTCGTCTTCTGATTGGAATTGGAGCGCGGCTTTTCTCTGGCACGATCGCGACGACGCTTGTCCATTAGCGGATCCTCGAGAAGCCGGCCCTTGGCCTCGTCGGTGAGTAGTGCGTACTTTTGGGATTTCTTGATCGGACGATTCGGATTGGAGATCTCGATGAGGCCCTCAACGGCACCGCCCAGCTTTTTGCCCTTGGTAATTCCATTGCCGCACTCAATGACCTTGTCCTGGCTATTATCGTTGCTGTTGTTGCCATCGAATATGGCCTCCTCGATGCACTCGTTCAAGTTGTTGCCGTCTATCGATTTTAGACTCCCTTCCAGCTCCTGCTCACGTTGCAGTTCTTCAACCGGAGTAAACTGGCGGCTGCGCCCCTTGTGGTTTAAGAACTTACCGCGCGGCATTGCTTCCGGGATTCGGTTCGTTTCGTTACGTTTCGGATTCTCTTCTTAAACATAAACTTGCGTACCGTCTGGTTAAGATTTCAATTTTTTCTTTAATTTACAAGTTGAACAGCTTGACAGGACGAATCGAATTGCAAATGAGACCTAAAAACGACACAGCTTAAGCACTTCTAACCAAAATAATTGATGTTGTTTCCAAAGCTAGTTAAGAATTAAGCTGTGAGCAAACGCATTCAATCAATTTGAATTCGATAAGAAAAAGTGCATTGCTCGCCGATAGGCATAATCGATAGCACATTAACAGCAGCTGTTGCTGCTCAAATGAACTGTTAACGCTCACTAAAACAATTTGGTTAATTGCTTGAACCAACAGTTGCATATATATTTGCTATATAAATATAAATTAATCAATATATAAATGTTTTTATTGTTCATTTTCAATGCATCTTAAATTAATTCTAAAAACATATTTAAATATTTCGCTTGCTGCTACAAAGGATTGCGTACTATCGAAAATGTTACGATATATCGAAACGATATATCGAGCTAACAGCACCGGCTCGTGACAGCGAATTCGACGACGCCTTCTAACAGAGCACCCCACCTTTAACAGAGCTGAATTCTACTAACAGAGCTCTGTACCGCTTAGCAGAGCTGACAACTTCTAACAGAGTTGAAGCTGCTAACAAAGCAGTTCATCTTCAAGCAGAGTTGACACCTTTTAAAAGAGCACTTCAACTTCTAACAAAGCAAAGTCCCCTAACAGAGCACTCCACCGTTTAACAGTGTTGCCAGCTGCTAACAGAGCACTCCACCGTTTAACAGAACTGACTCGCCATTTAAAATCTAAAATAAGTAAAACTATCGTTAATCGACTGTGCCGTGAGCTGTAACATTTTGTGAAATTCAATTCCCAAAGCATTCGAGTCGAGCAAGCGGCCCCACAAATTCCACGTACAGTAAACACAGAGACGCGTATGCATGCAGCAGCAGCAGCGCCGGCAACAGGTAGCCACAACAACAACAACAACAACAACAGCAAAACCGAACGCACAGCGTGACATTTGCAGTAACAGCTGACGCGGACAACAACAGCAAGAGCAAGAGCAAGAGACAACCAATCGCGAATTGCAGTGAACAACGGGCCTAGCTACTTAACGGATTCCGTGTATTTTTCGAGGCATGTCTGTGGACGATAATACGCCCGTGCTGCGTGGCTGCATCAAATTGCCGCTGGCCACGGACGAGCTGCTCGAGGTGACCGCCAAGGCCAAGGACTATGCGATTATGCATGGCGCCGCCATGCGTTCCAAGACCAGCTTCAGTCCGGACTCGCTAAATGTGAGTATGCAAAATTGCTGCTGCTGCTGCTGCTGCTGCGGGCGTTACTCAACACTACTTTTGTTTACAGTTTGCGCCCTTTGTGCTGGTGCCCTCATCCTTTCCGCGCAAGGAGTTCGAAAAGGCGATCGCCCTGCAGCCGATCATAAATCGCCTAATGCACAATGTGGCCCACGATGAGGAGTTCATAACCACAACGCTGGCGGAGACAATCAAAGTGGATGAGTTTACGGCCAATCTGTTCAATATCTATCGCAAGGTGCTCGCCCATGGCTTTACCCAGGTGAGACAGCATATGTTCGTTTGCAAGCCATCCAACCACGCCCAACCATGCCCATTGTCAGCTTCATTCCCGGCTCATTTGGCATATTTGCACCACATAATCACATCCATGTCGGCACCATGTCCAATATCCAGCTTTAGGGTCCAGGCTGCTAGTGCAGGTGTTAGTGCTATTTCTCGCTTGCTCTCCCACACTCTCGCTCTCTCTCTGTCTGTTTCTTTCTCTCATATTCATAAACGACATTGGCTCGCTATCTTATCGTGACATCATAAATCCCATGGCCAAGGTAGCCCCATCGGCTAACAGTTAATCTCAAGCGTTGCCACTTGATTTATGCGCACATCCTGAACTCGAGCACATGGCAGGCACCTGCTGCGCTGCCTCTGCTGCTGCGCGCTGCCTCTGCTGCTGCGCTGCCTTTGCCGCTGCTGCTGTTAATCAAAACTGATTTCGATATATTATTTAATTTTCCTTCAATTTATTAGTTTCCTTTTTCTTTCTTCTGTTCGCTTTCTCTCCCACTCTCTCTCTCCCCCTCTCCCTCTCTCTCTCTCTTGTGGTGCTGCTCGTTGTTGTTATTGTTGTTCTCGCTGTTGATATGGCCCAGCTTAATGTTTTATCTATCCAAACTAAACAAAAAAAAAGAAAATTTACTCACGCATTGATTTGACATTTTCTGCTTTCCTCCAAAAAACCCGAACCTAACAAATTGCGCAAAACCCGATTTGAATCGAACCGAAACAAAAAAAAAAACCGATTCCGAAACCGAAACTGAACCGAATATCACATTTTGTGTTGCTCGTTTTAACGTAATCGTTATCGTTATCGTTATCGTAATCGTATACCGATTCACACTCTCTCACACACACACACACTCTCACACACACACACACTCTCGCACACACCCATTCGCCCACCAAAGCGCATCTCGTTGGGCATGCTGCGCAGCGATCTGATGCTGGAGTCCCGCTGCCCGGAGCTGTCGCCCCTGTTGGACTCGAGCGCTGGCGGTGGCGACGACGACGATGTGGATGCGGATACGGATGCGGATGTGGAGGAGCAGGAGCAGCGGCGGGCAAAGGACGCAAAGGCGAAAACCAAAACCAAGGCAAACCCGGCCAAAATTGGCGGGCGCACCTCATCGGCCTATTGCTGCTGGAAACAAGTCGAGATCAATACGATAGCATCGGGTTTTGGCCATTTGGGACCAGCAAGTAAAACCATACAAAGGTGCTGTCTCTCTCTCTCTCTCTCTCTCTCTCTCTCTCTCTCTCTCTCTCTCTCTCTCTCTCACTCACTCACTCTTTCTCTCTCTCTCTATCTCTCCACCTATATATATATCTATCATATATACACTCGCATTGCCTGTATATGCCGAAGCCTAACCAAAGCCACTCACAAACAAATGTACACACACCCAGAAACACACACACACACACAAACACGTGAAAAAGTAATCCATAGATCAGCTCTAGAAACAGACAACAAACAGACAGATACTTGGGCTGAGATAGTCTATATGATCTAGACTGTAAACCCAACCTAAGATCTGCAAGTACGAACGAGTACTCTGAGTAGAAAAACGAGTACTCTGAGTACGAGAACGAGTACTCTTAATACGAGAAGGAGTACTCCGAGTACGAGAACGAGTACTCTGAGTACGACGAGTTCTCTGAGCACGAGAACGAGTACTCTGAGTACGACAGCGAGTACTCTGAGTAGGAGAACGAGTACTCTGAGTACAAGAACGAATACTCGGAGTACGAGAACGAATACTCTGAGTACGACGAGTTCTCTGAGAACGAGAACGAGTACTCTGAGTACCACAGAGAGTACTCTGAGTACGACAACGAGTACTCTGAGTACCCTGTAGAATAGATAGGGTATACTCGGAAACTACAACTCTCTACGCCCTATTGATCGATCCAATATTTCAATACATGTAGGAACTTGCTGGCCAAGGCATAGATTTGGCTATATCTAATCGCAATGTGCTTGAGATTCTATCTAAACTAGAAATATTTCAGATGGTTAACCTAGCTATATAAATTTGAAACTAAATGGCGTTTAAATAATATTGAACAACTGATTTTAATACGTCTGACAAATAGTTATACGATCACGTGGAGTAGGCCGTTTTTTAATCGCAAGATAGCACAGAATAAAAATCAAATAAAAAAAACCTCTAGAAAGATCTTAGATTATTTCACCAGCAGGCCAATTTAAATGTTTTGGGCTTTTGGGTGAAGAGTTTATTTCCGATAACAGACCAGCATTGGTTAATTGCTTGGCTTGTGGTTTGTGAAAAAATGACTCGACTTTGACACGAACCTTCTTGCTTAACCCGTTACTCGCCCTGTGTGTATGTGTATGTGTGCGTGTGTGTGTTTGGGCTTGTGTTATTTCTTATGCGCTGGCAATGCAAATGCGAAACGCCAGCTAAACTTTTATTATGTCCATGATTCATGTACAGCTAATTATTAATATTTTTATTATTATTATTGATATATGATTTAATTTATGCATTTCTATAGCTGCATTTTATATACGTGTTTGTTTTGAATTGTTTACCGTAGCCGTTAATTGCTTGCAAAACGCTGAACAAAAAAAATACGTATTTTTTTATTTCCCCAATCCTCGTCCAGCGCAAACCGCCCTCCGCCTACCGCCGCCTGCTCGTCCAATCCACAAAAAAAACACAACCGACCCGCTTCGTCTCGCCCCGCCCCGCCCCGCTTCGCCTTGCCTCGCCTGCTAAGCTTGCAATGCTTTTCTCTTATACCTAGCCTAGCATCTCTTCTACATATACATACATAATATATTTATGCGTATATATTAACTGTATTTCCCTCTTCCAGTGCATACATATATGAGTTGTGCCTCTTCTTACGTTCTTATAATTTTTGTCCGTCACCTTCTACCTCCCCCTCTCCTACCTACCTCGTGTTGTCGCTCCTATTGTTTTGTTTAACAGTTACAGTTACAGTTACAGTTAGAAACTGGTTAAATTAGCAGCGTCATTCAATCAGCCGAGTCTTATCGCTGGTTGCCAGCTATTAAATGACCGCAAAAAATAAATATAAAAAAAAAATCCGTAGAAACCAAATGAGTTACGCACACACACACACACACACACACGATCCCGCACACCCCCACACATGCATAAACGTCATGCAATGAGTCGTGCTCAGATTTCTGTTTATGCCTAGAAGTTCCTTAGAATTCAATTAAAATTACCAAGAATTTGTAACAATAGCAACAACAGCAACATATTTGTAGGGAAAACTAGATCTAAGGGAAATTCTCTAGAAAATGTAATATACCGTACCTGAATACATCTCTTCCGGCACAATGCGGCATTGTGCATGCGTGTGTGTGTGTGTGTGTGTGATCTATATACGATTGCTGCACACATACACACACGCACACAAATGAACACAAATCATCTGCTTCGAGCTAGCCTGGCGCTTGCGTGCCTTGCCAGACATTCATAGGCCGTTACATGAATTCATCGAAATCGATAAATCGTATCGATATGCATTGCTTTCGCTTCCATTGCTCTCTCGCTCGCTCTCTCTCTCTCCATTTTATTCTTTGCCTCACACACACCCACACACACACACACTCGACGCCTTCGGTTAGCGTTGCCCGCTCTCTATTTGATAAACAACTATCAGTATTTTGTTGGTATTATTTTTTAAAAAATTAAACACATTACTTTTCATTTTGATTTTTTTTTTTTTTTGTTACCGTTTTACAACAACTAAATATTAGCTAAGATTAGTTTAGGCTAAGGGCAGCTGCTATGTAATACATGATTAAGCAGCTACTACTGTACACACATACATATGTATACCACACACACACAAAAAAAATATATATATATAATGTATAACGATCATAATTGCAGGCTTATAGCGTCGGTCTATTACGTTCTGACTATTTGGCTCACGTGTACGAGGGCTGTGCAATAAAGCAGGTTGAAATCAACACGATTGCCTCCAGTTTCGGTGGCATTGCTACACAATTGGTGCCTCTGCAGAAGTATTATGCGCTCTTCTCTCTCTCTCTCTCTCTCTCTCTCTCTCTCACACACACACGCACACATACATACGCACACTTTCTCTATATTTCTCTCACATACACAATCCCATCAACTCTCAATTTAGCACACTGTTTGCACTACTTTTTTTTATTATAGTTGCAGTTGAGCCTGTTTCGAATTCCGTTAGAATATTATGAAAAATTTCGTGCTAACGGCATTCGACACGGGCTCGAACATGCACACACACACACACACACACACATACATAGCAGCACGCACTTCAGTACAATCCCTCTACCCCCCACCCCTACCGCGCCCACTCACTCGTAATTATAAAGCACATTTGGCCCATTTGAAGGTCGCGCCCACTCATCAAACTGTAAATGGCATGCACTCGCACTCGCACTCGCACTCTCTCTCGCTCTCCAACTCTTTTATTTACTACCTGCTTAATCTTACTCTCACGCACACACACACACACACACATACAAACTCACTGTTCCCGCTTTCTCTCTCTCTCTCTCTCGCTCTGTCACACACTTTTTGGCTTTTGGTTATGGCTTTGACTTGAGCTTTGTGATGCTATTCCAAAATCAAAAAAAAAAAAAAAACCGTTCCCCGCACCCCGTTTGTAATCCCCGCTCTATATTTGCCTGCTAACTTACTTTGTATTGTACATAATATATCCCCCCCCCCCCTCCTTTTTTTTTAACTAGTCACTTTTGTTGTTGTTTGTTCTTGTTCTTGTAAACTATCTCTCTCTATTTTTGTTTCTTAACTGTACAAATTACTAATTTGTTTTTCCTTTTGCCGCCGCCGCCGCCCTCTCTTTCAACCTGCCCACAGCTTCGTTTTGCGAGAACTGGGACATGCCGAGAAGCTGCAGCGCGTGAGTATCTATTATAAATATCAATACAGTGAAAGCTCCAATAATGAACAACTGTGAAGAGAGAGAGAGAGAGAGGGAGAGTTCTTTTCAAAATGAAGCTCAGTTGTTCGTTCAAGCGAGCTTTCACTGTGTAGAGTCTTGCCTCAGCAGCGCTCTCTTATACATGCGCTCTCTCTTATACATGCGCTCTCTCTCCCCTGCGGCAGATGCCGAAAAACGACGCGCTGGCTGGCCTGTGCGATGGCATGGTCAAGGCTTGGGATATATACGCCAAGCCGCAGGCCGTCATACTGTTCATCATTGAGGAAGTCTCCTACAACATATGCGATCAGCGTTTCCATGAGTTCTACATCCGGGAAACGTATCCGCATATCAAAGTGCTGCGCCGCACCTTGACCGAGGTGCATCGCGACGGCAAGCTGGGCCAGCACAAGGAGCTGCTGCTGTGCGTATAAACTCGACGAGATTCCAAACATGGCGAACCCCAAAATCTCTCTCCCTCTCTCTCTCTTTCTGCCTTTGCAGCGGCAGCACCGAGGTGGCCGTCATCTATTTCCGCGCCGGCTATGAGCCGGGCCATTATCCGTCGCAGGGTGAGTGGGATGCACGCTATTTGATGGAGACATCGCTGGCCATCAAATGCCCATCGATCCACTATCATTTGGCCGGCACCAAGAAGGTGCAACAGGCGCTGGCACAGCCCTCGGTGCTGGAGCGTTTCATCAACGATCCGGAGGAGATGAAGGCCGTTGGCAAAATCTTTACCGGCCTCTATTCGCTGGACGACAACGAGGCGGGCAATGCCAACTATGAGATGGCGTTGCGCACGCCCGAGAAATTTGTGCTGAAGCCGCAGCGCGAAGGCGGCGGCAACAATGTCTACGGCTTGGACATTCCAGACGCACTGAAGGTAAGTCAGCCAACCGAATCCTTGACGTTCTCAATGCGCGACTGCATCTCATACGCATCTAATTGCAGCGCATGTCGCGCGTAGAGCGCTCCGCTTGGATACTGATGGATCTGATACATCCGCCGTTGTCGCAGGGCTATATGGTGCGACCCGGCAGCGCTATGCCGCCCCAGATAGTCGACATGGTGTCCGAGCTGGGCATCTTTGGTGTCGTCATCGGCGATGCCGAGCACATTGTCCACAACTATCAAGCCGGCCATATGCTGCGCACAAAGCTATCGACGGCCAACGAGGGCGGCGTCGCCGCCGGCCTGGGCGCCCTCGACAGTCCCTATCTAATCGATTCCGATGATGAGGATGGCTACTTCTAGGCACAGTTGCGCCATGTATTCGATAGATTATCCACAGCTATTTTTGTAATGCGCGTAGAATTGTCAAAATCGGTGCAATAAATTCAAATGTAAATACCAAGCGCCAGAGCTGTTCTCTCATATGGAATGCTTGGAAAGCTTTTTATATATCCAAACTACACGGATTAGAAATTTAAAAAAAAGCGAAGGGAACCGCATGCTGAGTGCCAGGATCGGCGGCTTATCACCGCACCATTTTGCGATAGGTGGCGTCCATCAGGCGATCCACCATGTGGTCAATGGGATGCACTATCAGGGGTATGCTCGCCAGTCCAATGATTGTTGGCAGCGTCTTGAGCACAATGCTGGGCGACTTTTTCAGCAGGGAACGACTGATCGCGGTGATCCTGAAACGGATGGATGATAATATAGTTGGAGCAGGTGAGAGCAGGCGGTCGCAGCTTATACCGATTAATGGTCAGGCCGGGTATTAGGACAGAGGCCAGCATTTGCCAGGTGAACACATCGGCGCCCATGAGCAGCATCTCGCGATCGGTGCCGCCGGCCATTTGATGGCGCAGCGCCTTATCGAATGTATCGGTGCACACATAGCCAATGGCCATGCCATAGGATGCGGCTACAAATGATTTGGGCACAAGCGGACGGAAAGCCTCGCCCACCTCGTTGCTGTAGCCTGGCGATGGCAAATATATATAGATATGATGGTCAGCAGTTGGTGAAGGTTACCGCTCACCCATGTATCGTATGAAGGTGTGCCGATAGATGTCCACCTCTTTTTGGTCTTTCTGCATTTGGTGTGCCTGCTCCTCCAGTTTGTCGATGCGTGGCTGGTTGGCCTCTGTGGTTTCTGGCTTAGCCATTGCTAGCTAAGCGTTTGGTGCAAGCGTATGTGTACTTTAGTTGCGTAATGACAAAACAAATTTCAATTGACAACATTTAAAAATTTCAGCCTATGCATATAGTATCGTTGTTATCGTAACGCTTTCAACAGTCTGGCAGCGCTGCAGAGTTGTCACCCTCGACTGGAAATCGTTTTACAATCGATTGGTTATCGACCTGACCGCCACAAATTACCATAAAGACGTCAAGCGTATCATGGTTCATTTTTTTGTCGTGAGCGTGAGTGCAAGTGCTTTAATAAAACAAACGATTTCAAGAAATTGCCGCATTTAATTTGGGGTAAGTTTGTTTTAAACACATTTTAGCGGGCTTAATGTGCAACAGTACGGTAGAAGCGGCAAAAGCCGCACAAATACGGCGCGCGCGGCAAAAGCTAGCCGCAAGCCACACAAACACACACGCGCGCACCAACACACACACACAAACACAAATGCAGATGATGCAAAAAAAAAAAAGAGGAAAAACACAAACAACTATGCAAAACCTTTGAAACAAACCGATTGCGTTGTTTTAATGTTATAGTATTCCTTTATTTTTCGAAAACTCTCAGCCTGGCAAACGCGCGAACATTTGCGCAGGGCGTTCTGTGTGCAAACAACGCTCCCCCGGCCGCCGTCTAACCCCCCCCCGTCCCCCTGACGCTTGCAATTTTTGTGTTTCGTCGCCGTCGTTCCCGGCTGCCATGTCCGACTACAGCGACCTGGATCGCCAGATCGAGCAGCTGAAACGCTGCGAGATAATCAAGGAGAACGAGGTGAAGGGCCTGTGCGCCAAGGCGCGCGAAATTCTCGTCGAGGAGGGCAACGTGCAGCGCGTCGATTCGCCGGTTACCGTTTGCGGTGATATCCATGGCCAGTTCTATGATCTGAAGGAGCTGTTCAAGGTGGGCGGCGATGTGCCCGAAAAGAACTATCTGTTTATGGGCGATTTTGTGGATCGCGGCTATTACAGTGTCGAGACATTCCTGCTGCTGCTGGCGCTCAAGGTGCGCTATCCGGATCGCATAACGCTGATACGGGGCAATCATGAATCTCGCCAGATAACACAGGTGTACGGCTTCTATGATGAGTGCCTGCGCAAGTATGGCTCCACGGCCGTCTGGCGCTATTGTACCGAAATCTTTGACTACCTCAGCCTCTCGGCCATTATCGATGGCAAGATATTTTGCGTACACGGCGGCCTGTCGCCCTCGATACAGTATTTGGATCAGATCAGGAGCATCGATCGCAAACAGGAGGTGCCGCACGACGGTCCCATGTGCGATCTGCTCTGGAGCGATCCCGAGGATCAGACCGGCTGGGGTGTATCGCCGCGCGGCGCCGGCTATCTATTTGGCTCCGATGTTGTCTCACAGTTCAATCGTACCAATGACATCGACATGATCTGTCGCGCCCATCAGCTGGTCATGGAGGGCTTCAAATGGCACTTTAACGAAACCGTGCTGACCGTCTGGTCGGCGCCCAACTATTGCTATCGGTAAGCGCAACACATCAAGACCTACCCCACTCTTCTCTAATCTGATGCGTTCTCTTTTGGAGCAGCTGCGGCAATGTGGCTGCCATATTGGAGCTGAACGAGTACCTGCATCGCGACTTTGTTATTTTCGAGGCGGCACCGCAGGAGAGTCGCGGCATACCCTCAAAGAAGCCACAGGCCGACTATTTTCTTTAAAATGCGAATGCGCAGACACTGTAACGGATGAACCAAGACAAACGGCACGCTCCGCACGAACGGACACTTCGGAGCGCTGCAACATTGATAACTGCCTGCCTGCCTCAAGCAACAAGAAATTAATCAATTATATACAACTTGGAAACCTTAACATTTAAGGCCTCAGCGACACAATTCACAATTCACGATCCAAGTCCCGATTCCGGAAAAGAGTATCAACATCTCATTTCTTTTCTGCTCTCAACCCGAATCCAAACCATTTTCCACTTACTTTCTAAGCATATATGCACATATATAGATACATATATAGATAATTAAGACGGTTTTTTTTTTTTTCATTTTTCTTTTCAATTTCATATATTTTTCGTATTGCTCATTTTGTCGTGTGTCTTTTGTACTCTGTCTGGCTGATTAGCTGATTTACTATTAGATCTAGAACGCTGCACGCAACAGAATCCCCCCCCCCCCTGCCCTAACCAGCCCATTAAGGGGCGGGCAGTTGGGGGCGTGGCTTCTGTGCATGTTGCAGCCATTAAACATAAGCCCTAACATATAGTCCATAAGCAATAATAATTATAGTTCTCGAGTCAGTTTCAGGCAAAAAAAAAAACACCCCTCCCCTCCCCTCCCCTTCCAAATGGAAACCGAAATAATAATAATAATAAAAAACAATAACAAATGCATTGTAATAATAATAATAATTATAAGCAATTAAGCAGCAATCCTAACAGCGTGTCAGGGAATCTGTTTATGCACCTTTTTGCACGCCACACACACACACACACACACACACACACACACACACACAAAGATATATACATATATCTATATCTATATATATATATATATACATATTTAATAATAGAATTGATAAGCTAGCGCGTATTTAAAATCGAAACGCATTTTTTCTTTTTCTCACACTCTGTTCTAGAACTTGGAAACTTGGTTTCTTAACTCGGCGTTCCATATGTGGACCATGTCCTAGATATTTGGGCCTAGAAAGAGTTCCGCTGCAGTTCAGCTCAGGCCCGCTTACAGTCTTAAGAGTCAGCCGCTCAATGAAGCAAACTATATATCTATGTATCTTTAAGAGTGCGCCGATCCCATAAGAGGATATATATACGTATTCATGTTAAGCATAGAGGATAGATTCACATGGAGGATATATATGCATGGAGGATATATGCACATGGAGGATATATGCACATGGAGGATATATATGCATGGAGGATATAGTATATACATAGAGGATGTAAATACAGAGAGAATATGTATACAGAGAGGATATATACAGAGGATATATGTACACATAGGATATATATGCATGGAGGATACACAGAGGATATAGTATATACATAGAGGATATATATACAGAGATAATATATATACAGAGACGATATAAATACAGAGAGGATATATACAGAGGATATATAAGCATGAAGGATACACAGAGGATATATATGCATGGAGGATATACAGAGGATATATACATATAGGATATAAATGAAGAGAGAATATATATATAGAGAGAACATATATACATAGCGGATATATATCTATACAATACGTCTTGTGGCTTTCACTGTTTGAAGCAAGCTTGATGAGATCTGGCATAGATCCGTCCTTTTGTGGCGGGCAGTTGATTGTGCACATGTCGCAGTTGGCCGGATCGGACTACTATATCATCTAGCCAAAGTATAATACATTTCTTATATACTATTGACTAAGCTGTTGTCTGACGCTGTGAGCAGTGTATTTGCGCAGTCGGTCAATCGAAAACAATCCCAGATGTAGCCTGCAGTTGGCGCAGTTTATTCGCATGCACTTAGGAACTAGACGCATATATAGCATAGGTCATACAAAAAAAAAAAAATATTTAGAGACAATTGCGGATCACATATATCAAGGGGCGCCGAAAGGGATGTGGTGTGAGGCTTGGTGCTGCTTTAGTGCTCCTCCAGCGGAAGGCCGTGCTCCCGCATATGCTCCACAATGCAGCTCTCATAGGCAACGGCCGCGTCGCAGCTAAGTTGGGAGAATAGGACATGAATTAGCTTAAATTGTGGTCAGATTTATGCGTCGGGCCACTCACTGATCCTCGGGCACCTCAATGGCCTCGCACTTTGCCACAATGTCAGCGCCGGCGGCCTCCTTATCGGCATCATCCTTGCTCATGACCTTGACCAGCTCCAGGGCGTGCTCCTTGCTTAGCTTGCCGGCGTCGTCCATCTGGAAGGAGTGTGTGTGTGTGTGTGTGTGTGTGTGTGTGTGTGTGAAAGTTGTTTCTCTAACTTGAGCAGCTGGCACTTACAATTTTGAACTTCTTTAACATGCAGGCGCGCAGGCACTTGCTCTCCTGCGACTCGGCGGGCTCATGCTTCATCATGTGCTCCACATCCTCTGAAATATGAAGAGCATATATTTTTGGTTAGCCAACCAGTTGAAAGTAAGTTGAAGTACGCACCATCTGTGGCGCCCGTCTCCGTTTTGCACTCCTGGGCCACTTCATGGGCGTGCTCCTTGCTGATCTCCTCGTGCGGCTTGGCAGAGACAGCCACAGTGGCCAGGACGACGACGAGCATTGCCAAACAAACGAAACGCGACATGTTGCTGTATAACTTGGATGTGAGCTGTGCAAGCCGCCGGCGTTTTATAGTAAGTTTCGCCAATCGATTTGACTTGGCAGATTGCGGCAACGTCTCCAGCTCTGGGCCAAGTGTCAGCTGGCGGCAATTAAACGCAATTATGGCCAATTGCCATGGGATGCAATTGCACTATATGAGCAGCACATGACACTCGATCTGGACGAGCAGCGCCGGAGATGCCCTCCGTTGGGCGACGTGTGAAAACGCCGCCGCCGATAATCCGTCCCGTGCCTCCCCCCAGCTCCATATCTCTCCCACGTCGCTAGGCTTTTCCTTTGTTAATAGATAATTACGATTTTAATTAGCGACTGACATGAAATCAAATCAAACTGGAAATGTGAGTTGTTAAATGCCGCAACACCAGAAAATCCCAAATACTATGAAAAGCGCTTACAATTTTCTGACGGCCGACTCCCCATGACAGACAGGGACAGCAACAGTTGACATGAGCTGGGTCATCAATTCGACTTTTCACACTGATCAATATAAACTGTTTGGATAAACATAATCCAGCAGCGTGGCGTGACTAGCGAATACCCTGCAAATGCTACGAATAATAACAATTTTAACATACAACAGTTAAATTCATTTCAATTTGCACTGAAAGCCGCCATATTGCCAAATTTATATGTATGCGTGTGTGTGTGTGTGTGTGTGTATAAGACTGCGAAAGACAGCGCAAAGGCAAACTGTAGAATTACAGTAAATTTATGTTGCCCGCAAGCGACATATCTAAGTACATACCCATGCACATACAGTCAGGGCCAAAATCATGCGAACAGCTCAATCTTAAAAACTTCTTCTATATTAAAGAAGTAAAAAAAAAAACAATCAAACAAGATCAGAATTAACATATTGCTTCTGTTTTTGAAGGCTGTCAAAAAGTCACATCTGCCCATTACGTTCATGGTGAAATCTATAATTAATAGCCAATAGACAATGCACAGTTAAATAGAATAATATAAATTTCTAATTATTAACCAATGAACATAAATATTGATTAGAACTTGATATTTTTTAATACGTATTTATTTGTATACATAAACAGTTAATACATTATCGAAGTTGTTATTATTGCATGTGCTTATCAAGTCAAGCACGCAATCTCCCCGTCTCTTTCAGACTTTCAAAGCACTCCACGCTCCAGCAATTCTTTCTCTTTCTCTCTCGTGTGCTTAAATCAACTGCTTAAAGGCGCTGTCTAAAACTCCGCACAATTCGACCATCTTTTTTACTGTAAGAGTATTGATGCGCCCATTACAAAAATTAATTAACAAACTAAAAATATTCAATATTTTTAATAATATAAACGTTTTAAATAACAACGAAAACGCACGTTCTTCGTACAGCATACTATCCTAGCACTTAAGCTGCATACGAAATGCAAAAAAGGTAACGGTAGTTTTTATTAGCAAGTTCATATGTGTGTGTGTATATGAGAGCAGCGCAAAGCTGATCCCGTTGATTTGCTACATACATACATACATACATACATACTTTCGTTAAGTTGGCCTTCGCTTGCTTCTTACTTTATACGAATTCTGCGCATGATCTTAGTTTGTTGAAGTGTTCGAGTTGAAAAGTGTTTAAAAAGAAACAATATAATGTACAAAACTAATTATAGTGCTGATAGTTAATAACACTGCAATTGCAAATAAACGTTACACACGCACACACGTGCATATTCGTAGCTTTGCACATGTATTCGCATACAAACACGTTTACATGCAAATGCAGTTATTTGTTGGTAATGTGCGTGTTTTTAATTTGTTTATTTGTGATTTGTGATTTGTGTGGAATGACAATGGCAATGACAACGATGCATCTTGAACTTGAGCCACGCCCGCATTCGTGGCGTCAGCGCAATTTGGGCTTAAATATGTTGAAGGTTATTCGGCCAAGAGAGTTCCATATAAATGCCCGTGCAGACATATTGGCAGCCACAGATGAGCACCAAGATGATGTTGAACAATACGCTGATCTTGTTACTTACATTGGCCGGCTGCAGCTGGCTGCAGTGCGTCCGGGCGCAGGCGCAAACGCCGGGCTTCGATCTGAGTCGTCTGTTTGGTGCGCGCAGCAATGAGCCGCTCTCCAAGCTGCTCGATCGCAATTTGCCCGAGGTGCAGCAGATGATTGAGCACACCAAAAGGAGCTGCCTGAAGAAGCTGCAGATGTCGCCGTCGCAGCGATCGCTAATACGCGAGCCGCGCCCCACCGAGCAGGAGAAGTGCCTGGTCGAGTGCGTCCTCAAGGGCATTCAAATTGTATGTAAATGTGTTTGAACAACAAAGGCGCACTTGTCTAACGCCCCCCCTCCCCCTTTCTCTCCTGCAGATGGACAGCAGCAGCAACAAGCTGAACCTGCGTCGCGTCCAGGAGCTGACCAGCCAGGTCACCGATGACAACAAGCTGGCCGTCACGCTGAGCTGCAGCCTGGCCCAGAGCTGCAATCGGGCCGTCAGCGCCCAGGATCCCTGCGAGGCGGCACATCAGCTAAACCAGTGCATCGGCCGGCAAATGTTGCGCAACGGCGTCAAGCTGAGCTGGTGACCAGTGTTGCCAAATGACACGACAAAAAACTAGCCAAAAATAGCGTAAAAAAAAAAACAGCTGAATCAGCTTTCTGGGCACACAGACGTATGTACATTCCATATTTATTATATTTCGTTTATGCGAAAAAGAATATAATATATATATACGTATATATATAATGTATATTTTCTTGTTCGCATATTTCACTTCATACAAGATATATACATGTGCATATATCCTAGCTCAAATAATTAAACAATTTCAAAGCGAAATTATATATACAACGCATATTTATTATAAATAGGATATACGAAAAAGACATTATATATATAGTATATACGTATTCTTTTTCGTTTATCCTACTTCATGTTAGATATAATTCCACTAGCATGTGTGGAAAAATCGCGAAAATCGTTTGAAACTTTTTTGTTTACCCTCCGATCGATCAGCGTTGAAATCATTTTCAAGGCCGGGCTATACTCGCAAGTAGTTTATATTGATGTACATATGTTATACTACTTCCTTTTCAATAGAAAATGAACTAGATTCCATGTCGTATACTAGCAAGCTGAATATGCATACTCGAATGTCAAGCTTTGTATATATATAAACATAGTTGGATAGATATCAAATGTGGTCCGCAATTCCAGTGTGACATGCAATATTTTCAGTAGAGCGGGCAATTATATATTACAAATTAAATTGTTATTAAAAGCATTTAGAAAATATAAGACAAGCCAAACATGGGCTTATGCAGGTGGAAAACCGAGTTGAACGGTGCTGAATCTCAAGGCAGGAAGCCGGTTCGAAGCGTTAACCAACCTGATTGAATCAGTCTCAGCTCTCTGAAAACAGCCATATTTAGCTGGAAAATAGCTAAAGTGCTATCAAGCCCATTAAAGCCCCTTAAAACTTGTATTAACACCCCAGTCATTCATTCAGTCAGGAAGCTGGTTCGAAGCTTTAGTCGAGCCACCCTGATTGAATCAGTCTCAGCTCTCTGATAATAGCCATATTTAGCTGGAAAATAGCTAAAGTGCTATCAAGCCCCATTAAAATCCCGCCCCAATAACACCCCAATAGCACCCCAATAGCGCCCCAACCATTAATTTAAGGATAAGCTAGGCTTTACTACTACGGCGGCTGCTCGCTTTATTCGCTTGTGCATGTCCAGGAACCAGGAGCCCAAGCTCTATAAATGATTTCTAATTGAATTAAATTGAATTAAGTTAGGGCGTGCGTGTGCCAAAAGTTACAAAAATATCGAAAACACAAAAAAAAAAAAAACACACAAAAACACAAACAATGCTGGCCAGGATTGGACGCGTCTACTCCTTGACCTCGGGTATCTTGTAGTCGGCGTCGCGCATCTCGCTCAGCATGCACATGGAGATGCTGTGGGCCGCCTCGCACCTGGCGTGTGTAATTGGTATGAAAGGATTAGCTGGCTAGAGTTGAGCGCTTGGCTACGGTTTGTGGACTCACTCGTCGCTGAGGCCGCTGCCGGCCTGATTGCATTTGGCGAATATGGACTTGGAGTCGGACTGCCTGTCGGAGAACATCATGTTCATCATGTCCAGGGTTTTCTCCTCGTTGAACTCGGTCTTGCCCGCGGGCATCACCTCGAACTGGTGCAGCATGCAGCGTCGGAAGCATTTGCTCTCATGTGAGGCGTCCTGCTTGTTGAGCACCATTTCCTCGATGTGCCCTGATTTCAGGAGAGTGGGGTTTCAGTTGAGCGCCTGCGCCTGAGCTTTTGGCCTGGCATACTTACCGCGCTCCGGCTTGGGGTCACAGCCCTGGGCGAAGGGCTCGATCAGCTCAACGACCTCGTTCAATGTCATGGAGGCCGTTTCCTCCTCCTCCTCGGCATGGGCCAGGCTCAGCCAGGCGCCGGCGCAGGCCAGCAGCAGCAGCAATGTGCTCAGCCAGTTCGGTTGCTTCTGCTTCTGCTTCAACATATCAAATTGTGCTCACTTGGACGCTATCTGGCCTGCTCCATGCCCGGACAGTTGCTTTTATAGCCAAGCCAACAGATCGCAATGCCACGATCGACATGACCATGCCATGTCACCGGCAGAGATTGATCTCTGTAAAGCTGTGGAAACCAATCAAAATGCGCCACAATTTACAGTTCAAGTCGAATTTTTATTCACAGGCACGTGACCAACTGGAGCGTGATACATAGCCATGTATATGTATATATAAGTGTATCAGGGAAACACGAAGATGTCAATCTTGTCCCGGAAACAGCTGAGCAGGGCATGCGCCGCATCGCAGTTGTTCTTGATCCCGGCGGCGGCATCCTTGCACTCGCCGATGCCCTTGCGATAGGATGGCTTATAGCTGTCTGGCATCAGGAGCTCCACCTGCTTCAGCGTTGACTCCATCTGGAATTTGCCCTTCTTCATCTGTGCGCAGGGCGAGAGACACAATCAGTGGCGCGTGGAAGAAGGAAGGTAGGAAGCAGAAGAAGTTCGGCTCACCGTTTGCATCATTTCCATGACACAGTTAATGTAACATTTGGCTTCCTTGTCGTCCGGCAGATTGCCCTTCTGTATGCTATCGGCTATGTCCGGCGTTATTTTCGGAAACTTGGGCTGGCAGACGTCGCGCATCAGCCTGCCGGCGGCCCACATCTGTTCCTCGGTCGCCTGCAAAACGGATAATTGTCAACAGGATCTTCCAACAAAGTCTACAAGCCGGCCACATACACCCGCCCGGCAGAGGGGCAGACCCAACAGCTGCAGCAGGCAGCAGCCAATCAATTGGTGTGGATATCTCATGGCGCCGACAGATCCAGCCAATATGTTGCCGGCATTCGATATTCGGTCCACTTTTATACGATATTTGCATTGATATTTAAATGAGTCCGGGGCGGATCATTTGAGGCGCCTAATAGCATATATTTGTGGCATGCCAATGGGCATGTCCGATTGGCGGAAAACAAGGACTGTTGCCCATTGTCTGGGGCACGCCACATTGGGGTAGGACCAACACCAGCTGCATTAGCCAAGCGATGCCACGCCCCATAGTTAAACACCCATCATCACCAGCCTATTCATCATCATACGTATCTCTATATGCAGCCAGACACATTTGCACTATAATTACCCACGTCTCTCTACCTCTCTCTCTCTCTCTTTTAATTGAGTTGTGCACGCGAGGGTCAACAAGATCTTTGGGGTTCAGATAGCATTTGCAACAAGCGAACTCCAATTGCATCCACATTTCACATACATCACATTCATCTCATCCGGTTGAAATGAAGCCCAGCTGGTCAAGTCTCCTAAGGCTTTCGCTTCGCGACTTCCGAATGCCTCGATACCTTCCATTACATGCCCTGCTCCCTCTGTTTTGTTTTCTTTTTATTATTTTTTACTTCCTTTGCTTCTTCCTTCACGTTTATAGACAGATATGCTAGCTTCTCTCTTCATATTGATGGATAGATATCCTGCTTCTCCCTTCACATTGACCTGGCTATAGATTAGGCATATTAAAAAGCTTCTCCTTCTAGCTCTTACTTTATTTTATGTATACTAATTAGTATTGACTCAAACTTAATACGCTTCTAGCTTCACTCTCTCAGTTTCTTCCTTTGCTTAAAGCTACGTTGTCCGCTTCGCTTTTCCCTTTGCTTTTTCCTTCTTATTGACCAATATATGCTGCCGTCTTCTCCCTCCAGCTGTCACTTGATGTAAGGTATACTAATAAGTATTATACTCAGGCTTAGTGAGCTTCTCACTTCGCTCTCTCTGCTTCTTCTTTTGCCTTCAGCTTTGCTGGTTGCTTTGCTTCTTGCTTAACTTTTACTTTAAGCATGTTAAAAGCATTTTTTAAGTTATTTAGCTTTGCTTATTGCTTTGCTTCTTTCTGTATTTTACTATTTGATTGCTCGCGCATATTGTTAAGAAATTATTTAAGCTTAATGCGCTTCTCGCGATAATCCTCTGCTTATCTCTTTACTCCTAACTTTGCTGCTCGCTTCGCTTCTTTCTTTGCTTCTCTCTTATTCTGTTAATCTTCGCCTTTCGCCAAACTTCTCTGTTTGCTTTGGCCAATACATTTTCCAGAGGTACTTGCCCGCTTCTCGCTTCATATTTTTGTTTACTTCGCCGTTCCCTTAAACTTTACCTTTTTTTTTGCTTCTTCCTTCGTTTCCTCCTTAAACTTTCCCTGTCTTTGTTTGCTTCTCCCTTCGCTTCCTGCTTTAACTAAACCTTTTTCCTTTGCTTCTCCCTTCGCTTCCTCCTTTAACTTCACCTTTTTCTTGTGCTTCTCTCTTCGCTTCGCTTTGCAAATCGCTTCTCTAATAGCTCGCTTATTGCTCAACATATAATCGCTTCTCGCTTCACTTAACCTCATGTCGAGCAGCATTTTTGGCCCGACTATGATGAAGTGCCTAAGCCTAAGTGCTATCTATTTGCCTAATGAACGTTTTAGGAATTGCAGCTCTGCATCTATAATTTAGGGAAACAAACAGATATCTATTTGGCATCTATTTGAATTACACAGTTGATTGAGAGATAAGTGCACGTGGCCAAATGATATAATAGAATGGTACTCATAATCGCTTAATATATGCCCAATGTATTCTCATTGTATTCTCACGATCTACGATTGTTGAGCGAGGGAATGAATTTTGCATTTGTCAGAACAAAAGTTTATTTGGGCGACACTTCATTTAATATAAATTGAAATATTTATTTAAATTTTATAATTCTTTTTCATTGCCTTTCCAGGCTATGAGTTAAATTTTAAGTATAGAACTTTTTGCTACTTTTAACTATACGAAAATTGAACAGTTCAAGTCGATCTAATAAGTTTACCAGTTCGACAACCAGATACCCGATGTCAAGGAGTAGACGCTTCCAACTCTAATCTATTGTTATTTTATTTATTTTGATATTTGTTTAACTCTTTGCACAGCCGAAGCAGCAAGAAAGCCTAGCTAATCCTTAAATGAATGGTTGGGGCGCTGATGGTCGCTATTGGGGCGCTATTGGGGTGTTATTGGGGCGCTATTGGGATGTTATTGGGGCGCTATTGGGATTTTAATGGGGCTTGGTAGCACTTAAGCTATTTTCCAGCTAAATATAGCTGTTTTCAGAGAGCTGAGACTGATTCAATCAGGGTGGCTCGGCTAAAGCTTTGAACCAGCTTCCTACCCTGAGTTTGGGCTTGTGAACTCGATTCCACATTCATTTTTGGTTTAAACCTTGGCTCAAAAGTTTCCTATTTAAAATCAAGGAGCTGGAAAATGTCCTTAAATGTCCCAGCTTTGACTGAGATCCGAGTAGGCTGTGCTCTAGTAGTTCGTGCTTGTGATATACATTGAACATGCCCCATAAGTAAAAATTCAACGGATTAAAGTAAAACGAGTAAATTGCTTGACTTTGAATTAAAACCCGTTCGACAAGTATATATCCATAATATAGATAAAGGAAAGGTATTTAGCCCCCAATTCTGTCCAAACTCTCGCGATGTCGGATTATTTCAAGTTCAATAAGATCTTCGATAGCCAAACTGTGCGCGGACGTGCCAACGTAAGTCTCCGACACGCATCGCTCGTATCTAAGCACTTCTCTAAAAGCCGGTTCCAAGACAGGTTGCCAAGGCCACTTGGGCCTCGGTGGGACTCATCTATGTGCTGGTCAAGATGCGACGCCGCAATGCCAAGCGTCGGGAGGCCTTCAAGTACTGCAAGGGCTGCCAGCAGAAGCTGTTCCTCTAATTATGCATGCACGCATTGTTCTATCAAATGGTCTGGTCCCATCGCCAATCCCCCCCATGCTAGCACGTCAATGTCCCATGAATTCCCCAGAAGTTAAGCGTTAACCAAATCTCTTGTGTTCTGTTCAGCGTTAATAAACTATTTCACATTTCGAGCGTCAATTGATTCCAGTTATCTCCCGGATTTAAACTAGTTGCGAATTATAAACGAATTGCTTAAATGCTTAATTCCCTTTTACTTTTTAGCCCTGCTTCCAAAGGGCATACGTAGAAAATGTCATAAATATATGTTCATTTGTATGAACGCATCCAACTTAAATAATTTATTTATTTATTTCGTTTTATCGATAAATTCGTGCATGTATCGAAAATCGATAAATATTAATTTGTAGCTTTGCGCATATTTTGTCCATTTCTATTTCTGAAGTCATCCGACTGTTGGATATTTATTACTTCTTCAAATTCTAAATCGATAAATATCGATTTCTAGTAAGGATCTCTTGCAGATTATAAGGCCCAAGCACCTCAAATTGGGTATATAAGATGCTCATTTTTACTTCATTTTATCGATAAATTGTTGAATATATCGAAAATCGATAAATATCAATATATTTTGCACATTATAAGTTCAGGAGTCATCCAACTGTTGGATCTTAGTTACATTTTCATTTAAAAAATCGAAATCGATAAATATCGATTTCCAATAAATTTTCTTACAAAAGTGCTCGTTATCATACGGATGATGCAATTTATTTCATTATCATTTCATATCGATAAATTAGTGCACATATCGAAAATCGATAATTATCGTTTTACCATCCTGAATCCCTTTGATAATTTAATAACGTTCGGTTCAGAACATTTATTCAAGAATTAGTTTTCTCATTTGCAAGCGGGAAATGGAAAAAGTACGTGGTATCTGCCAGTCGTTCACTCTGAAACTTGTGTATTTCGATTTTTGAACCAAGTAGGCAGCTGGTGAATGCTTCATTCGGCAGGTAGCTCAGTTTGTTTTTGGACGTTCAGTTCAGACCCGGACCCGGACCCAGACTCCCCCAAAAAACCCGCACAGATAAGACTTAAACCCCAAGCTAATTGCTTTGTCTGCGATGGCTTCCGAGGGCTTCAAGAAGTATTTCAATAGCACCACAATGAACGGTCGTGCGAATGTAAGTTTAAGACCAGGGCACCGACTCCTGCTGAGCCTCATTCTCGTCCTCAACCTCATCCTCGTCCTTGTCCAGGTCGCGAAGGCCACGTATGCTACGTTGGCGCTCGTCTATTTGTTTTATCGGGTGCGTCGCGGCAAGGATCAACCGCCAGCTGCCAAGGAGCCGACATTTGAGCCGAGCTGCAGCTGTGACGAGAAGCTGCCGAACTCAGAGATCATCGTTGAGCCGCCGGATCGAGATTGCGCCGTCTGCCGGGAGCGACGACCCAGAGACGATAGCTGCAATGGACACAGTGAGCCGCCGCCGCCACCGCCGCCGGCGAGCAGTGCGCCGGCTCGACGCAAGTGTCCATGCGAGGATCCGCACCGGCACCTGGACTCGGGCAAGCCGCAGCACACACAGCATCCGCTGACACAGCAACAGCAACAGCAGCGCCAGAGCTGCAATGCATCGCAATTGGATGAGGCGCATCCGGCGCGTGAGCTTATCTCGCAGATGCAGGAGGCCGCATCCCGTGTCCTGCGCAATGTGATTGGCGCCGTCATGGGCGATACACCATCCGCTGCCAGCGGCGACAGCGAGGAGAACTGCAGCTGCTGTACACCGGGCGGGGCAAACGATATACTCGACTCCGGCGATCAGGTGGAGGACGAGGCCTGCGATTACGAGTCGGACAGTCAAATGCTGAGTCGCCAGCGGCGTACTGCGCCCCGCGCCTGTGTGCCCAGCAATACCAGCAGCGACACCGATGACCCTACCGAAGCGAAACAGACCGAGTCCGAGTCCGAGGCGCAGGCGCAATCCCAGGCCACGGGTCAGACGCAATCGCAATCGCCGCCACAGTCGCAGCTGCAGTCAGCCTCACAGTCGCAGTCGCAGCCACAGTCGCAGCCGCCGACACGGTATCGCTGCTTTGACGACGACTTTGCCTCCGAAATGTTCTTTGAGGACTATGAAGAATGACATATTGAAGGATTAGCTCAACGCTTGGTTAGCCGGGTTCAGGGGTTTGCGGCTTATCCAACTAAATTCTCAGTAAGCAGGTTCTCTAGTCCATTAGGACTAGGCCTGCAAATCTATACCAAATCTTCATAGTATTCATAGATGAAGAATAAACTCACCTTTCTGAATCATTTGTTAGCCACTTGCACGTACTTTGACCAGGATATGTTGCTTATACCATTATTTGGGTTGAAAGTCTTCCGGACGCACTTGACCTAGCTGATATATACATATACTGGGTGTCTTTTAGTCGTCCACTCACTTTTACTTAAAGCAATTTTCGCTTTTTTCTCTTCAATTCATTTTTCATTCGTTTCTAAACACACAATTTACGCGCTTCGACAAACAAAACCGTTAAAACAGTGTTGGGCAACGAGTAATTTGTTGCCTAAAATATGCCGAAAAAAAGATCGATCGTATTTGCATTTTCGCTTGACTAAAGAAACCGGTAAAACAGTGTTGAGAAACGAGCAATTTGTTGCCTAAAATATGCCGAAAAAAACGTTATCGATTAATTCATGAAAACAGTTCCCTCAATTTTTCCAGTATTTACATTTTCGCTTGACTAAAGAAACCGTTAAAACAGTGTTGGGCAACAAATTTAGCATGGCCAGCAATTTATTGCGAAAGTTATCGATTAATTGATCAAAACAATTCATTTAATTTTCAAGTATTTGCATTTTATTTCAGATTTCAAATGTTTTTCATTTCTTGCATATTCAATGTTATTTTTTGTTTGTTTTTGCTTTTGTATTTTGCTTTGCCGAAAACACACAACTAGAATTGATCATCGTTAGCATATTATCGTTATCGATATCGTTATCGTTATCGTTATAGCAATTATCATTATCAATAATCAATATTTGTAATTTAATATCAATGGCAGGCAGCTCCTGCCAACTGTAAGCTATATTATGTAAGCATAATTGTGTAGATATATATATACGCATATATATATATGTATATATATATAGCTTTATGGTATTCTCATTTATATATATTATTTATATGTGTATGGGTGTGTGTTTGGACTTTTTAAACTAACATTTATGCAATATGGAAATAACATTTAACGTTTGCTTAATTTGCTTTTTGGTTTCGTGGTTTCGCGGCTCATCAACAGTTTCCAGTATCCTTTCCAATATTCTCCTCCCTCTCACTTCCAATATCGCGTGCGCTCTCTTCCAAGCTGTCTTTGTCTCTGTTATGTGTTTGTGTTTGTGTGTGTGTGCTGCAGATCTGCCAAGTCTGTGTGTGTGTGTGTGTGTGCTGCAGATCTGGCAAGTGCGTGCGAATTGCTAAGCAAATAATCGATTAATCGTCTAATCGATTAATCGGCTAATCGGCGGCTAATCTAATGCGTTTGAAGTGCGTTGCGTTTATCATATGCCAAGCAGCAGCAGCAGCAGCATAAATTATGTTTGTTTTTGTTTTTGTTTTCATTTCGATTTCCGATATATTGTTGTTATCGATAATTGCGTTCAGCCGTCGTGACTGGCAACGGACTCGAGATCGCTGTTGTCCTCGCTGCCAGTCGCCTCGGTGGGTTCGCCCATGGCCACGCGCGCATATTCATCCGTGTCGATGCTCTTGCAGAAGTGTATCGCATACTTGAGCTTCTCCAGCAGCACAGCCTACGAAATATATATAATTAATTATAAATCAAGTCTAGCGAGGATTCAGGCATTGCTTACCTTGCAGGAGTAGCGCGGCATTTTGAGCAGAAAGAAACAGGTATAGCTCTCGGGCAGAAAATGATCGGGCGGATTCTTTTCGAGCACCTGCAGCACAAAGTCGCGTCCCCGAAAGTCGGCAATGGTGCGCGGCAGTCTTGTTCTTCCCCACACAAAGCGCAGGAACAGCGAACGCTCCTGAAGCGAAATAAACAACAATATTTAATAAACAGGCCATAATTAAGTGGCAGGATGCAGCTCCGATCCGATAAAGCAAGTATGTAAAGTATAAAGTAATGATAGTCGAGTCCATCTTCAAGATCTAGAGACTTGATAACTAGCTTCTAGTTATCGATAACTTGGCGCGTATCCATGAAGTCGATAAGAATCGATATCGATATCGAATGATCAATGGCCAAGTCCATCAGACATGTCCTTCCGATCGTCTGGGCAGCTCCAAGATCAGAAGATTGCTAATTCGCTTCAAGTTATCGATAACTTGGCGCGTATCCATGAAGTCGATAAGAATCGATATCGAAATGCGTTTTCTTTTTATCATTTCTAGGCTAGGGTATCCTGCTGGTCGTTGATAACTGTGGCTCACCTGATTGGTAAACTCCTCCATGACGTCCCAGAACCAGCCGACCAGCGCCGAGCTGGGATCGAAGCCCTTGTAGGTGGCCACCGATTTGAGCAGGCCCAGCGGTATATCGGGTGAGCCGCAGACCATCGCCTGCAGCTCGGCGGCCGAGAACAGGGAGAGCAGCGGCACGGGTATCACCTTGGACATGCCGTCGCGCACAGCCTTCACCTGTTCATCGAACTCGTGCAGCCGAAAGCCGAGCGCCAGGCGCACATATTCGGCGCGATTTCTGGGCGAGATGTGCGTATAACGGGTGGACAGCGGCACCTCGTGGCCACGGGCCGACGATGTCGAAAACGGCAGCTCCAGCGTATTGAAAAGCTTCGCATCGTCGTCCATGTTGCGGATGCAGAGCAGTCCGGCCACATAGTCGCGATCCACCTCGGTGAGATCCGTAGGACGCAGCGGCTCGCCCGTTAGCTGCCGCCACACGGGCTCCGCCAAGCTAAAGAGAGGAGGAGCAGGGGGGAGAATTAATAGTGATCCGAGTAAAGGGAAAGTGCATGGCTACTTACTTGAGACTGAGGGGGGAGCCGGTGCGCACCGCAATGCCCATGAGCACGCCCAGAAAGCGGAACATGTTCATCTGCAGAACGGAGGTGAGCGTTGGATCCAGCAGGAAGCAATCCCGATTGGCGCCCGCCTCGCCCCGCCCATTGGGTGTGCTTATCAAGAGCGGAACACTGCCATTCTGCAGCTCATCGCACATCTCGGCAATGGATTCGCTATAACCGCCGCCGCAATCGTCGACGCTCTCGCCAACAAACTTGACCTTCCAGACGCGATGCGGCAGTGCGAGCGCCTCCTGGGTGAGCAGCGGCAACTTTTGCACCATCTGGCCAAAGACGCTCTTCATGCCATCGATGCCGGCGAGTCCATTGCAGCGGCTACGCGATCGTTTCACCTGGATGCGATTCAGTTCGATGACGGGTCCGTGCTGCTTATCGCGCACCATTGTCGTTTGGATGACCTTGCGAAAGGCCGCCTCCTTGATGTTGTAGACGAGCACATCCTTGAGCGCGCCCAGACTGAGATCGCCGGCAATGGGCAGCATGGCCAGACAGGGGCACAGCAGCTCCGAGAAATGATGCAGCAGGATGAGGCGAGCGTGCAGCGCTTCCGGCGCCAGATCGCGCACCAAATCGTATTCGAGCGGCGGATTGGGCAGCGGACGCAGCCGTTCGCTTAGCTGCGACGTGGACAGGGCCAACGTATGCGCCGAGCCGCACGTCACCTTCACAATGTGCTTGCCCTGCAGTGCGGCGACAAGGCGTGGCCTCTGTATGGCCGTGACGGTGCCATCGCCCAGCTGGCCCTCATCGTTATCGCCCCAGGTGTAGACCTCGCCGGCATCGCTGCAGGCGACGCAGTGCAGCGAACCGGTCGCTATTGAGATGATCTTTTTGCCCTGGAGCGCTGCGACCTTTTTGGGCCGACGCACATGATCGACGGAGCCGTGACCGAGGCGATGGAAATCGCCTTTGCCCCAGGTGTAGACGGCGCCGGATTTGGTCAGCGCGACGGAGAACTGTGAACCGCACTCGACCTTGATGACGCCCAGGCCGGCCAGGCTTTCGATTTTGTAGGGCAACTTGCAGCCATCGCTGCCGCCGCGTCCCAGCTTGCCGTAGTCGCCGTCACCCCAGCTCCAGACGTTGTCGTCGTCCGTGATGCACAGCGTCTGTGCATCGCCCGAGCCGCAGGCAATGTCAATGGCCCGATAGCCGAGCAGCGCCTCCACCAGCTTGGGACGCAGCTGATCCTCCGAATCGCCATGGCCCAGCCGGCCGTAACGGCCCTTGCCCCAGGTCAGGACGTGTCCGCTGGCCGTAATCGCCGCCGAATGGGCGCTGCCGCACGCAATATCCGCGACGCTCATCCCATTGAGATGCTCCAGCAGCTTGGGTCGATCGTAGCTCATGCGATTGCCATGTCCGAGCTTGCCGTCCTCGCCCTCGCCCCAGGCATAGACCTCGCCGTCCGTGGTCAGAGCGAGGCAATGCTTGCCGCCGGAATTGACCGCCACCTTCTTGACAAAGACGTGCTGCAGCGAACCGAGAAGCGTGGGTATTGCCCACGAATCGCTGCCACCGACGCCCAGTCGTCCGCCGGAACCGTAGCCCGTCGCAAACAGTTTGCCATCCGGCGTCACAGCAAACAGGGATTGCTCGCCGCCGGCCAGCTGGATGGGACGCAGCAGGCTGAGCGCCTCGCAGGGCGTCGGAGTCTTGATGCGGCTGCCCTCGAGGCCGCCCAGTTGGCCGCGATGATTGTGTCCCCAGCCATAAATGGTGCTGGCTCCGCCCCAGCTCAGTGCCCAGTCATCCGGCCGCCGGTTGAGCCACTGCAGCAGCTGGGCATCGTGCGGCGCCTGGAACAGCGTGTGATCCTCGTGCAGCAGCAGCTGCAAAGGCGCCGGCGGCGTTTGTTGATGTTGTGCCAGCGCCGGCTGCTGCACTTGCTCCAGGAGCAGCAGTTCCGGCGCCAACTGTTGTTGTTGCTGCTGCTGTTCCGTGGCGGAGGCATTGCTCACGGTGCTGGAGGAGAGCGACGTGGCCGAGTTGATTAGCGAGGTGCCCGGCGATGGACAGCTGGTGACGGGCGCCGGAGCCGGCGGTGGCAGCATTTCGGCAAACTTCTTGCGCACCTCCAGGCAGAATTGGCGCGGCAGCTCCGTGCGTCGGATTAGCGCTTGTGCGACGCGCACTGCGATGCAATATCGCTTGAACCACGCCCACTTGTGCACATCCCCGGAGCCATTGGCAGCAGTCAAGCTGGCGGCGGCGGCGGCGGAGCAGGAGGAGCCGCCGACGGTGGCGACGGCACAGCCTGTCGAGGAGGAGCTGCTGCTGCTGCTGGTGGTGGGCAGCGCTGCGTCTAGCTGCATATCACAGGCGAGCGCCGCCAGGGTCTTAAAGTAATCCGAATGCATCAGATGTATGCCGCCGCGCACCTGCGGCTCCTCGTACTCATATTGACGCAGCAGCTCTGGGATGAGGGGCAACAGTATAGCAGCCAGTGCTGGCTCCTGTGGGCGTGGCGCCTGTTCTAGCAGCAGCACCGCATGCAGTTTCTTCAGAGCCCAAATGCGCTGAGCGGTGCTCAAGGCGCCCAGTTGGGCGCAAGCAGCCAGGGCGGCGGCCAGTCGGAGCAGCACCTGGGGCTGGCGTGGGGCCAGGCGTGCATCGAGCAGGGCCATGACGAGGGCCATCGATGGCTGCGAGAGAACGGCACGATCGGAGCCGCTCTCGCCGAGCGTCGCCGCCGGCATGATGGCGTGCACCCAGAAGCGCCAGCCCCAGCCATTCACCGAGCTATCCGAACAGAATTTCCAGCGCAGCTCATCGCCGGGCACTCGGATCTCGGGCGCCCAATGGGCAAATTCACGGCCGGAACGCATGGCCAGCATACGACCGGCCGCGTCCATGATGACCAGCGGATCGTTGCGTTTCTCCGTGCTGCACTGGCTATCGAATTCGAGGCGCAGCATCTCGGCGCCGGGTATCCGGACCGTGCCGCTCACATTCATATTGTCCACATACGGATGGCTGCTCTCCTGCATAATGGGCTTCGGCAGCTTGCCCAGGCAATGGCGCGACGTGCACAGATCCTCCAATTCGGTGATGCAGGTCTCCAGCAGCATGGCCGCAATGCCCGCATTGCTGCTCAGCGAGATCAGGGTCTCTGCGATGGTCTGTGCCGTGCTCGGCGGACCGCAACGGCCGCAAACGGCCAGCTTGAGCAGTTCGACCAGAGACTTGGCCTCCGGCTCCTGAAGCAAAGCACCAAAATCGTCCAGCCCATGATTGTGCGTAAACTGTGCCAGCATCTCTTCCTGTTGTGTCATCGTGGCGGCCATTACGGACATGGCGCTGGCGGACATGCGCGAATGCGAGCCCGCCGACATGCCCGACATGGTCAGCGAACCGGTCAGGCTCTGGAAGGCGCTCAACGGACCCGCGCTCGGCACTTGCCCGGACAGCTGTGCCGGGCCGGGTTCCTCCGGTGAATGCTGCTCCGTCGCCAGCAGTGCTGCATCGCTGGCATCTGCCGGCGCCTCGCCGCCGCCCTGGGCTATGGTTGCCGTTCCCGTTCCAGCAGCTGCTCCTGCACCTGTGCCCGCTGCTCCTCCAGCAGCAGCAGCAGCAGCTCCTACACCGCCCCCGCCCGCTGCCGTATTGAGCTGCTCCTCAAGCTGGCGGGCGGTCGTCTCCTTGTAGTTGACCTTGCTGTGGCTGGTCAGCGCCGCGACAATGAGCTGCCTCGCCTGCAAGATGCTCATCGCGCGCAGCACATGACCCAGTGCCGCCTGTCGTGCCGCCGGCGTCTCCAGCGTGAGACTCTCGCTAAGACTCGGCTGCGTGGCGCAGCCGGAGGCAGGACCAGCAGCAGCAGCTGCTGCTGCTGCCGCCGCCGCTGCTGCGGCGCCCGCCGATGTGCTGGGTCGAGCATCCGGCTTGCCGGCCACATCCGGCGTTGTATGCATGTGCATCGTTGGCGGCGTCTCCGCCTCGTAGATGCCAAGGCTGCTGCCGCCGAGCGGATCACGTGTGCTGCCAAAAGGTACGGGGCCGCGTTTCTCCTCATCCAGAGTCGCATTGGGCAGGCCCCAGGCCATGGAATGGGAACTGCCGCAGGCGACGCGATTCACAAATACCGCATCCAGTCCAATCACCAGGGCGGGCTTCTTGTTCACGAACGTATTCCCGCTGCCCTGCTGGCCATGATCGTTGTCGCCCCAGGCGTACACCTGGCCGGCGTCCGTTACGGCGAGGCAGTGCAGCGCGCCGACAGCCACATGGATGACCCGGCGGCCGCGTAGTCCAGCGATGGGCTGAGGCTTGCGCACATGCTGATCGCCGCCGTGGCCGAGCCGATAATAGTCGCCCTTGCCCCAGGTCCAGACCTCGCCGGCGCGCGTCAGTGCTAGGCTAAACTGGGCGCCGCACTCGATCTGGATGACGCCGATGCCGGAGAGACGTTCGATTTCGTGCGGCGTGGCGGAACCCTCGCTGCCGCCGCGTCCCAGCTTGCCAAAGTCACCGTCGCCCCAGCTAAAGACGGCGCCGTCTTCGGTCAACGCCAATGTCTGGGCATCCCGGCTGCCGCAGGCCACCTGAATGACACGACGTCCATGGAGCGCGGTCACAAGCTTCGGTTTCAGCTGTGTAGCATTGTCGCCGTGGCCGAGTCGGCCGTACTCGCCCAGGCCCCAGGTGTACAGCTCGCCCTGACTGCTGATGGCCGCCGAGTGCGAGGAGCCGCACGCAATGTCGCGTATCTTCTTGGCGCGCAGCGCCTCCACCAGGCGTGGCTTGTCCAGGGTGCTGCGATTGCCATGTCCGAGCTTGCCGTCCTCGCCCTCGCCCCAGCTAAACACCTTGCCGTCGAGCGTAAGGGCAAGCGCATGTTTGCCGCCCGAATGAACCGCTACCTTCTTAACGACATACTGATGCAGCACGGGCAGCTGATGGGGCAACGGCACATTGTGTGTAACGCCCAGGCCGAGGCGTCCGTTGGTGCCCTCGCCGCAGGCATAAACCTTTCCATCCTGGCTGACCACAAACAGCGACTTGCTGCCGCCGGCTATGTGGATGGGCCGCAGGCGGCTGATCGTCTGCGAGAAGGTGGGCACCTTAACCTTGGAGCCCTTCAGGCCGCCCAGCTGCTCCTTGTCGTTGAGGCCCCAGACCATCACCGTGCATGGCAGCTCCTGTTCCGCATGGCTGCTGCTGCTGCTGCTCGTCGTCGTCAGCGTAGTTTCCGCCGGAGCTGTGGCTGGAGCGGCGGCGGCTGCTGCAGCTGCTCCACCGGCGCCGGCGCCGCCGCCATATTCGCAGGCTAAAAACTGCGCGTTGGCCAACATATGCTGTATGTCCGGCTGCTGGCGACGCCCGATAAATTGCAGGCCATGCACCTTGCACTGGATGCCATTGTTCTGGCACTGTTTGATTACGATCTCGATCCAGGGATAATACTGTGTTGCCTGCTGCATGAGTAGGACGCGAGTGGCGCCCGCTGCGACCGGTATCCAGGTGTACTCCTTGAGGCTATCGATGCACTCGCCGACGCGCACCTCCAGCAGCGATGGCATATGCGAATGATCCTCGGGGCTGACGCGCAACGCCAGGCTGTGCACAAGGACACGATCGTGCAGCTCGAGGCGTATCCAATGGCGACAGGGTCCGCTCGAGCAGCTCTGCCAGGCCAGGCCGCTGCCGTCGAGCAGATGCTTGGCCGCCGACTCGTTCGAGCTGACGCTCAGCGAACGGATGCAGCGTGACCAATCCTCAATCAGGTCCAGTTGCGCGGCCGCCGGCAGCTGCTGTTGCTGTGGCGCCGGCTGCTGCGACTGGGCAGGAGCTGCAGCTGGCGCGGGAACTGGTTGCGCCGGCTCCACTTCGTTGATGTGTCCCTGCCAATGCGGCTGATCCGGAAACTCCACAGTCAATTGCTTGCCGCGCATCGCGGTGACCACGCCGTAATCCGGCTGGCTGCGCGAGCCGCCCAGTCGCATCAGTTGTCCATTCGAGCGCAGTCTTACCCTGGCGCCAACTATGATTGCCGGCGGTGGGCGTGGCAGGGGCAATAAATGAGCAGCAGACTCGACCAGCTCGATGTGAACAAAGCATACCCAATAGGTGCTGCCATGATTGCGCCAATCGACCTGCACATTGAGATCGTGCAGTCCCTCGGTGTCCACGATCAGTACATTGCCCATGTCGCCCTGTTTGATCTCCTCGAAGTCGCGACAGCAGCGCACGAGCATGCCGGGACGCACGAGGCCGCGCACATAGAGCGCATAATGATCGGCCGTTTGGAAGTCTTTGCGTGTCTCAAACTTCTGCACGATCTGATCCTCAACAGTGTCCGAGGAGCTGCTGCTGCTGCCGCTGCTGCTGCTCGTTGTGCTGCTGCTCGTTGTGCTGCTACCACTTCCGTTTCCGTGAGCTGGTCGCTGCTCCGTCTCCAGGCTGGCGGCCTCCTCGTCAATCGTATTGGCGCACACGTCGGGATGCTCGAGTATAAACTGGACAATCTGTTCGGGCGTCGGCATGGCCTCCGCCTGCAGCGACAGCTGCTTCAAGGCCAACGCCACATTGCGTCGCGTGAAGCCCATCTCCATAATCTGTTCAATCAACTGCGCATCGCTTGCGGCGACAGGCAGCGCCTGCGGCTGCATCGTTTCCGTCGCCGCCGGCTGCTCCTTGGCCACATTATAGACGGCAATACCGTGCACCATCGTGGGCTGTGCGGGACTGGGCAGCAGCAGCGGCTGCAGCTCGTTCTCGGCATTCATTAGCTGCTGATGCGCCTGGCTGGCCAGAGTTTGGACGCAGTTGAGCGCCGCAGTGGCCAGCTCTGTGTAGCCATAGCATGCTTTAACCGGAGATGGTTGTGTGGCGCGCAGCAGCAGGCACTGGATGAGCAGCTGTTCCGGTTGCTCCGGCTGTTGGCTGCAAGAGGACAGAAGAAGCGGGGGATAAGTAAATAAATAGACGGATAAGACTGACAAATCATGTCCAGACCTGTTGCCGTTGCGTGCATCCGTTTGCTGCAATTTTTGTAGCTGCTCCTGCTCCTGTTCCGGTTCCTGCTCCGTGTCGGCCTCCTCGTTGCCGCCATTGTAGCCGCCGGCGGGCGCCCGCTGTTTGAGTATCTTGCGGAGGGCCGCCTGGTGGCGATAGAGCACGCCGTTGGTGTGCAGCACGGCCAGCTGTAGCTGTTGGCTGCGCAGCAGGCGAACATCGAGTCGACCCTCGCCAGCGTTGAGCAGCTCCCAGTTGGCGGCTGAGGAGCTGCTGCAGCTGGCGGCGCCATACAACAGCACCGTCCAGGCATTTAGAAGCATCTCGTTCATGGGCAGCCGAGTCAGACTAAAGCAGCTGTGATCCAGCTGGGGCAGCACCGTGGCCAGCGGCACCTTGACCAAACCCTGAGCGGACATGCTGCCCGCGGGCGGAGCACTGTGCGCGAGCAGGCAGCGTCCCTTGTGCGTGAAGCTGGCGATGATCATGTGGCTGCCCTCGTAAAAGCAATGGAGTCCGACGCGTGGTCGCAGATCGTAGCCGCCCATGGCGCTGAGAACGCCCAGCACCAGGCTGTGCTCCGTGTCCAGCGGCGTTTGGGGCAGCAACAGGGATTCGCCCTGCAGCAGCTCCGCGGCGACGCACAATTTCTGGGCCAGAAACGAATTGATCACCGCATTCCAGTGGGGCAGCGTGTGCAGGCGACGCAGCAGACCGACTAGCTCCTCGGCTACGCTGCCCGAATGCGAGGCGGTCAGCAGGACGCGCGACTTGCCGCCCTCCTGCGGCTGCAGCGTCACATCGCCGGGACAGTGCAGCGCGATGCGTCCAAGTGTGCCAAATAGCTGACGCACCAGCGCAGCCATGCGCGGCTCCTCCTCCTGGCCCCATGCCGCCAGAATTGTCTGCATTAGGCGCAGGCAGTGCAGCTGCCGATAGACGCCACGCTCACTGCCCGCCGGCTGCTCCAGCAGCGCAAAGTAATGCGACAGCCAGTTCGGAGCACTCAGTTCCAGGCACAAGCGTGGACAGTCGCCTGGAAGAGCAGGAGAAAGGAAGAGTTGTGAGTCGGTTCCGATATATATACTACAGATAGATGGACTTCTGCATAGTTTCATGACGATAGTTCTAAAACTGGGACACAAGTTAGCATAGAAACAGACAGAGGAACGTACGGATGTGGGATAGGGATAGCGATAGGGATAGGGATAGGGATAGGGATAGGGATAGGGATAGGGATAGGGATAGGGATAGGGATAGGGATAGGGATAGGGATAGGGATAGGGATAGGGATAGGAATAGGAATAGGGGAAGAAGGGATAGGAATAGGGGAAGAAGGGATAGGAATAGGGGAAGAAGAGATAGGAATAGGGGAAGAAGGGATAGGAATAGGGGAAGAAGGGATAGGAATAGGGGAAGAAGGGATAGGAATAGGGGAAGAAGGGATAGGAATAGGGGAAGAAGGGATAGGAATAGGGGAAGAAGGGATAGGAATAGGGGAAGAAGGGATAGGAATAGGGGAAGAAGGGATAGGAATAGGGGAAGAAGGGATAGGAATAGGGGAAGAAGGGATAGGAATAGGGGAAGAAGGGATAGGAATAGGGGAAGAAGGGATAGGAATAGGGGAAGAAGGGATATGAATAGGGGAAGAAGGGATGGGAATAGGGGAAGAAGGGATAGGAATAGGAAAAGAAGGGATAGGAATAGGGGAAGAAGGGATAGGAATAGGGGAAGGGATAGGAATAGGGGAAGAAGGGATAGGAATAGGGGAAGAAGGGATAGGGATAGGGATAGGGATACGGATAGGGATAGGGATAGGATAGGGATAGGGATAGGGATAGGGATAGGGATAGGGATAGGGATAGGGATAGGGATAGGGATAGGGATACGGATAGGGATAGGGATAGGGATACGGATAGGGATAGGGATAGGGATAGGGATAGGGATAGCGATAGGATAGGGATACGGATACGGATACGGATACGGATACGGATAGGGATAGGGATACGGATAGGGATAGGGATAGGGATACGGATAGGGATACGGATAGGGATAGGGATAGGGATAGGGATAGGGATAGGGATAGGGATAGGGATAGGGATAGGGATAGGGATAGGGATACGGATACGGATAGGGATAGGGATAGGGATAGGATAGGGATAGGGATAGGGATAGGGATAGGATAGGGATAGGGATAGGGATAGGGATAGGGATACGGATAGGGATAGGGATAGGGATAGGGATAGGGATACGGATACGGATAGGGATAGGGATAGGGATAGGGATAGGGATAGGGATAGGGATAGGGATACGGATACGGATACGGATAGGGATAGGGATAGGGATAGGGATAGGGATACGGATAGGGATAGGGATAGGGATAGGGATAGGGATACGGATACGGATAGGGATAGGGATAGGGATACGGATAGATGAGGCATACTCTAGCATAGATATATAAATTATCTTTGTCGTGTCCGATTCCTTCGAGCATCGCTTGATGAAACCCATAACAATTTTGGACGAGAATCAAATTTATGTTTATGCAATGTTTTCCACCCCAGTTTTTGGCTAGATTAACAGGCTCACCTGCAATGGCGCGTATGAAGCCGAGATTCAGCCAGTTGAGGCAATGGACGACATTGGCCAAGGCGGGCTTTGGATCGAGCATGGCACGAAACATGCTGGTGACGCCGCGCAGCGCGTATTTGTCCAGGCAGGCGCCGTGGAGTCCGCTGCCGACGGCCAGGATTTGCAGCAGCTTGGCGGCGCAGTGGCGCAGCAGCTTGGAGGGATGCGATTCGCTGCTGGGTGGCGGTTCCATGGTGCCTAGTTCCTCACGTTCCGGTTCCGTGGGTGAGGCCACATTCATTGCGCTGTCCGCCAGCTGCAGATCATATTGGCCCTCCTTGCCCATGCGATACGAATTGGTGGCGCCCGTGTACCACTCGACGCGCACCCAGCTAATTGGCAGGTGGAGAGGAAGATTATAAGATTAGACTGTTCTGTTGGCGAGTGCTTCGCTCTGGTCTGCTGTACTCACCCGTCCTCGCCCACCTCGCTGATGATGCGTCCCTCGCCGGGCGGATTGCCATCCTGATCGCCCCATTTCCAGTCGGCGCCGCGCACAATTCGTGTGCCAATCTTCATGAGTTTCGCCAGATCCGGTCCGCTGAGCTGTGCCTTGTTGCACTTCTGCTTCAGCACGCTGTCCTCGTAGAGCACGCTCAGCTCCAAATTGTTGCCCCTGGCGCCGCCCTCGCCGCCCGTCTGCGCCAACAGGCCGAGCACAGTGCCCAGCAGGCCCGAGTTAATGAGCAGACCCAACTCATTGGCGCCCAGCTCCTTGGCGAGCAGCCCAAAGATGCTGATAAGGAAGCGGGCGCGCGGCAAACGCTTGAGCAGCACATAGGTGCTCAGATTGCAGCTATCCTTGCCGCGTGCAGCGCCCTGCTGCTCCTGATTGACCAGACGCCGCAATTCGCGCACCGCCCAGTCAAGGACACGCGCCTGTGCCAGCAGCAGACGTGCCTTCTGATACGCACTGACCATGTTCAGCTGGCCGAGCACAGGCTGCGGCGAGGCGCCACACGCAGCGGACTTCAGATGCAGGCCTAGATAGCCATTGAGCAGGCTGTACTGGGCGGCGTCCAGCAGGCCGTGCAGCTCGAGCAGCTGCTGCACCAGCTGCAGCCCGGCCAGGCGCAGCTGGAAACGCTGCATCTGGCAGTACATGGCACGACGCACCGTCTCCACATCGCAGCTGTCCTGCAGCGCAAAGTCCACAATGTCCTGTATGAGCGTGGCGTCCAGCTCGACATCTGCGTGCAGCTGGCGTTCGTTTAGGCGACGCAGCAGCGACTCCTCCTCGTCCAGTTGCTTCTGCTGCTTGGGCTTCTTCTCCTGCTGCAGCTGCTCCTGTTGCTCGTAGATCAACAGCTCTGTGGTCTGTTGCTGCTGCTGTTGCTGGATGCTGGCATTTAGCAGATCCTCGGGCTTGGCTGCCGGCTGCTGTTTGGCCGCGCGCAGCTCCTGCAGCAGGCGCCGCACCAGCAGCCGGAAGCGCGGCAAACGCTGCAGTATGGGCAGCCGGCGCAGGCCACGCTGCTGCGGACTGATGGCCGGACGCACCTCGTACAGCAGAAAGCGCAAACGTTCCAGAACGGGCGCGCACACCTCCTTGTAGCTGCGATTAAGCTGCTGGCGTGTGCGCACCACCGACCACTTGGCCTGATGCACCAGTCGTATAATCTCGGCCAGCTGCTTGGGCAGCGCCGGCTGCTGCTGCTGTTGCTGCTCGCCTGTTGCCTCCAGCGCGCTGAGCACCAGGCCGCCGAGGCACTGATGCCGCAACAGCACGGCGCTGAGCAGACGCTCCAGCTCCTGGACCGGATGCTCTGTGGCGAACTCCTGATGCCACATCAAATTGTGCGCCTTGCAGTAGCGCTCGGTGAGCGCCAGCCAGTGGGCCACCAGCGGATCGCTGAGGCGCGCCTCCGCCAGGCCAGCTATGAAGCTGTCCACGCGACTCTGCAGCTGCTCGGCGGCGGCACGTCGCGCCGTCGGCGGCGGCGCTGGCAGCGTTATCTCTGTGGGCGTATTGCCCGCCGTGCTGTGGCTGCTGCGCGCCTCACCCTTCTCCTCGTCGAACGGATTGCTCGGCTGCAGCATCAGCAGGCCGCCGCTGAGCAGCGACGATTTGTCCAGCTGACGGCATTGCAGCTCCGCCGGCTGCAAGCTGGGTCCGCTGCACATCAGATTCGCCACCAGACCCAGAAGCTGTGCCAGCGTGCATTCCGAGCTGAAGTGCGTCAATCGTGTCGCGGTCGGCGGGGCAATCTGCAAAGAAGAAGCAACAGTTTAGAGCTATGGCAATGCACGACTGGCAGATACCCTCGAAAAGAGTGCAACAAATATTCCAGCTTCCTTTTACACAGAAAAACTGAAAAACATATATCTATATATATATTAAGCTGTTTGTCCTAAATGACTGATTGACTGATGGATTGATTGATTGATGATCAACGCACAGCCCAAATCTTGTACCTGAATCTGTTTGGTTGGATGCGTCGGACACTTGGGAATATCAATCTATATATAAAACTATTTGTCTTGATTGACTTATTGATTGATTGATTGACTGACTAACCGATAGAATGACTGACTGACTAAATTGGATGTCAAACAAAAATATATCATTCGAACGTTGTTCACGATTTTTCCTCATATGCTGGTGGAATTATATATATACAAGTATTTTTTAAGAAGGCATATAAGTAATATATATATATATATATGTGTGCATGTGCTAGTGTATGCATGTATGACTGCATTTATATATATATATATATATGTATGTTTGTTTTCTAATGCCAAATGCAGACGAAGCTTATTTGTCGCTGTGATGCATATTAAAATATAACGAATTTATACCAAGTGCTCTCCTCCTCGATTCTCAAGAATTTAAGTAGGCTCTGCAGCTTTTCATGCTGAGCTAGTAGTGAAGTGTTTTTTTTTTTTTTTTTGAGTGTATGTATATGAACATATGTAGGTATGTATGTATGTCTGTATGTATGTATGTATGTATGCATGCATGTATGCATGTATGTTTGTATGTATGTATGTATGTATGCATGTATGTATGTATGCATGTATGCATGTATGCATGTATGCATGTATGCATGTATGTATGTATGCATGTATGCATGTATGTATGTATGCATGTATGTATGTATGTATATATGTTGGTATGTATGTATGTAAGTATGCATGTATGTATGTATGCATGCATGTATGTATGCATGTATGTATGTATGCATGCATGTATTTATGTATGCATGAATGTAAACACATATATATGAATGTGTGTATGTATGCAAGGGTTACCACGTGGAGGCCAATTCTAACTTGTGGGACACATGAATTACGAAATACGCTAGTTATGTTTGCCCTTCTACATCGTTTCATTCACCCCCAGATCGGAGAAAGACAGACAGACATGACCAGATCAACTCAGCTGGTCAAACTGAGCATGACTATATAGTTCTCATGGGGTCGAATATCTGCATCCTTATACATTAAGACTTTTTAGGGCGTACAATAAAAGACGCTTCCTCTCACCTTCTCCTCGCTGGCGCTCTGGCTTGCCAGGTATTTGCCCAGCTTGTGATGTTGCAGCAGCTGCTCCATGGCGCCGCGAAACGGCGGTGTGCTTAGCTCCGCGGTCAGATCCTTGCCGAGACCCAGCTCGAGCAGAGCGCGCAAATTCTCCGATTCGCAGCTGTCGATAAAAGAAAAAAAGGTGTAAGTGAAATCTAAAGAGCAGCTGCAGCTACTCACGTATAGCCGGCGAGATCGCAAACGTAGCCAGCCACAATGATGCAATGGCTGCCGTCGAGCAGCAGATTGTCCATGTCGGAGCGGCGGACATAGTGCGTCTCGGGATCAGCGGCCGCCGGCGGCGGAGCAGCGCCCTTGGGACCGCCGCGACAAATGATGCCCGGCCAGCCCATGTCGTCGCCGTCGCGCAGTTCACCCTCGCCTAGCGCACGATTCAGGCGGTCGAGCACACGCAACAGCGGCAGGCAGAGACGTGCCCAGCGCAGGCTGGCCAGGCACTGTGGCCTGTCGCGCTTGAGCAGCACCAGACCGACCAGCAGCTCGTTCAGCAGCGCATCCGAGATGTCCGCCTGTAGCACACGATTCAGCGCGATGCCCAGTTCGCTGGACTCGGGGCGACACTGCAGCGCCAGCTCGTGCGCCTGCTGCAGCGTGCTCACGCAGGCAGGTATCAGGCTGTGCAGATATTGGGAGAGCAGCGCCTCTGCGCCCGTTGTGTCCTCCTCGGCGCTGGCCTGATGAATGTGCGCCAACAGCAGACGCTGAAAACGATGCAGCAAACACAAACTGGGACTGGTTCCGGGTTGTTGTTGTTGTTGTTGTTGGTGCTGTTGCATTAGCAGCAGCAGCTGCTGCCGCTGTTGCTCCTCCTCGGCGACGGGCTGCTGCTGCTGCTTGGTCAGCAGGGTGAGCGAAAGCCGGCTCTGGGTAAGCGATGCATTGTTTCCAAGCAGACGTGTAATTAGCTGCAACAGTGGCAAATGGGCGCCGTCTGTGCAGTCCGTGGAGCAGGAGCTGCTCTCCAGCCGTATCGCATGCTGTAGCGCCGTCTCCAGGCCGCCCTCGGCCATCAGCGAGCTGACCAGCAGATCCGTCATAAAGCGATGACCCGCCGAGCATGCCTGGCCCGGCTCCGACGGCAGCAGCGCCGTCAGCGTCTGGGCACGCTCCGCCGCCGTCGGCAGCAGCACACTCCAGCCATCCTGCAAAGAACGAGAGATGGATAAATGAGGCTCCAAAACAAAAAAAACTGAAGGCACCTACCTGGAGCGCTTGCTGTGCGGCTATTTGGATGGTGCGCAGCACTTGGCTGCCGCCGGCCAGACTCAGTATGCGCGTCTTGAGGCTGTTGAGCAGACGCCCGCCGCTGGCCAGGCCGACGTTGCGCGGCTCCACGCCGTTGGCAATGAGCGCGAGCAGCTGTAGACGCACCAGATTGAGGCAGGCGACCGCAATGCACTCCGATTCCTGGTTAGGTGTCTGGCGATTATCTTGCGCCGCGCTGGCGCTGCACAAGCCCAGCAGCTGGTCGAGCAGCCGAAATGTCGGTTCGCCCAGATCGATGACAAATGGCGCACGCAGCGGCACACCCTGACGGCTGGTCTGCGTCCAGATCAGGCTCTGGACGGCGGTGCAGGCCATGCCGCTGGCGGGCATCGTTGGCAGCGTCACCTGAATGGGCTGTCGCAGCAGCGGCTCACTGCACACGGAGGCGGGACAGATCTGTTGGTTGTCGTTGCGGCCCCAGCCAAAGATTTCGCCGTTGCTGCTCAAAGCCAAACAATGAGCCACGCCCACGGCCACGTGCACAATGCGTTTATGCTGTGAAAATAAATATATATTATATTAGTTACATTAATTAGTCAACAATTTCCACCCATTTTCCCCTGCGAGAGTGAGTTCAAATCCATCCCAAATCCCATTTATGATGCAGAGAAAGATTATGACATTCTAAAATCAAGGATCAATGGGGCAAGAAACTGGTGCAATATATTCCAAAATTTAAATGGGAAAATAAATATATTTCCACCCATTTTCCCCCTGTGAGAGTGAGTTCAAATCCACCCTAAATCCCATTTATCATGGACGGGGGAATCAAGGATCAATAAGGAAGGAAATTGTGCAATGTTATCCAAAAGTGAAATGGGAAAATAAATATATGATATTGTGTATTAAAATTAGTCAACTATTTCCACCCATTTCCCTAATGTGAGAGTGAGTTCAAATTCACACCAAATGCTATTTTTCATGGAGGGGTAGATTATATCATTCTTAAACCAAGGATCTAGGAGGAAGGAACTGATGCAAGGTATTCCAAAAGTGAAATGGGAAAATAAATATATTTCCACCCATTTTCCACTTGTGGGACAGTTCAAATCCATTCCAAACCCTCAACAAATGTGTTTATTTACCTAAGAGGAGGATCAAGGAGGAAGATAAGGTTCTGATAGACTATGAGAATAGGTAGAGATAGAGTGGAAGATGAAGAGATGATAGTGATGGTCTCTTACCTGCAGGCTGGTTATAAGTCTGGGCACACTGCAGCCCTGTACGTTGCGCTCGACCAGCTGATGGCCCAGACAGGATGCCTTGCCCCAGCTGTAGAGTTGGCCCTCGCAGGTGAGCGCCAGCGAGAACTGGGAGCCGGCAAAGACGCGCTGCACACGTGGCAAACACTCGATGAGCAGCGGCTGCAGGCTGCTATTGCAGCTGCCATTGCCCAGCTTGCCATAGTCGCCATCGCCCCAGGCATAGACCAAACCACCCCTGGTCAGGCAGAGTGTGTGAGCATCACCACTGCCCAGTGCCACGTCCAGCACCTGGTGATCCTTCAGTGCCATCACCATGGCGGGCATGCACTGATCATCCGAATTGCCATGGCCCAGACGGCCATAGGTGCCGCGTCCCCAGGTATAGAGATTGCCGCGCAGCGTGATGGCGGCGCTGTAGGAGCAGCCACAGTAGACAGACTGGACGCGACGCACCAGGCTCTCGATCTTGGTGGGCAGCTCGCGGGCATGGCAATCGCCGTGGCCCAAGCGGCGACTGTCGCCGACGCCCCACGAATAGGCGTTGTCTGCGGTAGAGAGAGTGAGAGAGAGAGAGAGATTAGGAGAGCTAAAGGAGGAGTAGCTGGAGCTGGACTCACGGTTGCTGTCGACGGCGAGAAAGTGTCGTCCCTCGCAGTGGGCGGCTATGGAGACGAACGTCTCGTTTGCTATTTCGGCAAAGTCCATCAGTTGGGGTTCCGTCTCCGGCTTGGCGATGGGCCAATTGTAGAGCTTGCCCTCCTGGCAGAGCAGCACCACCATATCCTCGCTGCAGGCCACCTGCTTCAGCTGGAACTTGCACGTAAGCAGAGCCGGCGGCGGCTGTTGGGTGGCTGCACTGGTCCAGCTAAGAGCGGGCTCCACATTGAAGCCCTGCTGCTCCTTGGACAGCGCTGGCCAGCCCAGCGCATAGACACGCTGCTGCTCCAAAATGGTGCTCGCCGTGTTGGGCGTGGCCGCCGGACGCAGCAGACAGCTGGGCAGCAGCTGCGTGGGATGCGGCATATGCGGCTGCACCAGACGATCCAAATGTGAGATGATGACCACGGCCGCACGGCGTAAATCCACAATCGCAGCGCTGCTCTTGGGCAGCATAAGGAAGCGCAAGAAGGTCTCCGTCGCGCTGGCCAAGGGCGTGGCTGGCTCCAAATTGGCGCTGGCGCCGGAGCCGGAGCTGCTGTTGCTGCCCGTAGCTGGGTCGGCGCCCAGGCGCTGATAGCGCTGCAGGATGCGCAGCAGGGGAGCGCCCGATTTGCGCGGCATATCGCGATTATCGCCATTGACGCCGCCATGTCCATGTCCGTGGGCGTGTCCATTATCGTTGTCCTTCTCCCAGAGCACAAGCAGCAGCACCACACACTCCAGCGTGGCCGCCAGCGTGCCCTTCTGCACGCCCAGCTCCAGCAGCAGGCACAGCGCCGTATGCCTGTCCGTGAGCGGCGCCAGACAGCGTCCGCCCATGGGATCACCCAGGGCGACCAGGCGCAGAAACTTAATCGAACGCTCCATGACCTCCAGCCAGAGGGGCGAGACCTGCGCGGCGGCATCGAAGAGCGTCGCCTCGGGCAGCTCCTGCAGCGATTCGAGCGCCTCGCTGAGCAGCTCGCTGCACATCTCCATGTCCTCGCCGGAGCGCCAGGCGCGACGCAAAAACGCAAAGCTAAAGTTGAGGGCGGCGCGTGTGCCGACGCGTGCCAGGCCCAGAGCAGCATGCTCCGGCTCCTGTTCCGGCGGCAATGGCGGCGCAGGCACAAGAGATTCCTCCAGCTGCTGCTGCTGCTGTGAAGCTTGTGGCTGTTGCTGCTGCGGCTGCGCCGGCTGCTGCTGCTGGTTGCGCTTGAGCGCCACAAAGTAGCGTTCGTAGATGAAGAGCTGCTGGCGCAGCTGCTGCGCGGAGAGGCAGTTGCCGGCGGCGCGCAGCGCCAGCTCATGGAGCTCGGCGATCAGTGTGCGCTGGCAATCGTGCTTGGCCAGCTGATTGGGTGGCTGGCTCCAGAGCCAGGCGCTCAGCGTCAGCTCCGTTGCATGCTGTTGTCCGCCGAGCGCTTGCTGTGCCGCCGCCGATGTCAGCTTTTTGATGGCCGTGTCCGAATCAAGTGGCCGGCAGCCGTCGCAATTGCAGGCGGAGAGCGGGCCACAGTATTCCGGCTGGCAGCAGGTGCACTGCAGCGCCTCAGCGCCGCAATAATGCTTGCCATCGTCGCCCAGATAGGAGAGCTGTCCGTGTGCATTGCGCAGCGGCGCCGTTGGCGACGATACCAGCTCGCAGTCCTGTATCAAATGATTCCAGAGCACAGCGCCGTCGGCGGCGTTGCGCAGGCAGGTTATGAGATCGGCGCGCAGCCATTTGGCGTCCAAATACGGCAATGGGCGCAGGTAGAGATCACTCGTGGGCGTGGCAGCACTGGATGCACTGGCAACGTGAGCTGGCGCTTCCGCAGCAGGCGCGGCTGCTGCTGTTGCTGCTGCTGCTGTTGTTGTTGTTCCAGCGTTGCCCAACCTATTGAACATGTTGAGAGAAATAGTGAGGGCGGGGGCGGGTTGTGCACGCGGAGGGAATGTGTGTGTCCTTAGTGTAACTGTTCACAGAACTGGAATCCAGCAGACACGGCCGCTTCCAACAATAACATGGCACATTTGTTATATTCCAAGGCGTTTTTCCTCTTCTCTCTTGTTTTTTTTTTTTTCGTTTTCTTTTCTTTTCTTATTTGTAGCTCTGTTGTGGCAAGACACAACTTGAAGAAGCAGAGTAACGGTTACTAGCTGCTAGTTGCAGGGCGCGGGGCGCGGGACGGCCCCCGTTCGAAGGCTCAGTCAATGTCGTCAGACCAACACACATGCACGGCTTACACACACACACAGGGGCACACATACGACACACGCACAAATAGTGGCTTAGAATGAATCGTAGTTTTCGTTTTCGTTGCCATTGTGTGCATGTATTAGTAGTGTGTTGTGTATGTGTAAATTCGCTTAATTCCGCGCACTTTAATCACTTATCGTTAATTTAGTACATTAATAATACAATTTAGTCTTGTTTGCATTCTCTAAAGTTAAGTGAAATATATTTAATCAATTAATAGTCGCCGTTGTTCTGCTTGGCACGCGAGGCTGCCAACCTGCTTGCCAAAACACAAAAAAAAAAAAAAACTATTATCGATTTTTGTGCCATTTTTCGCCCAACTTATCGATTGCGACATCTGGCAGCACTGGCTGGCTGTTAACAGTTTTTTTTTTTCAAATTGCAATTGCGCGCAACGTTTAAAAAAAAAAACCAGGTCAAATCTTCTAATAATAACTGCACATATATTACTTTTCTGGGGCTGTGGCTTATGTGACCTGCCATTTGGCATTTTCTGCTATGGCCTTTGCTTATGATGACCTCGAGCAGTGCCCCTGCCATTGTTAAATCAACCACCCCAATTGTGACAATTGGTACAGTGAAGCCAACTTTTATGCAACCGCCCAATTCCCAAACCCAAAAATAGACCGAATTTTTGTTCAATGCAACAACAACAATTTGTGTGTACTTTAGAGGAATAATTCGTTTATTTATCGAATACATTGAAATGCATACACGAGTTGTTCTCAATTTTTGTGTTTTTTTTGTTTGTTTTTTTTTTGTTTTTTTAAATTTATATTACTTTGTATTTGTTTAAATAAATAAGATACATACGTTTAATCAATAATAGCAGTATTTATCGTGCAAATTTGATAAGCATAATAATTGTTTACGTTTACGTTTTGCTTGTTTCTTTTGCAAGATTTTTATGAAATAATTATGCATTAAATATATGAAAAAAATATATGTATTTTTGTTGTTTGTTGTTTGTTTTTGTTGTTATCTTTCATTTTGTTTTGTTTTAATTAGCTGCTCTTATATATTTGCATTTACTTTTTCTTTAAAGTAAAAAACGATCTGCGCTTTGGTTCGTCCTTTTGCGAAGTAGCCGGCAAGGTCTGGGATCTGCTCGCCGCCACAGCCGCCGAATCGCTCTGGGCCTTCAAAGCGGATACCCACTGTGACATCTCGTTGTCATCGTGGGCCTGCAGCAAGAACTCAGCTCCGCTGGCCAATCTGTGCACATACATTTGTTAATAAATATTTACTAATGTTTAAATATGATTTTGGGGGACTCACTTGACTCGCAGCACATGCTTCTTCTTGGTGTAATCACTGGCAATTTCGATGGCAGCGCCCTGCAGATCGTAGCTGGGCTCGCCGCGGAAGGTCAATTCGGGATTACTCTTGTAACCCTTGTGATCTTTGAAGAACGAAACGCGTCCGCTTCGTGCAGCCATATAAACCTGACAATTAAAAACAATTTAAATAAAAAACGAAAAACCTTGGAGAATTGTTCAAATTCACAAATCGCTGAAACTGAGACCTAGCTCGGAAAACCTCATGAAAAGATTTTATGAACTTACCTTATCCCAAGATCTGTTGGAGGCCTTCTTGGTGGCCGACTCCCATTCATGCTTTCGTGTCACATAACCCTCCTGACCATCTCCAGCAGCTGGTGTGGCGCCACGCTCTACAGAAAAGAACTCGATCAGTTGACGGCACTCGACAAATATATCAATATCTATATCTATATAAATCTTGTGTATATATGAATTGGTGTAGATTGTAAATACAGTTAGTTGGAGTGATAGATAGTTGGGTGTAGTCCTTGGGCTAATTAAGCAGGAGCTTGTACCTGTTTGGGTCTCGACAACGCGCTCAATGTCTTCGGCTGTGTCTGCAGCGGCTGAGTTAAACATTTGATTCGGAGTTGAGTTGAGTTTGGTTAGTTGATTGGGTGGTTAATCCGACGTTATTGATAGCAAGCATGAGTGAATGAGATGGAATGTTCAGATATTTAGTTGGTTATGCACAAGACGATAACGTTAACGGGTTAGATCGACAGTTAGTTGCGGCTGGGTTAACCGCTTTTCAGATTAAATCTACGTGCTTAATATACATATATATATATATATACATATACATATATATGGGGGGAAGGGAATAATTAGAGAGAGAGAGAGCGAGGTGAGGTGAGATGCTGGTAATCCAAAGGGCAGCTAATCCTACCTGCTTCATCGTGGGCAATGCCCACATCAACATCATCACGACGCTCAGCCTCACGTTTGGCCAACTCGGCCGCCTCGGATGCGGCCTTAGCCTCCTGTTCCTCCTTGATGCGCTGCCGTTCGGCCTCCTCCGCCTGCTCCTGGCGCCGTTTCATTTCCTTAAGCTCAAACTAGTTGAGATAGAGAGGAAGTACGCATTATGAGTATTTGTTTCAATGGATAAGTAGGAGAAGCTGCGTTCACTTACGGTTGTCAAACGCTCAAGTGCGCTGAAGCGCTCCTCTTGTGCGGCGGCCGACTTCTCGAATGCCTCGTGCTTCTTGATCAGATTCTCGACCTCGTCAATTGTGTGTCCCAGCTCGGAGGAGAGCAGATACGGCTCCTGGGCAATAAGCCAAGCCTCGGCAACGGCAGCATCTCGGGCAAACTGATACACCTCCAGAACTGCAAGAACAAGACAAATGCACTTTAAATCAAGTTGGGTGTAAAGAAAGTGCGTAACATACTCAGCTGTAGGTTCTCCCAGCGCTCCTCCCAGCGCAGAAGTAGCGCATTGCGACTGTTGTTCAGCTGCTTGAGGCGATCCTTGATGTCCGCGGAAGCGTAATGATTGCGCGTGAGCAGCTCCTTGCCAAGGGATATGCACGCCGAGAAGTTATCCTCGCGCGTATCGATCTCGGCCTTTAGACTCTGATGGTTGTTCATTAGCAGCTCGACGCCGGATACGTCGCGCGGCTTCTCGGACGTGTTCATCTGTCGCACCAGATCCTCCATCCAGATGGTGAGTATGCGCACCATATTGAAGAAACGGAACAGATCGCCGGTATCGGCCAGCTTCTGTTTGCGTGCATCGCACATGGCCTGCAGATTGTCCCAGGCATGCAGAACCTCCTGTTCCCGATTCGTAATCTCCTTGGCCTTGTCGCCGGCATAGGCGTCCTGCAGCTTGGCGGACTCCTCCTGGATTTGCTGCACCTGCGAGTACAGTGTCGTCAGATCCTGCTGGAAATTGTAGTGCTTGCGCTGCAGCGTCGAAACGGAGCCGGCATCGCGGCCCAGCTCATCGGAGACGCCGTGCTGCTTCTCGAGTATGCGTCCCAACACATCCTTGCAGTCATGGAAGAATTTGTGCAGTTCACGTGAAGCGGCCAGCATTTGGGTGCGCGTCTCGATCAGCTCGAGCAGATCCTGCCACGACTCGTTCAGATTGTCCTTCCACTCGGCAATGGTCGCCGAGTCCGAGTGTCCGGCCTGTATCAGATTGTCCGCAATCCCGTTAACCTTGGCCACACGTTCGCCACCGACGGCCTCGGTGTCGCGTGCAAACTCATTGAAGCGCTCCGATAGCAGCGTAACATGATCGTAGTCCTGGCCCAGCTCCTGGGATCCGGCGACCACCTCACGATCGGTGATCCATTGCTCCAGATCGTCCACCTCGCGGCTGAGCATGAACAGCTGCAGCGCCTCGTTCAAACGAGCGCGTCGCTCACCGGCCAGATCCTTGAGTCCGGCATACAGCTTGTCCAGCTGGGATTGCTTGACGGCGACAGCATCGCCGTTGGATACATCATCGCTGCTGAACTGACGCGCCACCTCGCCCAGCTGGCGTATGGTGTTCGCATAGTCCTCGACCGATTGCTCTAGATTCTCGTGCTTCTTCATTAGATTCTGGGCGCTTATCTCATCCTTGCCGCGATCCTCGACCATCATGTACAGCTCCTGTTCGCTCATCCACGACTCGGCCTCCTGTGCGTCGAAGAAATACTGTTGCACCTTCTCCGATTCGAGCAGATGCCGCTTGCGATTCTCGATGGCATCCTTTAGCTCCTGCCACTTGGCAGTCAGATCGCTGATCAGCGCCTCGAACTTCTTGGCATCCTCGTGACCCTCGTCGATCAGTTTGCGTCCGTTGTTGCAGATGGCATTGATGCGCGGCTCATGGTTGTCGATTTCGGTGGCCAGCGATTGGTTCTTCTTCTTGAGGACATGCACATTGAACAGCGAGTTGCCGTAATCTGTGGAATTGGCCACCGGCAGCTTCTCATCGATCCAGAGCTTCTCATCCTCGACATCGCGACAGAACTGGAAGGCCTCCTTCTTCTTCTCCAGCTGCTTTTGGCGCTCCAACAACGGTGCCTTGATCTTCTCGAAACGCTCCAAAACGGCCGTCTTCTTAACGACAATCGGTTCGATCTTCTCCTCGGGCACCGTCTTCTGCAGATATTCCGTCTGCTTGTCAATCTCCTCCACCTGGCGGGCCTTGACGGCCATCTGGGTCTGGATGACCTGTTGCTTTTGCATGAGTATATTGACAGAGGTCAAATCGTTGGCTGTGTCACCGCTGACGATCTGCTTCTCCAGATCGGTAATGTAGGAGTCGATATCGTCGCAGGTCTGCTGGACGAGCACCTCGCGATTGGCGTCGAAGAGCAGGGCGCCCTTCTCCTTGGTATGGACCTCAAGGTCGTCGAACTGTTTGGCCAGTTCCTTGAGTTTGGGCTCGATGACATCCTTGAATTCGGGCTTCTCCTTGGACAACTCCTGGGCAGACTTTTCGGCCTCGTACAGGCGCTCCTTGTTGGCAGCGATTTCCGCCTCGAAGGCCTGATGCCTGGTCCACTTGGAGTGTATGGTCTTGGCGCTGCGATAGGTCTCATCCTGTGATGTCACATACTTCTCCTGCACCCATTCGGCCAGCTCTTCCAGATCCTGCAGGAATTCGTGCAGCTTCACCTGGTTCTTTAGCTTCTCGTGCTGATCCAGCGCACGCTGGCGATTATCATCCCGACGTCCGGTTATGTTCTCGGCCCGCTTACCAATCTTGTCCGCATCGAAGTGCTCCTTCTCCACCAAGGTGTCGGCCACCTGGAGCAACGTATTGATCTTGTCATCGTTGGCCTCCATGGTGGTGAGGAAGGCTTCGTGTCGTTTCAGCTGATTCTCGGCCTGCTCCAGATTAACCGGTGTATCGTCCTTGCTGAGGAAATGCTCCTGCTGGCTGAGCAGCACCTCGGTCTGGCGTGCATCCCGATTGAACAGCTGCTGATCCAAGCTCTGCGACAACAGCACCTGACGATTCTCCCACATCTGATGCAGCTCCTCCCAGCCGTCCTTGAGGGCATTGAGGCGCTCGCGCAGGAACATGTACTGCGGATCCTCGGAGGTGTTGCCCTCGGTGGTCAAACGTTCGCCGTACTCCATCATAGACTTATAGTCCTCGGTATAGTTGTCGATCTCCTCGCGTATGGACTGATGCTGGTTAAGCAGCTTCTCGGCCTCAGGCAGCGATGTGGGCGTATCCTCGGAGGCGACATCCGTTTGGGTCTTGGTCAGCCAAGTCTGGAAGTGATCGAGATCGCGCAGGAAACGATGCAAATCGCCAGCCTCTTCCAACTTGGAGTCGCGCTCTTTTAGCATCTGTGTCAACTGCTCCCAGATCAGTTCGATTTGTGCGATCCTTTCGCGGATTAGCTGCGCCTCCTCCGGATGCTCCACCTCAATGCTGTCCGCCTCGCGTCCCAAGCTCGACAGTTTCGCCTGTATGGCGGCCAGATCGCGATCCATGCCGCTAAGGCGACGCTGCAGTGTCATCACACCGGTCAGATCCATCTCCAAGCTGTCCGTTTCGGTGAGGATGCGCTTCTTGTCCTCAATCCACGAGATCGTTTCGCGGCACTCAATGTAGAAGGTTTGGACACCATGCGCCGACTTGAGGTCATCCATTTTGGCCTCGGCCTTTTCGCGCAGCGTCGACCATTCCTGGTTCAGATGATTCTGCCGGTCGAGTATCTCATCCGAATTCGGATGCTCGACGTGCAGTAGCTGACGGGCGAGCTGATTGACAACGGCCACACGGGAGGCATTGGCATTCATCTCCTTGTCGAAGCCCTCGAAGCGATGCTTCATGATCTCCACATCCTCGATGTCCTTGCCGGGCACCATGGTATCCAACATTTTGGTCTTCTCCTTGATCCATTGCTCGACGCCGTCCGCCTCGGACATCAGCTTGTAGAGGCTGAGCGCGTCGAGGAGACGCTGCTTGCGCAGCTTGGCCAGCTCGGTGAGCTCCTTGTAGCGTGTATCGATCGCCTCCAGACGCTTGTCCACATTCGCCTTTTCGGGGTCGTTGAGCTTGAGGGTCTCGGCCTGCTTGTGCAGGGCATCGATGACCTCGGCATAGTTCTTCAGCTCGTCGGCGACATCCTTGTGCTTCTTGAGCAGCGACTGGACATTGGCCTCGTCGCGACCAACATCCTCGCTGGAGACAATGCGCAGCGTGTCCAGCATCCAATTGTCCACGTCGTCGGCATCGGCGAACAGCTGGAAATACTCGACGGCGTTCTCCAGACGCTGGCGTCGATACTTTGTCAAGTCGAGCAGATGATCCCACTTGGACAAGATCTCCTTGAGGCGATCCTTGATGCGATCGGCGCCAAAGTGACCCTCGGTAATGAGCTCGGCTCCAACCTTCGCCACATTCTGCAGCTGGGGATCGTGCGATGTGATCTCCGACTCGAGCGCCTTGTGCTTGCTCAGCAACAGATTGACCGTGGTCAGATCGTGACCGATCTCGTCGGTGGAGACGATTTGCTCCTTCTCCTTGATCCAGTTCTCCTCGTCGGCGGTGTCCCAATAGAATTGCCACAGCTTGCGGCTCTCCTCGAGGCGACTGCGCCGCTCGACGGCCAGACGCACCAGCTCCGCGTAGGCATCCTCCAGCTGCTGGACGCGACTGACAATGATCTCGGGATCGCACGGCTTGTACGATTCGGGATCGTCGCTGAGGAACTTCTGTGAGTTCTGTACAACGACCTTGACGCGCTCGCCCAAAATATTGATGTCGGCCTCGACCAGCGAGTGCTTCTGGAGCAGATCCTCGACACCCATCAGATGTTTGCCATAGTCATCGGTCATCAGGAGCTGTTTGATCTCCTCCATGTTGTCCAGTATGTAGAGCATCTCCTGGAAGTTCTGCTGCAGCTGCAGCGAGATCTCCAAGCGCATGCGACGTGCGCGCAACAGCTCCAACAGATACGTCCACAGGCGCATCACGTTGTCCTTACGCAGCAGGATGCGCTTCACGTCGTGATAGCGCTCCGACTCGAGTTCATCGCAAACGGCAACGACCGCCTGGACGCGCTCCTCGTACGCAAAGATGTCCGTCTCGATGGCTTCGTGCTTCTTGGCAGCCGCCTCAACGGCGGCCAGATCGAAGCCAAAGTTATCCTGGCTAACTAGACGCTGGTTCTCCGACAGCCAGGTCTCACGCATGGAGGCCTTGCGATCGAAACGCGCCGCCAACTGCTCCAGTTTCTCCTGACGGATGAGCTCTTCGCGCAGCGCCAGCTCACGCTCGTGCTCGGCCTTCTCGAGTCGCTCCCAGGCCTTGTTGATGTCCGATATCATTTTGCCCTCCTTGGGCGTATACGGTTTCTGGTTGTTGGCCCGCATCTTCGACTGGAGCGTAAAGAGCAGCACCTCCAGATTGCCCTTCTCCACAAACTTGGGCGGCTTCTCGATAGTGCGATAATTGGAGAACTGCGCCAGCTGACCCTGTACGCCGACCAGCGAGTTCTCGAATTCGCGCTCACCCAGCGACAGTATCGTCGTCTCGATCCACTTGAGCAGGTCGCTGGTGAAGTGCTCATAGTCGTGAATCATCTTGTCGTTCTCCATGGCAATGCCGACCACCTTGCCGATACGCTTGCCCTGGACCGTCTCCTGCTTCAGCTTGCTGAAGTAGTGATAGTACGTGACCACATACGTGATGATCGACTTCTCGTCAGGATGCTCGACGCAAACGTCTTCGGCATCCAGCAGCTTGGCCAGGCCCAGCTTGTCCTCGGCCACGTCGAATGCATTGTTCAGATTGTGTATGGCATTGGTCTTCGATAGCTTCTCGAATTGCACGAGGTCTGGACGGTGTTTGTGTATGATCGCATTGAAGGCCAATCCATCCCGCCACGAGGTCGTAAAGTTGCGCACGTTCACATTGTGATAGCCAGCGGTCTTCATCTGGCACCACAGCAGCAGCGCGTCCTTGGCCGACTTTGTCTCCTTGTTGTCCACCTCCTCGATGGTGATATCTTGTATCTGGGCAAAGCATGACACACAAAATGTTCACAATGGCATATCAAGATTAGGAACGAGATCGAGATCTGGATCAGGGCTACTTAAATCTACACTGAGAAAAAGTTTGCAGTCTTCCTACACGAATTTCAAGCTCTTTTACAGAATTATCTTCTGTTATCTTAAGCTTAACTCTGTCATGTTAGTTTACATATATTGTGGCTGTTAGCTAACATTGTCATGCTACATATTATCAAACTGCAATTGCTAATGCCTGTTATGTACATCAGATGTACATCAAAGTTGACAAAATGTACAAAAACTTTTCCTGTTATGTTTACTAAGCTTAAATCTGTTATATTAGTTTACATATATTGTGACTGTTATCTAAAAACTGTTAGCTTATATTGTCATGTTACATATTATCAAACTGCAATTGCCAATGCCTGTTATGTACATCAGATGTACCTCAAAGTTGACAAAAAATTACAAAAATCTTTTCTGTTATGTTAACTAAGCTTAACTCTGTTATGTTACTGTTATCTAAAAACTATTAACAAGCATTCTCATGTTAGATATTATCATTTGACGGATGTTATCTACATCAGATGTACATCAAAGTTGTCGTCATCTCTACGTGATGTTAGCTCAAATTAACTTTAACATTTACAGCTCTAGTTAACATTTTCATATGCTGTAAACGTTCACTCTTACTGTTAACCTTGACTGCAAACGCAATATGTTTTCTCTCAGCGCATGGAATTAACTTAGGAAGAAGCATAACGTACCTGGAAGCGCAAGATAATCGTCCAGATGAGGCCGAGATTGAGTGAGGCATTACCATCGACAATGTCGTGGGAGCCAATGTTCTCAAGATGGACGCGCTGTTCGCGCAGAAACTGAAGCGCCTTGTCGACATTCTCCAGGCAGTGTATGCGCATCTTGCCCTTGGTGGGCTTGGGCAGGCGTTCGCCGGATAGCACCTCCAGCAGCTTAATTAAATGCTTGCCATCGCGCATATCCACATAGAGATCGGCGATGCGACAATTGACCCGGCATAGATGCGAATTCACCCACTTGGTGAAGGTCTTCTTCTGTACGCTCTCGCGCTCCTCGGCCAGCGCCTTGATGCGCGACCTCTCGAACAGGCGCGAACTGGAATTGCCGCCATCGTATTCGTATTCATCGATATATTCGTTGCCTGGACCCTGGCTGGGATCCCATCGAACAATTGAAATGTCCGTCGTCATTTTGTCAGCTCTCTTGTAAATTGTCCACAATTCCTTTCACCGCAAAGAATTCAATTTTGTATCCCCCAATTCCGAACCGAAAATAAACCTCAAACAATAACTGCAAAAAATAGTTAGGCAAACGGAAGAATAATAAGAAAAATTAATTTCATTTTTCAGTTCAACATATTTAATTTTTTTTTTTATATTAATTTTAGAATTAGAAGTGGGCTTTGTCCGAGTGTTTATCTTTTTTAGGGTAGGTTTTGTAGATATTATAATATTATATTTTTTATGATATTTTATTAATTAATATTGCAGCAAATACTAGACACATATACCCCATATATAGATTATATAATCTCGATATTCTCGTATTTCCTATACATATCGAGTTTTCTATATTTTTCTAAAATGCATGTGTATAGTGTATCTACAAGTCGGTCACTCCCGACTGGCGCTTTTTTTTTGTTATATTTCAGATGTGGTTCATGATAAACTTTTCTGTATAAATCTCTCATAAATATTTATTCACGCCTGGGTGGGCGGTTTTCACTAAGCTTTTCTCTCACCCCCTACCCCCCACCCCTCCCCCCTTGCGTTCTGGTGATGATTCATTAGACACAATGGCGTCACATTGAGTGGCACGCGGGTCGCCTGGGTCAACTGGCCAACAAGTCAGATCACAATTGTCGCTCACTGTGTGAGTGTGTGTGTATGTGTGTGTGTGTGTGCGTCTATTCATTATTTTGGCTTTATAGTTAACGCGATTACATCACGCCCCATCCGTAGTGCGATTCTCGTTCCGATTCTGATTCCCATTTAAAAAGTGTGACAGATTGTGGGCGGCAACATTGGGTTGGGGAACGGGAACGGGGGGAACAAGGGAAGCACTGATTTAAATCGCTAGCTGGTGAAATTGCAGGAAATTCAATTCACAAGCTATCGGAATGACCGAAAAGCAGGTACATATGTATGTGTGTGTTCTCTCTCTCTCTCTCTGTGTGTGTGTGTGTGGTTTTTATCTCTATACCAATGGGAACCGCACGCACACTAACAAAACACTAACTAAACAGCTATGCAGCCATGTCTATTGTGACCTTTATTCCAAGCTCTGCAGGTCATTCCCTTCACGCTACACACACACACACACACACACACACACACACACACACACACACACACACACACACACACACACACACACGTCTGCACTTGGAGCAATTATGTTTTTTTTTTTACACATAGCACTTAAAAATTGCACTGGTAACTGTTTTTGTTTTTGCGGCGGTTGCCTTGCTGATTTAATTTGCGCTCTCAGTGGGCATGAGCTAATTTTGCAACAACAATCTATTAACAATAAAAACAAAAAACAAAAAAAACAATAGAATTTAGCACACATCTTTATTTAAGCACATACATATGCATGAGCGCATAACACACATTCTCATTCACGCGGCTCTATTATCTATTACGTAATATTTTGCTGATTATAACGAAAACGAAGCTTAAAACTCGCCGCCGACAGGCGACGGAGATGAACGAATAAGAGAGAGCGCCGCACAACGAAAACAGAGCGAACACAACAACAGTAACACCAACGCAACACAAACAAACAAACAAACAGGCGGCACACGCACACAAAGAGAGCGCGTGAGCGTAAAATGGAAAATAGTGAGCGTAGCGAAGAGAGCTAATGAGACCAAACAACCGCTGCGGGGGGGGTGGAGTGCGGTGGCCGAACCGTATTCAGCAAAAGCCCAGTTAAAATGGGGTAGGTTTTGAACTCAGCTCGGGCAGCTTTGCAATTATGATTGCATACACGCAATACACAAATAGTATGTACATGTGTGCGTGTGTGTGTGTTTGTGTATGTTGATCTTGCTGGAAGTGAGTTCATCACATTGATTTGATTAGCGGGCGAGAGGCGCGGTTTTTTTTTCTTGTAGGGCGTTGGAGTTGTGCAATTGCCGACGTCGTTCAATTCAATTAACGAGGGCAGCTCAATGGATGCCATCAGCGCAGTGAAAACTTCACAAATTGTAATTGCATGCATGGCCTTTTGGTTTTTATGTTTGGAAAACCTGTTTTCGAACAGCGCTAATGTAATTTTCTTTTGTTTTTACTATGAGGCTTCTCCAACTCACAAGCAGACACGCACATATGCGTACACACATGTACACATACAGCAGTACGTGCTTATTATTATTACCTTACAACTGTACAATTTGAATTATGGCCGTTGATTTGTCATTTTGTTTCTTATGGAAGTCGAGAGCGGCGTTTTTTTAGGAAGGTGGGCCAAACCTCAACACTCAGCACACACACACACACACAAGCGCGCACGCACGTACACACGCAAAGCATATATGGACAAGTGCAGCACAGTTTTTCGTTCTGTTTTCCACCCATTCCATGTATCGATAAACAACTTCAAATTCAACTCGTGACCTCTTGGAAGGATTTCCTATTTTTACATGGGTCGTGTGTGTGTATGGGTGTGTGCGTGTGCACGTAACTGTATTTCGAAGTGCATTTCGCTGTCAGTATGCGTGTGAATGAGTAAAAAAATAGCTAAGCAACAAAAGGGAGTAAGAGATAGATATTATGCGCCTGTGTGTGTGTATTAGTGTATGATTAAAAACATTTCTTTATATGTATATGTATATCTCGATTAAATTTTCGCTTTTATCGCACTTTTTATTCAGCTCTGACGCAAATCTAACTCAATTTTGTTTTTTCATGTCGCCGCTTTAATTAAAACTAATTTTTCTAAATTTCATACTCTTGTTTTGATTCGAGTTTGTTCAAATACTCGTTTACACGCACAACATAGGCGCACTGAACAGTTTACGCACACACACACGACTCTGCACTACGCTCTCACATCGCACAGACTAAACGAAGTGAACAAAAAAAAAACACACACACACAGACACCGAATGATGTCATCAACGCCAGCAGCGAACGTACTGTGACTGCGACGGCGACTGCGATAGACGGGGGCAGGCAATTTTAATCGATGATGTTTTTATTATGTATATACGTGTATGCTCACGTATGTATGTATATAGATATAAGTAGGTTCGATCATGTATCCATGCATACATATATATATGGATAATATATCAGTTATTTAATAGCGCCTAAAGTAACACTGTGGTCAACTGTGGCCCACATTCTCTACTTTGAGATACTTTTTCACTCCTCACTTCTGCTGCTTCTTGTCACTGGGAATTAGGCACTCGGCACTGGGCACTGGGGCGTTGGTCTATTTTTCCGACATTTGATTTTTCATTTAGCGCCTATTTGCACTGCACTGTGGCAACTTTCACTTACCTACTCGGCAAACTTGCTGTTCAATTTTCCCTAATTGATTCATAAAATACACAATTCATATAGATGCTTCACGATATATTTATTTTTATTCACATTTATTCTTTGCGGTCGAACTTCACTTGCGAGTAAAAAAAAAAGTGACTGCTGAATACGGAATGGAAATTGTGTGTATCAGTGAAACGAAAACATCGAAACATCGATACATCGATCGGCCGCACAACACAAACACTCGATACTTAGCAAACTAGAAAAAAAACCAAAAAACAAAAAACAAGTTGGCAGTACGCACACGCACCAGCCGGCACAAGCACCACAAAAGTCTGCGGTAAATAAAGCAGAATTTGACTTGAGCTCATCCACCTGGAGCATATATATTTTAAAACTATCTAAATTGCTTGTGAAACGCTAAATAGTAACAAACATATCGATATTAATTGGCTGACAGCATCGATGCCCGATATCGATGCTTTGCTCGTAGAAGTTTTTGGTAACGCATCCGAGAGCCACGATGCGAATGCGCATCCGACGGATTACAGCCTGAAAATCAACGCAATTGTCATTGTTTGGCAACAGGTTCGCCTGGCGTCGAAGGTGAAGAAGAAGAAGCAGACGGAGACGACGCGACGATGCCGGTCAAGATGTACGATGTGACGGCCCGTGTATTTGCCGCCATGCAAAATCTGGATATCACATCTTTGGCCAGTTATCCGGAGACTGAGATAAGGCCGGTGCTGCCGTCTCTGGTGCGCATGAGTCTGCTCTCGCCGCTGGACAACACGGAGTCCTCGATGGAGTCACGCAAACAAATTCTGGCCGTGCTAATCGGCATCGAGGTGGTCAATAGCATTGTGTCCTACCTGCAGGTCAATTACCATGAGCTCGAGAACGATCTAAAGAAGGAGCTGCTGACGCGCCAAAAGTCCAGCAATGCCTCCGCCTTCTTCGATGCCCAGGGTCAGCCGGAGTATGGCCTGCAGTCGGGCATTGCGCTCGGCTTTGAACGGGCGGATGTGGCGCGCAAGGTGCGCGTTGTGCTCTCCGAGATCTTCAATTTGCAGCAACAGGTGTCCGCCGCCGCCGAGCAGAAACCATCAGCCGGCACGCCCGTTATAACGGCCCAGTCCGAAATCCTGGACGACGGCATCTATCTGGAGGAGGTGGTGGACATTCTATGCATTGCACTAGCCGAACTGCCCTCCCTGCTCAACATACTGGAGCTGACCGATGCTCTGGTTCATGTGCCGAATGGTTATCGCATTGTCTGCGCCCTGGTTGCCAATTTTCCGGATTGCTATCGGGATGTCGTCTCGCATGTCATCTCCAATTGCGATGAGGAGGGCAACGAGGGCAAACAACGGCTGGCGCTGCTGATGGCGCTCAGCGAAATGAATCCCTCCCAGGCGCTAGCCAATCGCTCCATGTGCGTGGAAATGCTGAAGGTGCCCTCGTTCATGCTCAAGCTGGCGCTCAAGCACTCCGACGATCTGGTAAGAGTGAGCTACCCAATTGCTGGATTAGATCAATATAGAACTATAGTCTTTTTCTCTGTGCCTGCCCACAGATTGCCTTCCTTACGGGCCTGCTGCTGGGCAATGATCAGAATCTGCGCTCCTGGTTCGCCCTGTACATACGCACCAGCCAGAAACGCAAAGGGGATGCACTGAATCTGGTGCGCGTCGAGCTGCTGCAGAAGATTGTCCAAATAACGAGCAGCGCCGCCGATCTGAAGGACTTCAATCTGCAGGGCGCGGTCCTGTTGCGTCTGTACTGCGCCCTGCGCGGCATCGGCGGCCTGAAGTTCAACGACGACGAGATCAATGCGCTCTCCCAGCTGGTCACCAGCTGCCCGCAGCCGACGGCATCGGGCGTGCGCTTTGTCACGCTGGCCCTGTGCATGCTGATCGCCTGCCCCTCGCTGGTGTCCACCATCGCGCTGGAGAACAAGGCCGTCGAGTGGCTGCAGTGGCTCATACGAGAGGATGCGTTCTTTTGCAAGCGTTCCGGCACGAGCAGCTCTCTGGGCGAGATGCTGCTGCTGCTGGCCATACATTTCCATAGCAATCAGATAACGGCCATCAGCGAGATGGTCTGCTCGACGCTGGCCATGAAGATACCCATACGGCCGAACAGCACGAATCGGATCAAGCAGCTGTTCACCCAGGATCTGTTCACCGAGCAGGTGGTGGCGCTGCATGCGGTCCGGGTACCGGTCACACCCAATCTGAACGGGACAATACCCGGCTATTTGCCGGTGCACTGCATCCATCAGCTGCTCAAATCGCGCACGTTCCTCAAGCACAAGGTGCCCATTAAGGCGTGGATATTCAAGCAGATCTGCAGCTCGGTGCGGCCGGTGCATCCCGTGATGCCCGCCCTGGTCGAGGTGTTCGTCAATACGCTGATCATACCCAATCCCACGGGCAAGATTAACATCGATCATATGCATCGGCCGTTTACCGAAACCGAAATCCTGCACGTATTTCGCACCTCGCCGCTCACCTTCTTCGCCGTGGAGCTGCAGCAGCCGCCCGCCGGCGAGGATCTCGCCCAGATGGAGGTCGCCTGTCCGCTAACCGCACAGCTGCTCATGATCTACTATCTGATGCTGTACGAGGATACGCGCCTGATGAACCTCAGCGCCCTCGGCGGACGCAAGCAGAAGGAGTACTCGAATAACTTTCTGGGCGGGCTGCCGCTCAAGTATCTGCTGCAGAAGGCGCATCAGTTCCACAACGATTATCTGTCGCTCTTCCATCCGCTGCTGCGACTGATTATCTCCAATTATCCGCATCTGAGCATGGTCGATGACTGGCTGGAGGAGCATTATTTGGCCAACAGCAGCCTCGAGTCGGATCATTGGTATGATCTCAAGCCGGAGCTGCTTACCCGCGCCTTGGACACCGTCAAGACGAAACCCCGGCTGGCCATACGGCTATTCAAGCGTCTGCTCCAGCTGCCGCCGGAGTCGCTGGCACAGTATGCCCATCAGCTGGTGCAGCATTTGCCGCATGTCTTCCAGAAGGATGTGCCGCGCTATGTCAAGGATCTCTACAATGATCTCTGGCTGCGCCTGAATGCCGTCCTGCCCACCACCTTCTGGATCATGTCGCTGCGCGCCATCACCAACAATTCCGATGCCCTCAATCGACGCACATTCGCCAACGAGAGCCTCTTGGAGCCCATGGATGTGCTCAGGTATGTTCAAACACCATGCATCAGAGCGAGACATCAAGACAGCATGAAAAGACACTGAAAAGGCAACTCGGTTTTTCAGGAGTCCATCACATTTTCTCTGTTTACCAGCATATTATGTGACTCTAAAACTGTCGATTGAATGACTGTGGCTCTAAAACTGTGGGTCAGCCGATCTTAGAAGATCTTAAAGCTTCTTTAAAACTTAGAATTGGCATTTTTCTGCATTAATTCATTTGTCAGGTGACTCTACAACTGTAGTCATGACAGTGACTCTAAAACTCCTTAAAGTTTGGCTCTAAAACTGTAGAGAATAGTTAAAAGGAGAGTAGAAGTGAGTGAACCAACAAGGTTATTATAGGGTTTTTCAAGTGACTCTTGAACTGTGACTCTAAAACTGTTAGCAGCAAATTGTAGGCGTTTAAGATAACTGCGCAGGCGAATATAGACGTCAGATGATCCTTAAATAAACTTATGAGGCAAAAGCAAATGAAGTGACTGCAAAACTGTGGCTTCAATACTGTGGCTCTTAAACTGTTACCTGCAATGTGAAGGAGATTATGATAAATATATATACATGAACAAAACTAGCATGCCAAAAGCGAATGAAATGAATGCCAAACTGTGCCTCCAAAACTGTAAGGCTTTGGACTACAGTAAAGCATGGAGAACACGTATTTTTGAGATGAGAACAATTCAGGGGCAAGCATAGAAGTGGACTTTAGGTTATAGCCTAGCTATCTTCCTCTCTCTCTCCCTCTCTCGCGCCATCCGTCCCTCTCTAATGTGTGCTTCAGAGTTGACCGCTGTCTGGTCTGTTGCATCGTGTGTTATACCCTTTACCACCCATTGAATACCCATTAAATCGAGCGTATATTTGCTTTCACAGCTGCCCGCGTGAGGTGTTCTGTTCGCCGTACATGTTGGTCATCCTGCTGCGCATACTGAAGGGCAGCCTGGCGGCGTCCAAGACGTACCTGAACGTGCACATGCAACAGAAGCAGGTGCTGGACAAGAACGGTCTGGTGCAGACGGATGCCGATCGGGAGGAGCTGAAGACAACGTTGATTGCATCGCAGGAGAGCGCCGCGGTGCATATACTGCTCGAGGTCCTTGACTATATGGACAGCAAGGCGAATACGCGCGTCGCCAAGCTGGAGCTGCGCGAAATCCAGGGCATCATTGGCACCTATGTGCATCAGGCATTCATTACGGAGCCATCGCTGGCCAAACTGGTGCACTTCCAGACATATCCCAAATCCGTAATACCGATGATTGTGGCCAGCGTGCCATCGATGCACATTTGCATCGATTTTGTGCACGAGTTTCTCAATGTAACCGAAATGGACAAACAGATCTTTACGATTGAGCTAACATCACATCTGGTGCTCAACTATTCGATACCCAAGAGCCTGGGCGTCTCCAAGTTCTGTCTGAATGTGATCCAGACGACGCTCTCGCTGCTCACCTCCTCGGCCAAGTGCAAGTTCCTGCGCAACGTGCTGCCCGCCATGGTACGATTTGTCGAAACGTTTCCCATACTGGCCGACGATTGTGTCAACATACTGATGAACACCGGCCGGAGTCTACATTCGCAATCGTCGCTGGGCGTTACCACCATGCAAATGCCGCTCACCGAGAGCGCCAAGCTCTGCTCGTACCGGGACGCCCAGCTGCATATCACGATGATTGAGGACGCTTTCAAAGCGCTCGTCGAGGCGGTCATGCAGAAGGCGGAGCTCTATTAAAGTAAACCAACTTTCCCAACCTCTCCTCCCCCCTCCCCGTCTAGCTGAACTCTATTCAAAATCATTAAACAGGAAGTCGAAAGTCTATTTTAGGAAGCATTCTGAACAGATGCTTATATTATGTGTGCACCAGGTTTAGAAGTCAATAATTATCTATATGTATAAATTACATTTGTACCTCCCGAACGAGCTATCAATAAATGTTTTACACTAAATTTAAATCGTACATCTAAAAGGTTTTATAATATACCAAATAGCTGTACACTTAGTCTAAGGCCTATCTCTCCCTCTCCCTCTCTCTCTGTCTCCCTCTCTGACTCTCTTTCCCTCTCCCTCTCTCTCTCTTTCTTTGGCTTCCATATACCAAGTTTTAATACTCTACCTTTTGCAGTCTCTTAAGTTCAAGGCGTTTGTTTAGCCAGATCGAAAGGTTTCTTCCATATCAAATATCTGTTCACTTAGTCTAAGGCCTCTCTCCCTCTCCCTCTCTCTCTCTTCTTCCATATACCAACTTTTAATACTCTACCTTTTGCAGTCTCTGTTCCTTCTGGATTATTCCTTCAACTCAATTGTTTTTCTTTTCCAGGCCTGTTCTTGAATTAGAATAAGTGTACATAAAGCTTTGGATCTGTGCTCGGGAACTTGGACTTCATTCATTCCGAAATTTATTTAGACATTTTCGTTGCTTCTTTCTTAATCTGCATAACAAATTCAAAGACTCTAGCTCTTATAGTCTCTGAGTTCTCAGGGGTTTTACTTTGGGAGATAAACATTTATATAGATGGTATTTTTCGGTCTAGAATTTTGTACTCTTTGATCTCTTGGATAATTTATTTAAAGATTTTACTTTAAGAATTGGTAGTCCGTTTCTCTTCTTTTCATCTATATACATCGTATTTAGTATTAGTTATTATTTCCTTTCCTATCGTAGTATTCGTGAATACTGGAGTATTATTTCGAAGCTGATTCTATGCGAAACAGCTTTATACGCCTGAAAGTGGGTCTCTCGATAATAAGCAGGAATATATATATCTCGACCTGATCATAAATCCCTTCTCCCCTGGGTCTGGGACTCTCGACAATAATGCATCAGGAATTTCTATTGCTAGGGCATCTAGTATATATAGATGTTCCAGGTTCTCGATTTCGTAGCCGCCGTTTTGAGCCCCTTCTCCTCCCTCCCAGCTCACACTTTCAATTTCCATGCTCAAATTTTCTTTCATATAATTTTTTGTTTTTTATTGTTATTTTACAACTAACGGTATTTCTTGCATTTACATATATAACATGTAAAAAATAGTATTTAGGAATAGTTTTTTTAAAAAAAAAAATAAGAAGAAACGTCAAACACAATGCAGAAACGCCAGCTCCTGGGCATGCGGCCAATCCCAGCCGACGACTTGTTCAAAAAGGAGATAAATGCGAAACAAAATTCGATGTTCATCGAATACATGTGTGTGTGTGTGTGCGGGCGGGCGGGCGTGTGTGTCTGTGTGTATGCAGTGGGAGGCGTGGCGCGGGGGCAGCTGACTGCACCCAAGTAAGAGAATGTGGGTGCCCGCGCGGATTGCCGCCGCATCCCGTTGCCTGGCCTTTATGCATCGTGGGCCTAAACATATGAATGGTGTGTGTGTGTGTTGGTGTGTGTATGGGTGTGTGTGTGTGTGACTGCGTTTACATCATGCCACCCATACCACCCATGCCTCCCATGCCGCCCATGCCACCCATGCCGCCCATGCCAGGAGCAGCATCCTCCTTGGGTATCTCGGTGACAACAGCCTCGGCGGTGGTCAGGAGCGAAGCAACGCCGGCGGCATCGGTGATGGCGGTGCGCACCACCTTGGTGGGATCGATGATGCCCTTCTCAATCAGATTACCGTATTCGCCCTTGAGCGCATCGTAACCGTAGTCGCCCGACTGGGTCTCCACCTTGGCCACGACCATGGCGCCATCGACGCCCGCGTTCTTGGCAATTGTCATGCAGGGCATGCGAAGGGCGCGACGCACAATGTCCACGCCGAGGTTCTGGTTGGTCAGTTAAATATTAATCAATATGCAATTGGATCAAAGGGACAGCAACCTACCTGATCCTCGTTGGTGGTGGCGACGCTGTCCAGTTTCTCGATGCAGCGCAGCAGGGCGGTGCCGCCGCCGGGCACGATGCCTTCTTCGACGGCAGCACGAGTGGCGTTGAGTGCATCATGGACGCGATCCTTCTTCTCATTGACCTCCACCTCGCTGGAGCCGCCGACGCGCAGCAAAGCGACGCCGGAGGCGAGACGGGCCAGACGCTCCTGGAGCTTCTCCTTCTCGTATTCGGATGTGGTGTCTGTGATCTGTTCCTTGATCTGGTCGACGCGACGCTGCACATCGTCCTTCTTGCCCTTGCCCTTCAGCAGCAGTGTGTCATCCTTGGTGATGACCACCTCGCCCACCTGACCCAGGTCACTGATTTTGACATCCTCCAGCTTGACCAGATCGGCATCATCGCCAAAAACAATGCCGCCCGAGGCGATGGCCATGTCGGTGAGGGTGGACTTGCGGTTGTCACCGAAGCCGGGCGCCTTGACGGCGGCCACCTGTAGGCCGATCTTCAGGCGATTCACCACCAGGGTGCTGAGCGCCTCACCATCGATGTCCTCGGCAATGATGACCAGCGGCTTGCGCTGCGAGTTGGCCAGCTCGAGGGCGGGTATGATGCTCTGCACCGAGGAGATCTTCTTCTCCGACAGCAGCAGCAATGCATCCTGGAACTCAACCTTGGCGCCCTTCGACGAGTTGATGAAATATGGCGAAATGTAACCGCGATCGAACTTCATGCCCTCAATCACCTCCAGCTCATCGATGAGGGTCTTGCCATCCTTGACGGTAATCACGCCATCGCGACCGACACGCTTCATTGCATCGCTGATGAGCTTGCCAATGGCCTGGTCGCCGTTCGCCGAGATTGTGGCCACCTGGGCGATCTCTTCGGGCGTCTTGACCGGACGCGACATGGTCTTCAGGTTGTCCTTGACGGTGTCGACGGCCAACATGACGCCGCGACGAATCTCAACGGGATTGGCACCCTTCGAGATCTTCTCGAAGCCCTCCTTGGCAATGGCACGAGCCAGCACTGTGGCTGTGGTGGTGCCATCGCCGGCCTCCTCGTTGGTATTGTTGGCCACATCCTGGACCAGCTTGGCGCCAATGTTCTGGAATTTGTCCTTCAGCTCAATGGCCTTGGCCACCGTAACGCCATCCTTGGTGATCTTTGGCGAGCCCCACGACTGCTCAATGATCACGTTGCGACCCTTGGGACCCATGGTCACGGCCACAGCATCGGCCAGCACATCGACGCCCTGCAGCATCATGGCGCGCACCTCGGCACCAAACTTGACATCCTTCGCATAGCTGCGCATCGCCAGCTGACGGCTGATCGAGGTGCGTGCAAGTGAAACTGGTAGGCGGAACATCTGCAACACGATATCGGTTATCGATAAATCACAAATGCAGGCAAAAGTTAACGAACGAAAAAAAACACGTGCACACTGTTGCTAGTCAAGCTAATTTACAGCTATTTTGAAAACTTAACTAATTTTGCAACACTGCTTCACAGCGTTAAATAAGAGCTATTAAAATTGATTTCAATTTCACTTGATTAAATCATTTTGCGGCACCCCCCTCAGCTAAGTGATAATAAATGACCCACCACCCACCGGGCTGCGGTCTATCGATAACAAACGAACGTGTAAACGAGAGCAAGTCTTCCAGAACAAATCATTTATGTAACCCAGCCGCTGACCCCTGCTCCAATACATATATACACGTGTGTGTGTGTGTGTGTGGTTGCAATGTTTGGGCTTGTTATGAAATTTGGGGCAAGTGCATGGCCGTTGCATGCATTAATCTAAAGTCCAATTGGAAAGCATGCACAGAAATTGTGAAATTGTTGGCACCGGCGAGAGCAGAAAAACATGTGCGCCTGCCGCTGTTACGTGAGTGTGCGCCGCTGCTTGGAAAGTCAATTCCAATACGAAATTCAACTATTTTGAATGGTATGCATTCCACTCAGTAATATCGTCTATTGTGAACATAATTAACTTACATTTGCCTAATTGAAACACGTTACGTTGCAGAAGATTCTAGAAAGAAAACAGCCGCTCGCTTTGCCGGTTGTCTTATATAACACACACACGCACACACACACACCAACGCACGCACACACACAACAATGATAATGCAATTATTTGGGCACACGCGGTTTGATATGTAAGTTGAAATTCTTATGTTAATGTTACTTACTTTGATATTGCTTTTCTTTGTTTGTTTTTACAGTGACTTGAAAATCAAAAATAAAACTGTGTATGGAACACTTCCGATTTAACTTGATGTAAATTAACAAGCTCACTTGCTCGAAATGTGCCGCAGGCGGACTCCTAACCTTAAGAAGACTTTTGAATGAGTGAGATGTACAATGTGACCGCAGTGGGTAAGCAAAAAAATGTACTAAGTTTAATAGCGAAAATACCAAAAACAGCCAACTTCACGTTTCGACTTAATTGTGAACGATATATCGATAGTTTTGCACTATGTTGTTAACGTTTATTTGAAAAAAAGATAAGCGCATTTTGTTTACGTTACAAATCGTATTCGCTGCTCTAGACCCGCAATTATAGGCCCAATCGCATTCATATAGTCCATCAAAGCATCCAAATCAAAGGGGCCCAGTCTGTAATTGATATGTATATAAAATATGTATGTAATCAGCCAATTTTTTGGCAGGGCTTACTCAAGCTCTTGGGCGTGGTCGCTAATCAGTGAGAAACCGTTTTTGCCATTCGCCAGATATTCCATGACCACCAGCCGATAATGCTGACTCAGCTGCAATGGCCGATACTCGGGTATGGCGCAATCGGCACAGCGCACAAGTACACGGACCAGCCGCTGGCCCGGCTCAGCCCTTAGATTATAGATTATCCTCAATCCGGAGACCTGCAGTAAGCGCTTGGATGTGGGCGACACTAGACTCGAGTTCATGGGCGCTACAGCATCCTCCAGCAGCAGCCACAGATGCTCACCCCGCAAGTTCAGAGCATACAAACGGTTCTCCCACGGGCACATGGCCACCAGCTGTTTGTAGCTTATATCTGGTCAGAATGGAACAGTTCCATTTAGTTTCATTTGGAAAGGCGGCTTCAGCAACTTACCGCCCGCCGGTATGGGCACACGAAAGTTACCCTGGCTGGTCAGGGCAATTGTCACATTGCTCCAATTGGACGCTTGCGCGGATGCCTCCTTGACGAACTGCAAAGCTGGAGGATTAGCAAGGCGAAGCTGATTGCAACTTAATACGCACGGCATGAAGCATGGCGTCCGTGTAGAGATTGCCCAAATTGCATTCGCCACGCGCGCATTCCGCCTGCTGCAAAGGGACCCGACTGCTGCCCACAATCCGATTGGATGACTCCGCCAGCTGGGCCTGCCAGGGTGCCAGGGCCAAGAGCACGGCCTCATCTTCGAAATTGAAGTGTTATATTTCGGATTAGGCAATGGAATGACATAGAAAGTGGTCCGTGAGCCGTAAGGGACTTTCGGAGCTGGGCACTAGGACTTTGGGGCGTGGCTCTAACCATTTTCCCTGCAGTTCAAGTTTATTGCCAATTATCGTTAGATCAAGCTCTGTTTCCATGAAATCGATAACATTTTCGATAGGTTTTCGAGCTATTTCGGATCTTTTTAGAGCTAGGTTAACCAACTTTCTGACGTAGATTGTCTCCATCTCTCTCGAAGAGCTTTACTGTGGAAATCGGAAATCATTTCATTCTATGGAATTCTTGATTTATGCCTTGCAAATTTCATAAACATCGGACAGCAAGGAACCAAGTTATTCGAGAACGTATTTCCCATGGAGTTGAGCAAGGGGAAGAAGAGCAGGAAAGGGTATCTCCTAGTCGTGCACTCTCACTTGTTTTATCTCCGAGCTTAATGAAGCAAGAAAATGCCTATTAATCGATCTGCTTTTGTCTCTTTGAGGGAGATTTAAGCTAAGACGAACATTTGTGCGTGTTTCACGCTTTTCGCAAAATTCACCTATTCGCGTGGAAAATGCGGCTTAATTTGCGGCGTTCTTCAACAAGAATAAACAAACATTGTTGCTGAGAGACTTGAAATTTTAGATGTAGATGCTCCTAGTTCCCGCGCAGATCGAGTTTGTTTCCGATAATCGATAACTTGCTCCGTTTCCAAGCAATCGATAAAAATCGATATCGATATCCTGTTTTTTGGGCAATTTTGGTAAATAATAAGAGCTAGAGTCAACAAACTTGACATATATCTTCTTAAATAGAATATATATATGCATTTGATGTTGGAAGAAGAGGGTTCAGGGTATCCCCTAGTCGGGAGCTCCCGACTAGAACATCTTACTTGTTAGAGTTAAAATTTGATTCGGATTCGAATTTACCACGGAAGGCATTCGACTCGCGCAAGGCCGGGTAATGAAAAACTTCCGCTTGGATTACCTACAACATTTATTTATGATAAAAACAAAAAAAAAACGAAGGACAGCCTGTCAGTTGAGCACAGTGATGCGTCCCTCGAGGCCCGTATAGATGGGATCAATGTTGCTGGTGTAGGAGAGCAGAGCCTCCAGATCCGTGATGCTGATTCTGCAAGTGCAAGTGCGGATTAGACGATTTCAGGAAGTGATAAAGATTGAGCCCACCGGGGGCCACTCACTGGAGGTCGGTGCCCTCGGCTAGCATGGTGAAGCCATCGCCGCCGCCCTGCAGAAAATCGGGCGAGGCGATGCGATAAATCTTGGCCGGCTCCAAAGGCTCATAGATGGGCACATCGCAGTCGGCGCAGCGCGCCAGCACGGAGACGACGCGCGAATTGACCGGCTTGGTGTAGTCATAGGTGACCTTCAGACCGGCCACCTGCAGCATTATGTACGAGCTGGTCACCCCATTCTCCAGATTAATCTTGCTGACACCATACTCCAGCGCCTCGATCAGCTTCCGGCCGGGCAGATTGTAGGCAATCAGCTTGTTCTCGAACGGCGACATGTTGACCATGTGCGCATATGTCAGATCTGTGGAACAGTTGCTCGGCTTGAGCTCAGCTCATGTTAACGCTAGATTCTACTCACTGCCTCGCAGCAGGGCCATGCGCAGGCCGCCGGTGGCCGCCAGTCCAATGGATACATTTGTCCAGGCGCTCTGATTGAACGGCGTCAGTCCCGTGAACTGCAACGGGGCATGGCATACGGTTAGGCTGCAGCTGCACGGTCTCGAACGAGCTTACCGTATGGATCATGGCATCGCAGAAGAAGTTGCCCAGATTGCATTCCCGGTCGCTGCAGTCGCTCTTGGTCAGGTCGACCATGGTGCGGCCGACGACCACCTGGCCCTCCCGATTGATCACCTCCTTCCAGGGCTCTAGCGCCTTCAGCACTGCCTCGTCTGCAGCGGCAACAACAACAATAACATGTCACAAAAAGCAAGCGAGAGTGCCCGACTAGCAGATACCCTGTACTCTCTACAAATGGAAGCGACTGGGACAAGCTGCTCAAAAAGTATGGGCTGTGCTCTTTGGCTCTGATGAAAGCCGAGCTACGGCTAAAACACGCACGCGAGCTATCGATATTTATGGATTTCAAGTGAGCAAATCGAGTCACTTTTATAAATACGTTTGAACAGCATAACGAAACCTAAAGGTTGCTCTTATAATTTCCCAAAAACGCCTAAAACAGAAAATCGATATTTATCGATACCAAGAAATCGGTTCGATATTTATCGATTCTGACAAAATGTGTATGTTATCGTATAAAAAACATTGATGTGTAGACGCTGCTTCATATAATCGAAGGGATGTGCTCAACAAAACGTTGCTGAAAATCGATATTTATCGATTTCAAGTAAACAAATTGAGTTGCAATTTGAAAAAAATTGGAACTGCATATGTCAACCCAAAGGTCCACATCCAATTCCGCTTGCTCCTACAATTTTCAAAAAATGCTTAAAGCTGCATATCGATATTTATCGATTTCCAGCAAAAAAGGACAAGCTACAATTTAAAATAAATTTGAACTTCATATCGAAACCGAATCCGACGGGTGACAATTAATGACTCGAGTACTTTAAATATGCTTAAAACTGAGAATCGATAATTATCGATAGCAAGCTTATCGATAACACGTCGGGTTACGGCTGTGAGTGAACGTGTTGACGTTCAGGGCAGCCAGGGCCGAGGAAGGAAACTTAGAGGAACTTACCCTCTGGTACGTCCGGTCCCATATAGAGGGGTGCACCCTCGAAGTCCAGGACATCGCCATTGTCATCGAAATAGACCGTCAGATTGCCGACATATTTGGCATAGCAGCCCGCCTGAACGATGAGCACGCGATGGCCGCTGCTGTGTATCACCTGGGTGGGATAGTCGCCGCGCGACTTGTCCGGCCCGGGCGGATCGCCCGTGTAGAGGAAGGTGTGCGAATGGGAGCCAACAATGACATCGATGACATCGCCCGCATTCGCGGCGATCACCTTGTCCACATCGTAGCCGCAGTGCGAGATGACAATGATGATATTGGCGCCCTGTTCCTGCAGCAGGCGTGCCTCCTCGCGGATGGTGTCGCTCTCGTTGCGGAAGATCAGCTTGCCCGTGTTGGCCAGTGTCTGCGCGGAGACGGAGGATCAGAGCGAGAATGTGGAACGAGAGTTCGGTGGAGCACTTACGTCTGTTGTCTCTAGGATGACACCGATCAGTCCGATCTTGCGACCGCCGCGCTCCAGTATCAGCGAGCGCTCGTAGAGCCCATCCATGGTGGGCTCGTGGGCGCTGTCCATGTTGGCCACCAGCATGCTGGTGTTGATGGTCTTCAGGAAGGGCACGACACCCTCGACGCCATGATCGAACTCATGGTTGCCCAGCGTCTGTAGAAAATCATGGAGTTAGACAGCGCATGAAGCTTGACCTTGAACATCTCCAGCTGGAGTCGAACATACCATGACATCGGCGGGCAGCATATTGAGAAACTCCTGGGTAACATTCCAGCGTCCAATATTGTACCAGAGCGTGCCCTGAAAACTGTCGCCCGCATTGATATAGATGGGATTATGATCGCGCTGCTCCTCCAGCAATCTACGGACCATGTGCACGGTGCGCGCATAGCCACCGACGCACTCCTCGCCCTCATCACAGATGCCGCCGCTGGTGTCCGTCGGCTCGAATCTGACAGTTTTGGAAGGCACTCAATGAATGACATTGGACTATTTTATGATATAGACGATATGGATTGGCCTTATCGGAGCATGTGCCTGATAAAAGCGCTGTGCACGATTATGATGATTGTTTACGGCACTCGAATCACGGACGCGGAGAATCACGCGCACTTGCCTGGCATGGAAATCGTTGATGTGTATCAGGGACACCGGAAATCGATCCTCGGCGGCCAGCGTGTGGCCGGCGCCAATGATAAGCAGCATTAGCGTCCAGGGCATGGCCCCGATCTCGACAAGCATCATTGTGGCCGGTCGTCTTCTCCTCTCTCTCTCTCGAGTGTGCTTCTCACGCCTAATCCGTGCGGCGTTTCTCGTGCGACTGAGCAGACGTCGCTGTTCCACAAAAATGAACTACCTCTCCAATTGCCATTATTTATGATTTATACCATATACTCTATATATATATGTATATGTATTTGTGTGTTGGACAGTGTTATATGACTTTTGGCTGTTAACTAAGGCTCGCACTTGATTAACTAGTCCGGTACTCCGTCCCGCTCTGCCCCGCCCCCTAACCCCAACTTGGCCCATTGAAATACCCAAGAGGGTTACCTAAAACAGTACAGATGTCGCTCGATAAGTGCAACTTCTTGAATGAGAAACTTAATAAGCTATACGTCCTAAAATTGTGGACATGGAACGAGCTAATCTTTATTCCTTCTACGTCTCTTTCCAACCAACGATTTCAAGATCGTACTATAAGCTGCCATATATATATATATATATCCGATTTTTATTAATATTAAAAACAGCCCTCGCATATAAAGTTGTGCAATTATTTTCTGCAGCTGTTGCATGCACGGAAAATATTCCGGAACGAGCTTAATTAAAATTGCAAATATTTATATATATATATATAATATCTATAATCTATATCAGGCTTATCTGCCTGGCGAGCTGATAAATCAGCATTCATAAATCAAATATCTTACGTTTCAAAGGTTAACGGCTCGCGCACCCTCGAATAATCGATTCTTGAACGCGCACTGAGCTACTTGCAAAAATATCGATACCGATTATTTTGCTTATTAATTGGCACGCGCGCCAAATAAAAGTTAAATTTCGACTTACGATATTCGCGGTATTTTTTATCGTAAATTACAATTGTATACCGATTATGTTGCTTAACACGCGCGCGCCAAATTCAAAGTTGAATTTTGACTTACGATATTCGCGGTATTTTTTTTATCGTAAATTACAATTGTATACCGATTATGTTGCTTAACACGCGCGCGCCAAATTCAAAGTTGAATTTTGACATACGATATTCGCGGCACTTGTATCGTAAATAACACACTTTAGTTGTAGTATAATTTTTATTGACAATAGAATTTGGAGCTCTTCATAAAGTTACTCGTAGGTATAAAGCACAGTATATGTATGTATGTTTTATGATTTTGTTTGCAAGTACATATGTAAGTATTGTATATAAATATATATTGTATGTGTATATATTTAAATTGTATATATATCTGAATATTTATGTATGCGTATTATTATTATTTTTATTTAATTGCTTAGCTTAAAGCACAGAGAATTTTGATATGAGAATGATTAATAACATTCTGCGTTCGGTGATTGGCGCCACGCACTCAATTGATTAGCTGCCCCTCTTTCAAATGGGGCCAAATGCAGCGGGGAAAGGGGGTGTGTGTTTGAGGGGGGGTGTAAGGTTTTACCAAGCACTGAGATCTTATGATCCTAACCATCAGTGATTCGTTCGTATCCGAACGGCAACGAGAATAACAAAACAAATTAACGGCGGGGACGTAACACAAATTTGACTAGAAAAAAAATCAACTCCCTGATTTGTTGTGTGTTTGTGTGTGTGTGTGTGTGTGTGTCGAAATTCGCAAAAGTCGGTGAGAATGCATTTGCTGAACGGGTGTAAAGGTTTCGTGAATCGGTTTCGGATACTGGGCTGCTGTGGTGTCTCTGGTCTGCTGTGTGTGTTGTGTGGTGTCTAGTGAAAGACATCCATGAAGGGAAAATGCGCCTGTTCCGGCTCGAGCAGATCGACCAGGAAACAGACGGTGCCAGCAACGCCCTCGTACAGGCTGTGCGGCCGATCGGGGACACGGGCGCGCTGCTTGAACTCCGAATTGGTCAGCAGCTCCATGAACTTGTGCGCCCGATACAGGTACTTCATTTCGTTGGTCAGGCGAAAGAGCAGCAAAAAGACATAACCGTTGCCGGCGACGCCATGACAGATGCCGGGCCCCTTGCGCAGAAAGCCCTTCTTCCAGACAAGATCGGCGGCGCGTCGCAGCGAGATAATGTACTTGTCCTCCTTGAATATCAAATAGGCTTTGGCCAGCACATAGACAGCGCCGGGTGCGCCATGGCACCAGTGCACCAGACGCTTGTCACGTCCGGAGCGCAAATCCTCCAGAGCCACCGGAAAGTTGCCCTCATTGTCCTGCAGCTCCAGAAAGTAGTCAATCGAGCGCTTGATGTCGCGCAGCTCAGCGGCCGGCGCCGAAATGGGCACCGTACGGAACCAGGGACTATCCAACAGCATGTGCAGTATGGCGCACAGTCCATGGGCGGCGCCCAAATACTCGGTGCCATGGTACTGATACATCAGCGGCAGGGGCGAATTGTTAAGCTTGCTGTATTCGCGGCCGCTGGTCACGATCAGCTGGCAAATGGAGACCAGATCGTCATCGGTTATCTTCTTCTCCGGCAGCACATCGTTCAGCCAATAGCAGCCGGATAGATAGCCGGCACGGCCCACAAGCACCTCATCGCAACCGTATTTGGTGTGCATGAACTCCTTGCTGGAGGGTATGCCCGACTTGAAGTTGGCCAAATCATTGGACAGCTCCTCCGTGTTTTTGGCCTCCTGCGAGATGGCCGCCGAGACGGCATAGATGCCAGCATTGCCGCACAAAAATGAATAACGCTCCGCGGAGCGTTTCTTGTATCGCTTGGCATTCGCCTTGGCGTTGCGTATGAAGGCGGCAGCGTGCTCCAGCGCTGGATATAGATCGCGCGTCTGTTCGCAACTGTGCAGCTTCCAGAACATGTAGGCAATGCCCGCATTGCCCACATACAGATCACCGCGATTGTCCTCCTCGTCGCTATTGGGATGACAGTGCTCCAATATGGCGTCCACATAGGTGCATATGAGGGTCTTGATGTGCTCCTCATCGGTGGCAAAGGGCGTATTCTCGCCGCCCGAGAAATCCGCAAACGGATTCTTCAAATAACGACGCTCCATCTCCCAACTGTGACTGTCCGGCTCCTCCGCCTCCGTCTCTTCCAACGGCTGCGACACTTGTCCCTGTTGCGCTACGTTCTCCGTCGCCGGCTGCGCAATTGAGCCTAACCAACAACAAGAAAAGGATATATATATATATATATATTTTTTTTTTGTTATCGTAAATCGATTTGCCGGCGGGCCGCGCCCTGCGCCCGGCGTCTGCCAGCCCACTTACCCTTTTCCGGCCGTGATTTGGAACCAATTGAATAGCTTCTGCTCGCTGCTGTACTGCGCACCTGCAACACGTTTATGCACTTAATAATAAACAACTAAATTATAATTCATAAAATGTAAAACGAATTGTGTACTACCAAAATGAATTGTGTTCTGTTCTATTGTTCGGTTGCTAGTGCTCGATACACGATAAACTTGTTTTAATTATACATTTGTGACAACAACGACACTCGATCCAAAGCCAACCAGTTTTAAGCTCGAAAAACCTTTTAATATCTCTACAAGCCGAATTTCGCATTGTCCTGCCGACGTTTACACATCGTTGACGATTCTTTGCGATATGTTATCGATATATCGAATAGTTGGCAATTTATGCAAACAGCTGTCATATGGCAAATTGCGCGAATGCAAATAATGAGTTGGTAACGGTTTTTAATGTGCAATCAGTGTTACCAGCTGTGTCTAAAAATAAAAAAAAAATTGGCTGAATGTAATGTAAAGATAGCTTGAACATCAAAAAGGAAACCAGTCTAACATTTTAATATGTTGCAAAGTAAATGTAGATAAATTGTGTTTTCGTTAAGACACAAAAAATCTCAAAAAAGTAAGAAATCCAACCAATGCTGAAACCGGGCAAGTTGGCAACCCTGTGTGCGAATCGCAATAACGTTAATCGATAGGCGTTACGTAGCATCGATACCAATGCTGTTCATGCACAAGCATCGATGCTGATTTACGCAATTTTCGAATGAAATGGTAAAACTTGATTCTTTTTTATTTGGCCTTTTAAGCCTATATAGCTTTATTTAAATGTTTGTATATCATAAGTTATTAGTTTTACTGCATCACAACTGTTTTGGTATAACTACTTTCGACGATTGCCGCCCAATATAGTGGCGATCCGTATGAATATATTCAATACATCCATGTAAATGGACATTGAACTGAAAAGAAAGCACACATGAGAAACATGAGAAATCTGGCTACCAAGTTCTTTACTCACGCATTAATGGGATCAAAGGGCGCCACGGCATACTGTGGATACACCTCGGCCTTGCGCACCAGTCGCTGTGTGTCGTAGAGCAGAAATCCGCTGAAGAGCACGAGACCGCCGTAAAGGGACATCGAAGCCAAGCCTGAAACGGGAGCAGGACAATTGGCATGTGCATGGTTTTTGTTTATAGGTTAATTGTGCACTTACCGGCGCCAATCACGGTCGTGGGCGGCAGCCACATTGAGGCCAGAGACGAGGCAAACACAACACCAAGGCCGATGGCCAGCGGTCCGCCCATATACAAGAACTTATCGTTTGGAGCACACGCAGCGATCGTGGACAGGCCACCGACAATGCCTCCGGTGTAGAGTGCAGCGCGCGTCATTATCGGACCGCCCAAAAAGCACAAGGGCGCAATAACACCGCCCAAAATGGCGCAGTGCAGCGCCCAGGCCAGATGCTTCGGCCCCAGACCCGGCTCATACTGCATGGAGCGCGTCAGAGCGCCGCTGCCGACGACGAGCGCCAGCGAAGCGAATGTCCACTACGAGAACAACAACATGTATGTATGTATGTATGTGTGTGTGCGTGTGTCTGTTGCTCAGGGTTCGCGTCCCGCATTGCTAACTTACCAGCAGACCGCCTCGCGAGGCCAGCGAGAGTAGGCGTGGCGAGCGGAACACAGCCGCCGCGGAGGCAGCCGTCAATATGCAGGAGCCACCAAAGAAGGCGTAGCTGGACTGAATGCGTTCCTTCACATATTGCGGCCACATGCTGTTGGAAAAAGGCGTTCGCCAATTATGAAATTGAAACAAGAATGTTTACTTTCGGCAAGCCGAAGCTCTAATACCCTTATGGGCATATGGTCCAATAGATATTGAAGATATCTTGGCCAAGAGAAAGGCTAACTGATCGTTCCCATATGGCTTCATGATGATCTATATACTGCAATTAGTTTCTATGGAACAGATATACTATATGGGATATTGTAGGGCAGGATTTAGAAGTCAAATCTAATGAGATTTGACCAAGTTATGGGAATGGATCTGTATAGGACAGGCAGACTGACCGACTCCTATGGATATATGGAAATTATATATATAAACATATATGTAGTAAATACAGATTGGGAATACTTTCATCTTTGGAGATCATCCCCAAAAATCAGAGAAGCAACACATTTCAAAGGCTGGTTCCTTGTGCTTCAGTATCCCTTTGTATGGCATATTTAAGCTTCGTTAATTTCATGAAGATCGGACAGTATATAGAATATTACATTAGATATAGAACATTTGCAGCTCTGAGCCGAATGCAGGGCATCTCCTGGTCGGGCTACCAAAAAGCAACCACAAAGAGGGCAACAAGTGCTCTATTCGAGCCTTGAAGATGTCCTGAATCCTGCTCGGAGCTGCAAATGTGTTTGCTCTTTAGCGGCGCGAATTGCAGCAGATTCTTTCTTATTTAAAGCAGATTTCTTGAAGCATTTCCGAGCATCAGAAGTGGCAGTGCAATGGAACATGAAGCTTTCTGCTATGCTGGATTCATTGAGCGCCTTTTGGGCATTTGGCCAAGTCTGTTAGCCTGATAAGTGCCCTACAGCGTCACCTGCTGGAGGAGAAGCGCGTACTCACATGGCGTTGTCCGCAATGCTTGTGTGTTTGCCCATGCCGACGCCGTAGTAGCAGAGTGCGCCGAGTCCGACGACGGCGGCTCCGGCGACAGCGCCCTTGCCCATCGAATAAGCTGGAAAAAGATGTGATGATTACGCAAGAGGCGGCGGAGACGGTGGCGTAGGCGTAGGCAGAGTATATGCACTTACCGTTGGCACTTGGCGGCGCCATTAGCTTCTCCTTGAGAGTGGGTGCACGTGGCTGTTCGACGGCGACGGGATTGCGTGTGTTGCGCACGGGATGGCGTGCATAGTTGCGCACTATGTTGAGGCTGGGCTTTGATTTGAGAAAGGCCTGCGAAGATTTGCCCAGCAGGAGGCCGCTCGGACGAGCCGTCGACAATGCAAGTCGTAGTAACATTTTCTTGTTGTGATGAAATTCGCAGTAGTCGCTAGTTTTTTCGTACGAGCCAAAAATGTAATTTTATAGCAGCTGTCGCTGTTCTTCGCTTCGATCAATTTGAATGGTTTACTGTATGCATATTTTATGAATACTATTATATTTGTTTTGAAAATTTCTAGAAATTCCTACTTACTTGCTAGCACTTCGATACTTGAATGTACGTTTGACGACTTGAAGATGTATCGATATATAGTTATATGTATGTGGTCCGTTTCTGCTGCGGCTATGTGTGTGTCAAAGTATCGTTCAAAATAAACGATAAGGTTGGCAACGCGATGGCTTCAAAAATTCAAATTTATATCGCCATTTATGTGTATTCAAACAGCTGATAATAATGGTTATTTGGTGATTATCATTTGTTAGCTTAACATTGTTTTCTACATAGTTAAACTATGACTTTCGCATTGATTGTGATCAATAATGCATTTGATGTTCCCATGGCAGCTATCGATAACTCTAAACGATGTTAACTGTATTGCTAGTGTCAAACAGCCCTGTTTTACATAAATGGCGCCTAGCCAAAAAGAAATTGCGTTTAATTAAATTTTGTTAAATTCAATTTAATTGTGCGCATTACACATACAATATTAAGGGCACAAAGAATACAATGCGATACAGCTGATTAATCACTAATTATGGCCTAATTGATACAATCACACTTAAAATGCGCTGCACACACACACACGCACACAAATATAACGGGATGTAACGGCTGCGCTTACACCAGATATTTACGAGCGGGAGCTGCGGGTATATCAGGTGCGCCCGGTCGCCGATCCTTGCTGATCACAATCAGCTCGGTCACATGTGATTTGCGCAAATTACCAGTATGATCATACGTATTCGTTTGTTCCAGCTCGCCCTGCGCATTCGACTCGTACGTCTTGCATTCGTACATGGGACAACATCTAGGATAGTCCTCATTGGCTTCGGTGGGCGGCAGAACATTGCAGGCGCCCTTCAGTGCGCCCGGCACCTTGCAGCTGGAAATGGAAATGCAATTGCAAACGGAATTGATGCGCGAATACTCGAACACGCTCACCTGTCCTCCCACAGCTGCAGCGTGCCCAGACACTGGACGCGCACACATTGGCCGGAACGCGTAAACACCTCGCCCACATATAGCTGGCGTCCGCTCAGCGTGTCGCTGCAGTACTGCGGATTATAAAGGTATGCTGCCCGGATGCTCCAGGTGAGTGGAAAGCCATAGTTAACGGACTTTAGAGCTCGCGCATACTTACAATGAAAAGGCGGCGTTGCCCGGCCAATGCCCATACAGATCACGAATATGAATCCCAGTAAGCATGTTCTGGCTGTGGAGTAGTCCATTTTTTTTTATGTATAACTCGACTGGATGCTGGATGTTTGGTTTATGAGCCCGGCCCGACGTTTGCAAAGTTTAGTGCGCAACTGAGGCGAATGCGGCGGAGCGAGCATTTAATCTTTCTTCAGTTCCTACAAACACATATAGCGTGTGCATGTGTGTGTGTGTGCTTGTGGGTGTGCGTGTGCCTGTGTGTGTAATCACATGTACTTACGACATTTGCGCGCTTTCTCTACTGGGAATTTAACAATTTATGTATATGAAATGTGTTGATGTTTTTATATGCTTATCGCTTGGCCCGCAACGCAGAAATGCTGAAATAAAACAAACTTCAATTGTTAACTGTGGCACGACTACGAGCTACCCTGCTTGAAGAGTCTGCACGCCCAGCGGGTCCCTAAGAAGTATGCTAAGCATGGCGAAAATTCGGTGAGCATGCGTCGTGCGTCATGCAGGACTCGCTTGATGACCTGTCATGCCAGACGTCTTGCAGGACAATTCAGCTACGTTGTCCTCGAGAAATCAAATGCAACAAAATGATGCTGTCAACACTAAGGCACAGTTCTGCAGATTTTTGTATGCTTTTTGGATAACTAAAGCAGGAAATTTAACAACATACAACCTATGACATATGGCATCTAGATGCGGGCATAGCTTGCCAGACAGGCTATAAATTTTCCGTGATTTCCCATCACAATCTCTTTATCCTATCTACTTAACGCTCTATATATCTAGTATATATATCCTTACCTTACATCGAGCAGCTCAATAAGCCAAACACAATCAATGACATGTCATTAGGAACGGCAAGGATCAGATGCAGCGTCGCTGTCAAATGTGTAAGTGAACCATGGCGCAGTTTAAACTAATTTATTAAAACTTGACTCAATTGCAGGCTGTAGTCAATATACCCACTGTGGACGGATCATTGAGGAGTATCAATAAAAACAAATTCAGATCAATATGCAAAATGGCAAAGCACTCGAGCCCACAATGTTTACGAGCATGTACGTATGTATATATCTGAATGCATGTATGTATTTTGAGTGTGTATGTGCTGCTCTTTGAAGTTAAATGTTAAGACATTGTTTATAAATATTTTGATACTCTTGTAGACTGCGTACCGTCTCGCAGCATGCGGCATAATTATCGTTGTGTGGGGCAATGGGCCACTGGATGTGAGTCAGGCCCCGGACAACGGGCTGTTTGGTTGTTTTAAACGTGTGCTTTCCCCATTTCAAATTTCGTGCGGGCTACCTTCACGTGTCCCCTAAGCACATTTTACAATTTTACATTTGACACATCTTCATTCAGTAGCAATTAACGCTTGACAGTTGGCGATTAGCGAAACCCAATGACGACTTATCAATTTCAAGAAACGAGATAACCGCAACGACAGCGCCCTTTGACCCGCGCTTAGCTGGTCTCTGCGCCTGCCACTGGGCAGTCGTTCGCATCGTGCGACTGTTCGCACGACTGCAAATTCTGAACATTTCCGTCACACTCGCAATTTCCTGCACAAATCCATAGAGTGATGCGGCATCCTGACTGTCACCTGGTTAGAGCTGTTGTGCCTTGCTCTAGCCGTTGGCCGTTGGCCGGAAACGGAAATGGAAATTGTCACAAATTCTTAACAGCCCTATCAAATGTGCGCCGATGATTGCCTCGGTTAGCTTGGTCGCTTGGTTGACTCATCATCTTCGCTCCACCCCCTCATTCAGACAGCAGCAGAAACGCTGCTTACTTTTAAGCGCTCGCATTTCATTTGATTTAGCTCGTTGCATACTTTCAATTGTATATAAACAATTAGCCCGGGAGTGCCCCAAATGTAGAGCGGGCATTGAAAACATTCGAAGTTTCCTTCTGTATGCATGCATACACAAAAATTAGGCGTGCACACTCGCACACACACCTGCTGTGCTTCGTCTGCTCATTGCCCTGCCCTATGATTAACTTCTGTGTTTATTGTCCGATGTTTATCAAGTTTTTAGGTCTTAAATATGATATACAAAAGCGTGTGCATGCACCAGTTCGAGGGCGTTTAGATGAATACTAATTGGTTTATTTAATATGAGAACCTGCATAACAACTAAAGGGTATTTTGCTGCTAAAATGTTTATGTCATGCTCAGAAACCATGTGTCAAAATATTTATATATATGTATATAGGATCGTATTATAGGATCGTATATATAGCAAATGTTATGTTTCAAGCTTATCTAGCTCTTCAGTTTGATGCGTTTGATGGCTAGACAGAGCCTTTATGGCTCGGTTAAGCTATCCTTTTGCCCAAATGGGAATGTCTACATGAAAATGGGGAATTTGGTCGTTTGTATTCATTTACGGGAAGTTCACGAAGCAGCTGGCTGCCGACTGATTGACTGGGAAAGGGAAAACAGAAGCTTAAAGATCATTCGGCTATTAAAGCACTTCAAGCCGTTGAGGTTTCGTTTGACAAGCAACTTAGAGAATATATGTGTGTCATATTGTTGGCCAATAATTAGCCGAGAATGTCAAATCACTTGCTGTTAATTGTTGTTTATCGAGAGTCGAGTCGAACTAATCGTTGTTTCAGCTCGGCCGTGCTTGTGCTTTGTATAGTGCACTTTGATCTGCATAAATCCAGCTGGCAGAGTTGGCGCATTTTCGGTGGCACTTGAAGCAATAAGTGTAACTATTCCAGATACCTTTGTGCTCTGGAATCGCCCATGACGCTGGTTAAATGGGGCTGGCTATCTGGCTACGTCAACCGAAGTTTCGTCGCATCGTTGTCGTTGTTGTCGTTGTTGATCGTCTTGCTCTGGCTGGCGACTTCGGCTGGGGTTGTTTTTGTACCCTGTACACATGGCTATTGGACAAATCGGGTATAATGGACAGACGGTAGCAGCTCGTACACAATGTAGTACCTATAAGTACCAACGAGCTGCGTCGGCCTGGCTATGTCTGTCTGTCCGTCCGCTTAGTTACTGAAAATTCAATACATTCGCATTGCAAACGCAGTACGAGTTTTTCTTGAATATCGTAGCATAACTTGCAGTTTTTAAGAGTGTATTAGGAATATTTCACTTTTCGAAATGGAAGAAACTTGTTTATTTATGTGAGGCTAGAGCCTTACGCTGACACACACTTCTTGTGCTTTATATTAGGCAGGGAAATTGCATAACGATCGGACTACAAATACCGAAGCTTTACCAGAACGCGTTGACCTTTATGTGGGTACTGGGCAGGCAAGCGGCATGCGTTCGGTTGTTTGTTTTTGTGTAGAAGCCTTGTAAACGACGACAGCTTGTCGCTTGGTCCAGGGTAACGCTTAGTCGGTCAATTCTGAACAGAGCATTTACTTGTTTTTGGAGCTGTCGCAGTCGCCGGTTGCCGCTTGTCGTTTGCCGTTTGCCGCTTGTCGTTTGCCGGTTCCATCAGTTAAGCGACGATCGCGGCACGGTTAAGTACGCAGCGCTCAGATATAAATAACATAGCCACAGGCTGCAGATACATTTGTGGATATAAAGATACGGCTGTGACATATCAGCCGCGCGACTCTCTTCAAGTAGCTTTTGAAGTTCAATTCCGGCTCGCACCGTTCCGCTACGCCCAAACCTCCCAAAAAAAAAAGGCTACAATAAAATGCAATTAAGCTGCTCGAATCAATTCTCAGCAAATTGAATTAAAGCGCGTCCCTATACCCCCCTATCCCACTGTCTCAACTAGCCCCTGATATGTGGGCGAGTGTTATCCGAAACTCGAAGTCCATAGCCTCGAGCTCGAGAACTTTGAGAACTTTGCCCACGAAGTGCTGTGAAAATATACAATATGCAGATGGGCATAAACAGAAATGAACGTTAAACGCAATTACTCGCACATAGAATAATGCGAATAATTAATTAATTACGGGCATTTTTTTTTTGTATTTTTTGTTTTTTTTTTTGATGCAATTAAAAATGTTTTGTGTGCATATTTTCTCTTGCAAATTTTCGCGCGCTTAATTAGTGATTTATTTATTTTATTTATACATGTTTTCTTTTTTTTTTTGGTTTTTCATTTTTCTCCTGTGCTGTGTGCGTTTTTGGGAGTTAATTAATAAAGCGGCATTTTAACATTTTGTTGTTGTTGTTTTAAGTGCGAATCGGCAAATCAATTGCATTTCATTAATATATTCCCACCGCAGGAATTTATAGCGATTCCATGCGGTTTCATCTTAATCTGCATTTATGCATTTCTGTGGCCAAAGTGATTCCAACCCAAAAAACCCTAACACACGCACTTACATATAGTTTTTCCCACTAGGCTTAAATTGGGTTTGGCGGGAACTTTGTAGTTTTTTGTGGTTTGCTGATTCATTTTCATAGGTTCAACTTGCCCGATTGTATATCACTATCCCCATATTCGATGCCAGAACCTTGTGCTTGCATATGTGCACATATTTGGTTGTCATATGTCAGTCTCTAAATTTTCATATAGATCGGGCAATATGCAATGCCGTTAACAGAGACCAGAGAACGGGCCGAAGCGAAGCCGAGGTGTGTAGCTAGAGTCTGATCCGAACTCCATTACAATCTGTGTGCTCTCTATAGAAAAAGTTACGTTTATCATGATTTTGATTTATCTTGCAATCCAATTCTTTGCCAAGTATCTGAATTATTTGCTCAGCAGATGCGAGCTGGAAATAAGCCGGGCTCCAATTTCAAGAGATTCCAATTCCAATTGCAATTGTTTTTTTAGATCGCAACAGATCAACAAATAGGCACATTGAGCTGTTTTTGGGGCAATTGGTTTAGTTTATTATTGTTGCGCGTTTGTCGATTAACATAATATGTTAATTCATTTATATGCATGTGCCGAGACGTTTCTGATTTTTTCGAGTTTTTCGTTTTCAATTTCAGCAAATTGTGCGCTAAAATGTAAATGCAAAAACGTCGAGCCGAGCTTCTTCAAATCGAAATCGAACGACAACAAATTAGAAACCAGCCCAGAGACAGACGCATACACACACGCACAACCATTCGCACACACACACACACACACACACACACCGTGGTCAAAGTCAGAATCGGACGGACAGCCGCAGAGTCCCACTTGCCACTTGGCATTGC